AAGAAACGTTTCAATGTTGAGGTTGCCGGGTATTCATCTCCAACGACCAAATTTGAAGGGCCTAATAAGCCTATGGCCAACAGAAGAACAAGTGAATTAATCCGCATTGAGGATTGTTTGCCTTATGTCTTGATTTTTAGAAATAGTTTTGGATTTTTAAATGTTTTATGGGGAAGGAGAGGAGGGAAGAAGTTAAAATGATGAGGAATAGCTAGAATGGATTGGCTTATATTTGCCCAAATAGCAACTATCTGGCGCCATCTTTCTGGCAATTAGTGTGGAACTTTGCCCTATTTTCATACAAAAATGTCAATTTAAGGAAGAGGCGCCAATCATTTATTGAAGAAAAAACAAAATAAAATAAAGAAAAAGTTAGTATAAAATATTCTTTACTCTTCCAAACAGCTGATAAGAAGAGGTTAATAATTGACACATTTTGAATATATTATTGCCAATCAAATTTGCTAAAGTCATTATTTGTTAAATTGACAGGCAATCAAAAAATTGTGATAATAAACAAATAATAAACAATTTTTTAGCAATAGCAGTATTCATAAAATAATTTTTTAAATTCATTTTGCATACTTTAATTTATATTTAGGGATGTCATTTAATTCTTATTGGTTTATTAAATTTCCGAACATTTTTAAAAATATTTCACAATAAAACAACTAAATTTATTACAAATATTTATTTAACAAAAATTAGCATATATACATTACAATCTTTATTAAAATCACAGATAGCAATATTATTATCTATCAACATTATAAGCCAATAATGAAGTATTTTCTTCCCATTTTTATGTCGGTCGCAAGAATTATATAGTCCGGCCATCTAATGTCTAAAAAATAAAAAAAATAATTTCTTAATTTTTAACTAATTTCTCTAACCCTTTAATTGTAACGCTCATTGGGGCTTCGTCTACAACAGGAGGTTTCGTATCTATAGCTTTCATAGTTGACATCTTTTTCCCTAAAATTTAATTTTTATTAAATTTCAAATCCAAATTTATTTAGTACCTGCTGCTACAGTCAAAATTGAATCGATTGTCATAGGCACAGCAACACCATGAGCAACACCTGATGGACATGGAGTCATTTTGCTTCCAGTCTTTGTCGCTTTACTTCCATCTAGTGCTTTAATCCTTCCTTTTTTGACATCCGATTTGTTTCCATCCTTTTTCGTCGATGTTGTCGTTGATTTGTGTTTTGCCAGATCATAGGGATCTTCGTTTTTTTGTTGTTGTTGCCGCTGGCGCCGTTTCTGAAATTTTTATATTATTTTACAACTAATTTAGAATTAATTTTACCTTCACGAAGCAATAAATACAAATACCAATAAATATTGCCACAAACCCAAGAAGAACAACAACTACAACTAAATAATTCGCAGAACTTGAAGCCTTTGTTGTAGCCAATGTAGTCATGTTGAACAGAAAAGATAATGTAGAGCAGGGAAGCTAGACTTGATATTTACTTACGAAACTATTTATGGTGGCTGATTTAATAAAGAAAAGTTTGTCAGCTTTTATAGAACAAAGATTAAGGTGATAATACTGATTTAAATATGTAAACATGATCATTTGTTGTTATTATATTTTGGTGAAGTTCTAAACAATTGGAGTGATACTAATAAAAATATTTGTGAACATTTCGATAAAAATTGGCAAATTATCACCAGTAAAACTATTTATCCCCCATACCAGTAAATACAAACGATTTAATTATTAAATTTATTATTTTATAACTTGAATTAAAATTTAAAGAATTAGATCTATGTAAATATTAAATATTTTTTTATTTTCAAATGCAGAATCTTTTCTTTCACATCATTATTACAATTTTAATTTTCATTATTGTTCTTTCTTCCTTTACTCAATTTCAAAATTAATTTATTGAATTGATGTCGATGGATTATTGCCCGAATTTGTTGAAATACTTTTACCTCCTTTAATTCCTCCTCCACCATTATTATATCTATAATTAAAAGATATTCCTCCCAATTTTTGGCAATATGGTTGTTTATATTGATTTAATACACAAAAATAATTATTTGGACATTGTTGATTTAAACCTTTAAATTAATTTAATTTAAAAATATTTATTTATTTACATTTTTGTTCAAAAGTCATTCCGTAAGGATTTTGACAAATTAAACAGTATTGAGTTGATTGACAAATTAAAGAACCACAATCTTTTATTTTAAATAAAAAATATTTTTATCTGAATAAAATTACATTTTTGTTGTTTCTCTGGAGATATTCCAATTCCTCCAATATTTTGATAAAATGGATAATTCCCTAAATATAAATTTTAAAATAATTATTTTTAAACCATAAAAGTTGCATGGAGTCCCTGGAGGAGAATTTCCACAACCAAAAATATTTTGGGGATAATTTGGTAGTGAATAGGGATTAGGTAAGGTATGTTGATAATAATATTGTTGATTTGGATGTTGTGGAAGAAGATTTTGTGAATATACAAAATTGTTAATTGAAATGATGACAAACAAAAACTAAATTTAAAATATTTAAATTAATTTTAAATTAATATTTAAATTAATTTAGTTATTTACCATCCTCCAGAAAAGCATTAATTGAGTATTATTCATTCTTGAATATAAATTTGATTTAAAAAAATATTTTATAAATTTATTTGTTATATTTAATTTTCATTCTTTAAATATATTTCTTTTAAATTCCTAACGTTCTTTTAATAATTTTTATGAAAAGAAAAGAGAATTTATATTTAATTATATTTTAATTTTTCATTATTTCCTAAATTCTTTTAAAATTTGTAGAGAAATAATTTTTTATAAAATTAATTTATATTTAATCATAAATTGAAAAAAAACTTTCGAAATTACAAAATAAATTCGTTTTTGATTAAAAGAATTTTTTAATTGTTCAGAAACTATCAGAATTTTTGTTGAAATAATTTTAAAATTAAAGTTCTGATCGTTTCCTTCCACAACATTTTTTTAATTTTAAAAACTATTTCCACTTAAAGTGCAAATAATCAAATGATTAAACAATCAATAAAAGTGCGCATTGCTTAAAAAATATTTCTTAATTTAAAGGCTAATAGAGAAAATAAAAAATTGATTAAAATGGATATAGAAAATCTTAGACGAGGGGAAATATTATTAGATAGAGATTATATAGACTTATTCTCTCTCCCCCTCTTCCTCCTCAAATAAATTAAATGGCACTTTTTTTATTTAATAAATTTTTTTTTAATTTTGAAATAAATTAAAATTAATTAAAATTAATTTTTAAAAATATTTTTTTTAATTTTTAAGACAAAATGGGAAAAGATTCATTTGCTTCAACAACTCCTTCAACTACCCAAACAAACAATTCTATTGTTACATCTTCCTTGGCAAATGATGAAAGTTTTTATTGTGGATTTGTTACACATGTTGCGGTTTTTAAAGATTTTTTTTAATAATTAAAATTACTTGAACAAATTAAATATGTTTGGTTTCCCCTAACATTTATTTACTAAAAAACAAAATTTATTTAATAATTAATTAAAATAATTTTTAAAAAAGAGTGCAACTCTTCTAATTGGAGCTGTTGGATCGTTAGCTTCTTCAATTATTTTGGCAGCTTTGTTAAAGGCCGGTGCTGAACCTGAGCATTGTTTTCTTGTTGGAATAGTTAAATTTTGAATTATAATTTAAAATATAATTTTATTTATTTAAATAGATTCTTTGCTCCTATGTTTTTCTTGTGTTGGGGTGGAGTGTCAGAATGCCTTCATTATATTGGCTATTTCTTTTAATTAATGTACATATTTTAATTTTTTAAATTTTTTTGAAAGAGTGTGATACATTAAATAAGTGATAACCAAAATATAATTATTTTAAATAATTTTTAAAATACAAAAGTATACATATTCCCCCTAAATTCTATTGAGTAACTAAAGTAACTAAAAGTAACCACCAGTAACCGTAATTAATAAATTCAAAGTTCTCAAATCTAGTAACAAATAAAAGATTTATTACCAAAAACAAAATCCAAATTTTAAAATATAAATATATTTTATTTAAAAATATCCAGCCATTGGTTATCTGTTTGTGTGGCTTTTTCTGTGCCTATCCGGCTTTGAATACTTTTCTCTCCCCAAAATATTATGAAGAAGATAATTTTCAAGAAAATACTCGAAAACAACTTTTAATTCAAGGTTTTTTTCTTTTCAAACAAAAATTAATTAATTAATTTAAAAGTTAAAAAATCTTTGCGAATGTTGGAATTAATTGCTTCAATTTTTGCTATTTTAATTCTTGGATATTTCCAATCAATTGTTTTTCGTGCACATAATTGGCTTCAAAAAATTAACAAACAAGAAGATCAACAAATTGTTTATTTTAATGAACAAAATATTTAAAAATTGTTTTTGAAGAGAAGAGAGAGGAAGAAAGGAAGAATTTGTAAATATTTTTGTGTGTGGAGAGAGATTGAGAGAAAAGAAATTTAAACAAAAAATTATTTTTAAAGAAAATCTTTTTTTTCTTCTAAATTTTATTTTTAATTTCTTTTCTTTATTATTTTATTTCGAAAAAAACTATTTTAAACACAATTGTTTAAAGCATTTTTTAGTAAAATTTATATTAAATTTTTGCTATAATTATTTAAAATTATTAAGTATTTTAATTTAAAAGTAAAATTATTTCAACATTTCCTTTGTTTTTTAATAAATTTTTATTTTTTTTTATTTTTATCTTTTTCCTTTCTCTCAATTATCTCTCCTCCTCAACAATTAAAATACGTGGCAGATTTCACTGGCATTCATTCAATAATGTCAATAAATCTTTATCAAAATCAATGGCCAAATCCTCGCTACCATTAAATTAAAATTTAAAAAAATTATTTTTATTTTTTATTGTTTTAAATTTAAAATTAATTTTATTAAAATCTTTTTTAAATTTAAGAATAAATAAATATATTTTTAGTTTATATTCTTAAAAAATTATTTATCATTTCAAAAAAATCTATGATTTTTGAAATATTCAATTGTTCACCACTTTGTTGTTCAAACAAAACATTTAAAAACCAAAAACTAAAAAACAAAAAATCTACAACAACATTAAATGATTATCTTCAACGTTCTTCCAATTTAAATAAAAAATATTCAAATTTTGAGAGAAATGATTGGAAAAAATATTGTGGAATTAAATTACATGTTTTGGTTAATTTAAAAATAATTTTTAAATTTTAAATTCTCACATTTAAAGGAAGCAACCAAAATAATTTCAATTTTTGGATGTTTATTTGCTTTTTTCCCTTTATTTTTATTTAAATTTTCTTTATTTGATATAAATTATTTTAATTTGTTAATTAATTGTTTAACTGTATTTTTGGCTAATGGAAGTTTGTTTTTGGCAATTAAACAACGAAAAGCAATCCTTTGTTTACCTTTTCTTTTAATTAACGTAAATTATTTTAATTATTTTGGGCGCTCTCTAATTTAGTCAAGGAAGAAAGAAGAAGAAACACCTACAAGAAACACCTACTTTTAGAAACACCTACCACCTCCGAGGGTTGATGATCAAAAAGTTACCCAAATCAAAATTCTTCTTTTAACCTAAAAATAAAAATTTAATTTTTAAATTAAAGATACTCTCAATTTCCTTAATTTTCAACTATATTTTCATTATTCTCCAAATGTTTTCTCCCTGGCCAGTTTTGGATACAATTTTGGGTATTGGATATGTTAATGATCAATTGGAGGAAGAAGATAGAGAATTAGCTTCTGGTTATTTATTTATTTTTAATTAATTTTAAATTTTAAATTTCCAAGCTTCTATTCGTTTACTACTTCTTTGGCTATTTTTATTTATTTTTATTGTTTGCTTTCTTTTGTGGATTGAATTAATTGTTATACAGACATTTAAATATTTAACTAAAATTTCTGTTCAAATTGCTGATATTGAAGGTTTTTTTGAAATTTTTTTGAAATATTTTTTCTTTTTTTAAGTTTATCGTTCTGTCTATTTTATTGATAACAATTCTGAAAGTAAAAATTCAAAAAAGAAAAATTCTGATTGGTCTTCTCTTTGGCTTTAAATTTATTTTTATATTACATTATGTATATTTTTTGTATTATTTTCACCTTTATTTATTAAAAAAATTTTTTTTATTTAAAGTTTTGATTAATTTAATTAATTTAAATTACTTTATAATTTATCACTTTTTTGGACGACCAACCTGTCCCACCTCAAAAATATTATGTTTTAACTCAGCAATCCTTTCGAGAAATAGTACTTTAATATTTAGTCAAACTTCAATATTTCCAATCTAAAATATCCCTACTGTAGTTATTTTTGTAATTTCCCCCTCTGTTCCTAATTTTATTTAAAATCCTTTTGACGGTGATTATATTTTTCCTGACAAATACAGAAAAAAGAATTATTTCTTAATTCTCTTTCTTTCCCTTTTTTACAACATTAATGTGAAGGACGGCAACAAAACATAATTTTCTTTAATTCCTTCAAAATGCCGCTCTGTCCTGAAAATTCTTGTAGAACATTTAATAAATAAAGTTTTTACCGACATCATTTAAAAAATGATTAACTAAAAGAGAAAGTATTTACTCGTTGATTTTGTGCCAAAAATTACGTAAAATAAAAAAGAGATTGGCGGTCTGTCGAGATTTTCTTTTCCTTTTTATTTTTCTTTTAGATTAATTTTTGAATAAAATGATAAATAACTTGAGGATAAAGAGAAAAAATGAGGATAAAGACAAAATAAATAGAAAATTAAAATATATGTAGTTTTGACGGCATAAATGAATAAAATCATTTTATTAATCAATCAGAAAGTACATTAATATAATTTTCAAGAATTAAAGTTGAATATTAAAATATGTATAAATATTTTAAAAACTATCAAAGATTCCTTAATTATTCACCCCTATAAAGGTCATGTTTCCTTATTCCATTCAAAAATATAGATAATTTTTACTTATGGATGTTGCCTTAAGCTATACATATTTGAGCGCGAAAGTTAATTTTATGTTAAAATAAATACTTATCAAAGACAATATTTTTTGTAACATTATCAAAAAAAAGCGCCGTCACTCCTCCTTCCCTTGCATTTTGCCGAAATTTTTATTAAATTTAAAAATTAATTTACTTCCGTTTGTTGTCCCTCATAAAATTTATTTGAGAAAAAATTTCTATATAAAGATTTAATCAAAAAAATACATATACATTTATTTACATATCGGCAATAAAAAAAGATCAAAAACAACCAAATATTTTTAATTGAGTCAATTGCGGTGATGAAAGGAATGAATAAATGGCATACGGTCAATCAAAAGTTTATTAAAGGGAATATAATTATTTTTAATTTAAAGTAAAAGTTAATAAAATAATCTTATTATACTTAAGTTATTTTATTTAACATTGATTTGAAAAATTAATTATTTTTAAAACCTCATACATAATCTATTCTCTTCAAAAAAAATATTTTTTTCACTCATCTATCTCCTTTTAATATTTAATTATTTATTTTAATTTCATTTTAACAGCTAAAGATAGCCAAATAGAATATATTTGGTTAAATTAATTTAAATACTTTGACTGAATTTTTGTGTAAAATCAAATAATTTTCAAATTCAAAGTATTCACTCTGATTACACTTCAATTTTAATATCTTTTATACCTTTTAATTAAAATATAATTATTTCCTTTTTCCTTTTTATTTAGAATGAAGTAATTGAAGTAATCCATCAATTTATTTTTATATTGTTTCTTTACTTTTTTTAATTTGTAAATAATCTAAATTAAAAAAAATAATTTTTAGTAGAATACCTTAAGTCCAATTATATAAATAAATTTATTTATTTGTCCTTTTTTTGTCCGTTCGCGTCAATCGCCGTTAAAGAATTTTTTATTTTTCGTTATTCTCGTTGTTCTTTTTTGAACCGGTATTTCTTTTTACCTTTTTTAGGTTTATTTTCTGCTTTACTCTCGCATTTTTAATTAATGTATGGACACATTATTGGCAATAATTTCTCTTAAAATTTTTTTCTAGAAATTTGAGGAAGAAGATTTTGAATTATTTTAAGTCAAAAAAGTTTGTTAAATTAATTTAAAATATAAATTTCTGGAGAAATTTATTTGAAGAATTTTATTAAAACTTTTAGCTTTTAATTTTCTCTCATTTTTTTCTAAATTTTGTTGTTAAATACTTTTAATATTTTCTACATTTTTGAGAACATTTCTGTAAATTTTAACTATTTTTTAGTAATTTTTATTTGCGCGAATTCTTTATTTGTCTGTTCATTTGCTAAAATTGCCGCCGGGCAGGTTTGAAAAGAAGCGAGAATTTTTATATAAAAAATTTGAAATAAAAATTGGAACGAGAAAAAGGAGAAGGAAGAATGGTCCAAAAATGAATATAAAAAAATTTTTTTGAGAAGAAAAAAGAAAATATAAATTAAATTAAAATAAATATGTAAATAAACATGTATTTTTTAATAAATAAATTTTAAAAAATTAATTTTTACCAGAATTTTTAGATTCTTTTTAAATAACTTCCAAATTTATTTAAAAAATTAAATTATTCATCTAATTAATTCCTTCTTTCATTTTCTGCCAAAATATGATAAAAATTTGAAAAATATTTATTTATTTGGACAGCCAAAAGAGTTAGAAAATAATAATTAATTTTGTTTTTTTAAATTAAAACAAAAATTTTATTTTTTTATTTAAACTTATTTAATTTTTCTAAAATTTAATCCAAAAAATTAATTTTAAATTTTAATTTGTTTAATTTTTAATTTTGTAAGAAATTTATTCAAATTTTATTTTTGCATGTATTTCTAATTGCTCCTAAAATTTTATTTTTGTTCTTATTGCGCGACATGTTTGTTGTTGTCCTATTCTTCTATTTATTTTTTTATTTATAAATACATATTTTCTTTTTTAAACAATTTAAATTCTCTCAAAATTATTATTTTTTTTAATTTCAAGTTCTTTTGTTCTTCTTTTTTCTACCACCCTCCCCCTCCCCTCCCCTTTCCTCCCCTCCCCCTCCTTCCCCTCCTTCTTTTCTTCAAAAAGCCCCAATGACCTCCAATCACACACACACAAACATTTTGTTTAATTCTTAACATTAATGATCAACTAAAAAAAAGAAAAAGCATTTTTATTTTAATTATTTTAAGGTCATCTTTTGTTTCAAAAAAATTTTTTTGCGCTTTTCATTTTTTAGTTTTATTTATTTATTTATTTATTTAGTTCATTTCTTCGCGCGAACGTAAATTTTTTTTGTTATTTCCACATTCGCAAAAAAACTCCGAACATTTTCTTAAAATAATTTTTTTATTTTTTTGTCTCTGGTTGGCCATGTGAGACATTAATTTAAATGTAAATATATTTATATTAATAGTCCCTTCAAATTATTGTTAAAAATATCCTTTTTTTAGAACTCCCCTTAAATCCAAAATTTTCTTTTTTGTCAAAAATTAATAAATAAATATTTTTATAAATTTAATTCATACTTGTTCACGTTTTTTTTGCAAATATTTTTTTCAAATTTTGTATCCTATAGTCTAAAATTATTTTTTTAATACTTACATATTTTATTCATCCCTCTCCCCCCTCAAATTTGGAAAATCTTTAAAATCTTTTTAAAAAATGCGCGAAAAATACTAAAAACAATTTATATCAAATAAAAGCCGATATTCAATTTAATGTTTTGGCAAAGCTATTAATTTTAAATTTTAGTCAACAAAAAGTTTAAGGATTTTTTTTGTAATTTGCCGCTTTTTAAAGTTTTGTAGTAAAGTGACTAATTTTATTTATTTTTTTTAAGATTTTCTTTTTAATTGTTGTAATCTTTAATTTTATTTTTATTCAGAAATTGTTTTTCTTATTCAGGCCGTTTATTAAAGCTTTAACTCGTTTAAGGAGATAATCAAAAATATATTTAAATATTTATTTTTTTAGTTTTATTTTAGATTAATTAATATTTTATTTACTTTTTCATACCTTTTAATTTTAAAAACTTTTTTAAGCGATCTTCGGTTTTTTCTTTAAAAATATTAATTAAATTAACGGAAATACTAAATTAATTAATATTCAAAATTTACCTCTAATTAATTAAATAGCGAAAGAAAAAATTTTTATAAATAAATAATAGTTAATTATTTTAATTTTTTGTTAATCAAATTAAAAAAAAATTTTTTTGCTTTAAGATTAAAAACATTTAAATATCTAATTTATCCATATTTGATTTTAATATTTTAAAAGCCAGTTATATTTCTATTTTAATTAAAATTTAGGGTTTTTAGTTTTTTTTATTAATTGAAATAAATATTTTAATTTTATTTATAATTTTATTAATTAACAAAATTGTTGTTTTTTCAAATAATTTTATCAGTGCAAATAAATATATATTTCATTCCTATTTTAATTAAAATTTAGGGTTTTTAGTTTTTTATTATTTGAAATAAATATTTTAATTTTATTAATTAACAAAATTGTTGTTTCTTCAAATAATTTTATCATTGCAAATATATAAATTTCATTTTTCCCTTCTTGTTGTCGTAAATCATCATATCTACCTACCGTTGGATGAACATTTTATTTATTTATTTATTTATTTATTTAGCTTTTCCTTTTCTCTTACTCTGAACTTTTTCTCTTTTTTTTTAAAAAATATAAATTTCTGTCATTTTTATAATATTAATTAATTTATTTGTTCTGATTTATTTACGGTCATCTTCCATTAATAGAGGAAATAAATTGACTAATTTGGGCAACAGAAGTGTGTTGAGTGAGAATTATTACTTTTAGTTCTTTATATGGAAATGAAATATTAAGGAAAAAATTTATTTTTCAAAAATTAATAGAATTTTGGGATTTAAATCTTTGGTTTATTTATATTTTTATAAGAATATATTAATTTTAAGAGGTTAAAAATCTTTAGAAAAGTGCAGATTAAAGATTTAACTTTTTGATATTCTCTTAAATGATTTTATAATAATTCTCAGAAAATTTTTTATGTTAAATAAAAAACAATTTCAAAAAAATACAAAACACACAACTTTGCGGTTTGTAGATATTTAAAAAGATATTACTGACAGATAACGAATGAATGAAAGAGAATTAAAAGGGAATGAAAGAAGAAAGGGGAAAGTATGGGGAAGGGAGGAGGATCAATCGGGAGAAAATGAAAAAAAGGAGAAAAAAAAATTTAGAAATCAATGATTGAAATATGGAAAAGGTTAAAATTGGCAAATTTATTCAGTAGGAGGAGGCCAGTCCGCCGTCAAATCTAAGCGTCAGAATACCTTGATATGTACATCAGACACATTGAATCATGCAAAAATTGTCCTGACACTGCTTTAGTAAACTGAACTGTAAGCATTTTGGTAGATTGGGCTTTGATAGATAGGCGTGAGATTAGATTTAATAGTTTATTTACTAGAGATAGAACCAAACAAATATTTGACGTTGGAAAATCAAATATTTTATCAAATTGTATTTGATTTTATTTGATCAAATATTTGTTTGATGAGTTCTGGAAAATATCAAATTTTTTCAAATATTTCCAAATATCAAACTATTTGATTTTGCCGTTTGTCCGATCTCTATTATTTACATATTTTTGTTGATCAAAGGGAAAAAATGAAAATTAGTAGAAAACAAATTAGGTATTTAGTTAACGCGTGAAATGTTCTTTTAAATGTGTGAAATGTGATAATTAAATATTTTTACAGAAATCTGCAATAATTTTAAATTTCTTACTTTAATTTTTTTCAAAAAGAATGTAGAATTTTTATAAATATTTTAAATTTAATTTTGAATTTTTTTCATTCCAAATAAAATTTATTAAAATATTATTAATATTAAATATTCATTTTTTCTTCTTCTGACCACTAAATATATATTAACTATTAAATAGCCAATACTTCAATTCAAAACAACAAAACACACACAAACCAAAAACACAACAGTTGTTCACATTTTGGTTTAGAAATTAAGGAAAGGAAAAAAGGGGGAAGTAAGTAAATTTTGTTTTTAGATTTTGACCGATCAAATAAATAAATTATTTTTAAAAGATTTTCTTTTATTTTATTTTTGATTTGTACCACCCGCAATTAAAATCAGGGCGGTCATTGTGGTCATATAGGTGACGTCAGTAAGGCAAAACATTCATTGATTCATTTGGCCATTTTAAAAAATAAAAAAGAGAATTATTAATTAATCTGTAATGAACAAATTAATTTTTTAAATGGATATTACTATTTTTTGTTCCCCTAATTTGTCTTTATTTATTACAACTCCAATATTTTTAAAGAATATAAAACATTAAAATATATTTTGTCATAATATTATTATTAATTTATGTTATTAAATTTTATTTAATTTTCATACTATCTAAATAAATAAATACATATATTTATTTACTTTCCTCTCAATTTTTTATTTCTTTAAGTGATTATTGGTAGTTGCTACTTTCTTTTAAAAAATATTTTTTTTATTTTTTTTGTCCCGCCTTCTTTATAAAGTATATTTTTCACTAAAACGTCCGTTATCCACCCCTCACCCCTTCCTTTTTTTCAAAAAATATGTTCGTTTTTCTCCTTTCATTTTTCCCATTTCTCACCCTTCTCTTCCCTTAATTTTCTAATTCGGACAACCAAAAACCTTCTTTTTCCTTTCCCCCCCAAAAAATTTTTTTCCTTCTTTTTCTCCACATAATCCATCATCCTCATTTTCTTTTTTTAATTTAATGGCCAACCAAAATATAAAAAAAACTAGCCAATCGTTGGCTGAGGCACGCGCAAATTACTTTAAGTAAGAAAAAAGGCATCCGTTCTCTCCCTTTCTCTCTCTCCCACAACAATTCTTTAAAAAAGTTTTTCTCGTTTCTTGAAATTTTTTCCAATTAATAAATTATATTTTATAACACATTTAAATTATTTTCAATTCCACCTCCTCTTTCCTCCTATTAATTTCCTTCTAAATAATTTTCTTCTTCTAAACACTATTTACCTTTCTAATAAAAAAATAATTTTTAATTTAATTAATTAAAAAAAAATAAATATGTATGTAAAATTAATTTATTTCAATATTTTATATTTTTATTTACTATTCAACAGCTCGAAAATCTTTTATTATTTTATACAAAATTTTCTCTTTAAACCTATTCAAATTTTTTAAATCGGATATTAAAAAATTTTTTATAGAAACGATTAATTTTTTCTTCAAATAATTTCGGCTCTTGTTCTGATTATGAGTTCTCACCTTTTTACGTCCGATCAATCTTTAAACGCGCTAATAACCCGTTATGCTTGTTAGTACCTATGTTCCAGCATTATGCGTGTTGTACCATAACTCTGGGTGAGTAGAGCTTCTACTCCAATAAAACTCAATCTTTGCGATGAAAAGTAATCGGTTTTCAAATTTAGTACCATAAAATCTATGGGAATAGAAAGCTCTTCTACTTATTGCCGTAGATTGGATGCATAAACTTCATCGGACGATGAAGATTTGTTTAAATCATGCGTCATTGGAATGGGTCTTTATCGCGTATAAAGATTAAGTGGACGTAAAAAGCTACGTTTGGACGTGCTATTGGGCGCGTAATCTGGAAAAACCAAAAGATTTTTGAAATATCATGAACCTGTTTCAGATATCAATTTCTAATGTGTTTTTAAAAAATAAAAATATTGTTTCGAATATTTATTAATGTTTTGATGTAAAAATTGATTCTTTTCATCTTTTGCGTACGGCAAAAATTTAAAAAAGATTAAAAACAAAGGAAAAATGATCATTCCAAAAAAAACATAAAGAAAGATTTCAACCCGCCACTCTACGCTATTGTGCAAAAGTTAATGCACACTCGATAAAAATTTCTCTATACTTTATAACTCGTGAAGTCTTTAGGTTATAAGTCTAATTTTCATTTGGAATGATAGATTAGAGCATTAAAGCTCATGGAGCTTAAGGTCCAGGAATTTAATAAATTATTATTTTTGGTCAAAACCTCCCAAAATACCCCATAAAATGCTCAATTTTATTCGGAAAGTTACTCGACTCTTATCTTAATAAATTCCTAGATCTCCAGCTCCATGAGTTTTTTTATCTTAAAATTTGAGCCTCAAAACGTAGTAAATTTTATGGGCTTTCTAATAAACCCAAAAGAAAATTTCTATATACGCTCTAAGGGGGGTTAAAATATTTTTTAAATACTGTACCTCAATTTCCCGTTGATTTTTGAGGTTTTATATATCCTTGAAAAAAGAAGTTACAGTCTTCGTTCTTCTTTATTATTTACTCAATATGAATGGAAATGTCCACTGAATTTTTAGCCTTTTATGGCATTTATTCATCTAGGAATCTAATTTTTATCAAGTGTGCATAAACTTTTGCACAACAGTGTACATATTCAGATAATTGCCAACAAACTTTTGTATATATTTTTTCAAATAATTTAACAAAAAATTAACTTGTTTATTTAATATTTTATTTATTTCCTTTACCTTAAATTTTATTACAAAAATAAATTTTTTGTGAGCATTGTATGCATTTAGACATTAAAATTTAAAAAAAAACATCATTAAAACGTGTGGATAATGGTAAAATTTTTTAACAATTGAAAGCAACAAAAGTCAAAAAATTTTTTTATTTTAATTTTTGTTGCTTTCATTTATTAAAAACTTTTTAAATTACAAAATAAACTAAATAAACTAATTTTTATTTTAAGGCAGTTGCCAATAAAATTATTTTCAAAAGGGAAATATTTAAATGAATCAACAAAATCATTCTTCTTCTTCATCTAATTTAACAACAACAACCCCAACAAATAATTCAACATATTATTCAAATAATAATTTGAATTTCAATAATTTAATTGAAGAAGAAAGATTTTTAAATTTTAATAATTCTTTAAATAATTACGAATTTAATAATAAACAAAAATTATTTATTAAAGACCACCAAATTAAAAATGAAGAAGAATTAAATAATTTATTATTAGAACAACAACAACAAAATAATGAATTTAATCAAAATTTAATTGATGGTTGTTTTGAATATTATTTTTATATAGAAAATAAATATTTAATAAATACCTAACCAAACCAAAAAATTTTCTATACTTTAACATTAAAAAAATAAACAAAATTCCCCCATTCCTTAATAATTTTATAAAAAAATTTCCAACAGTCAACAATGCCTCATCTTCTGTTGGAAATGCTTCGTCGGGTGATTTCTTCTCTCCTCTCCACCAACTTTTAATGCCTACTTCCCACCAACAACAACAACATTTACACCATCCTGGGGAACCTTCAGGGTCTTCTTCGTATTTTTGTTGTACTGATACAACGGCTTCTTCAGCTCCAGCAGACCCTCGGCCCTCAGGTTCTATTGTGGAACGTCGACAACATTATAAAGCGTTAAAATTTTATTTTAAAAATATTTTTTTTAATTAAAGAAAATTAAGAGAATCTTTTAAAAATAATTTCAAAAATTTTTAAAAATAATTCTAAAAAGCCAAAAACCCTTTCAAAAAAATATTTTATACAAAAAAACTAAAGTAATACCCCTCCCCCTCATTTTCATCCACTTATTCTACTTCAAGACCTTCAAATGACCGAAAAAGGCCATATCCTTGTTCTTTATGCTCATCTCGATTTGGATCCAAAATGGAATTAGAAGAACATCAAAATTCACATACAGGCCAAAAACCATTTCAATGCGATGTTTGGAAATTTATTTTATTTTTAATCTAAAATTTAATTAAATAAAGGTTTGTCAATCACGTTTTAATCGCCGTTCTACACTTTGGAATCACAAAAGAATACATAGTGATGCAAAACCTTTTATTTGCACTGTTTGTCATGTAAAAAATAATTTTTAAAAATATTTTTAATTTAATTAATTTAAGATGCAATTTAAATGGAAAAATTCATTAAAATGTCACAAGTATTTTAATTAATTTTTAGTTAAATTTTAAAAATTAAAAAAAGGGAAATGCATCTTCGAAAAAATGAATTACAAGCAAGTTCTTTTCCAGAAGTTGATGCTACACAAATGTTGACATATGCAACTGCTGCTAAAAAGAAAATGGTGGTTTCTATTGACACTTTAACTCTAAAAAAATTTTTTTGAATTAATTCTGAGACAGAAATTTTGTTAATAATTTGGGATTAGGTTTCCAATATTTTGAACATAACCCGATCCAACATTTTCAAAAAAACTCTCATTTTACCTAAAATTTTTTAAATTTTAAATTTAAAGGGCGAATTAACTGGCAAAGACCCCTCTACAATAACTTTACTTCCAACAACATCAAATAATTCTTCTCGATTTTTAACGTGTGCAGGAACTCCTCGTAAAAGAGCCCCACCTAAAACACAAAAAAACATCACTAAAATACAAAAAACTTTTGAAGAAGAAAATATATTACCACCAACATCCACAACTTCTTCATTTTCTCTTCCATTTCTTCCCCAAACTTCTTCAACATCCTCTCAAAATTCCAATTTTTCTCATCAATTTTTTGGAAAAGAAATAAAAAATAATGAAAATCAAATAAATAATTCTGAACAAATTTTGGAAAATAATTTAGTTGGAGAATCTAGTACATCTTTGTTAAGACCTCAGCCATTAACAACAACTTCATTAAATAATGAATTAATTATTTCTAATCAAATAATTACAGAAAATAAACAAATAAATACAACATCCAATGCTGGGCTAGTTTTTTAAATTTAATTACTGTAGAGGGGTTAAAATATATCCACAGAAGGGGATTAATCCTGGACATTAACAAACAATTAATCTCCAATAATTTAACTATAAATTTAAGAGAATACTCAATTTCTAAACGTTTTATGTCCACTCTCCCTCAATAATTTTGATTAAATTTTCGTTTTATCGAAAATTTAATTTATCTGAACGATATTACAAGTAGAGACCGGACTGGTAATATTGTACAAGAATCGATATCTCGAAAGATCTTGATTCTCAATAACCGATATTTTCGATCGAGATCTCGTTTAAGTCCGATCTCTAATCACAATTATTTACTAGCTACCCCAAATTTTTATTTGTCTCAAATAAAAATCCTCAAATCTAACAAAAATCTGTTCGAAAAGATTCACAAAATTTTTTTTATTTAAATAAAAAATTTAATTTTAGCCTAGATTTATTTCGTTTACACTGTGGATTAAATCAAAATAATTCAACATCAGAACAACAACAACAACAATTATTACTTCTACAACAACAACAACAAAACAATACACAACAATTTATTTCTCCCCAACATTTACAATTAATTAGCCCAACAACAACAAATAATTACTCTTCTTCTTCTTCTTCTAATCAACAACAACAACAACAATTAATTGTTCAACAAAATTTTCCTTTAGATTTGTTAGCTTGTTGTAATAATAATGGAGGGGGGAATACTTCTATTTTAGATTTTAATTTAAATAATAATAATTTCGATTCTACAATAACACAAAATAATAATTTATTTGGTTTAGACTTAAATTCAATTGCTACAAATGATTCCAATAATTTAATTGTAAACAATTTATTTTAATATTATTTTTGGGCGTGTTTATACTTGACAAATAGGATTTCTCCTCATAGAAAACTAACAAATAAGTTTAAAATTTTCTTAATGAATTACTAGTAATTGTTGTTTCCACACCCAAGTTAGAGCGAGGTTAAGGTACCACCGAGCTATACCAGGGTGTCTCGGGTTCGATAATTTTGAACGAAGTTACGGCGGTACCTTTGCTTGCTCCCTAATTGTTGATTCTTAAGAGAATGATGGGATTCTTCTCTTAAAAATTAGCATATATCTGTGTAAAAATTAAGCTTTGCCTAGCCTGGCTAGCTCTAAAATCCGAACTCAAGTTAAAATTATTTTTATATTTAGTCACATATAAATTCATCAACCGGTGTTATTGACCAATTTAATATTCAAAATCAAAATTCTTTTTGCAACACAACAGCAGCAAACTCTTCTGTTGCAACTACAGTACTTAATAATTATCCGGTTAAATAATTATTTTTGTTGAAATTTAATTAAAATATTTTGGATAGTAAAAAATAATATTATTTTTTAATTTTAACATACATTTAAATTAACAAATAATTTAAGTTTGACTCAGCATCTGTTCGTTTTCTGGCAGCTGCCGCAGAAATTTCATCTTCACATCAACAGCAACAAAAAACTAATTTAAATACAGACATTCAACAACAACAACAAATATTAATTCCAACAAATTCAATTAATTATGGAGGAATGTTTTGTTCTCCAACAAATAATAACACAATAAATGTTGACGTTTCTTCTATTTCAAATAATTATAATTTACAACAACATTATAATAATCAAATAATACAAAGTAAAATAAATTAATTTTGAAAATTTTTTAATTTTTAAATGTCTAAAAATAAAATTAATTATTTTAAGTTTTTCGTTACTAAAATCTTGATACAATTTGTTAAAGGAAAAATTACTAAATAAAAATTAGACTAATATTAATTTGAGAGAGGGTTGAAAATAAATTTTAAAAAATATAATTAAAATATTTATTTAGATCAACAATGTGGAGAACAAAATAAACAGAAAAATTTATTTGACACCAATTCTTCATTATTTAATTCAAATTTAATTAGCAATCAGCAACAACATATTATTGTAATTTAATTATTTATTCACATATTTTTAAATAAATTTATATATTTTTAAAGGTGGAAGAAACAAAACAAAAACAACAAACTCCTGCAGATAACGAAATTTCAAATACAAATATCACAAATGTTTCTTATTGCTAATGAGTATGAATTAAAAACAAGAATAGTTAATATTTTAATTTCCTCAAAATTATTTTTTAAATTTTATTGGGAGGCTGAATGGGCAAGCTTTGTTTTAAAAAAAGTTTTGAAATATTCTTTTTCTAAATTTTCAAAATTATTTATCCTTTTATTTTTCATAAGGATTAATAAAAACTAGAAAACCCAAAAATTTTAATATAAAAATTTATAGTAAATAAACATATTTGGATTAAAACAGTTAAGCTAACAAAAATTGTTTTTAGTACAAATTAAGTATTTGTTTATTCCCTCTCCTATCTTTCAAAATTTAAAAATTTTCAATTAATATATAACTATTCTTTTACGTAATTCATAATTTTTATTAAAATACACTTCTATAAAAAATATCCTTTTTATTATCCCTTCAACTTTTTATATTATTTTCTATTTCTTGACAGTAAGAAAACTTTTTTTAAATCTTCCTCATAATTTTATATTTCTCGGCTAAATATTTTTTTTAAATATTATGTATTTTATAGATAACACAGTTCATCAATTTTGAACTATTTATTGCAAATAAAATTTTAAAATTTTTATTTTTACATTTAAATTTTTTTAAATTGATTACAATTAAAATATATTTATTTTATCACAAAAATAAATGTTCAATTTTTACATATTTTTTACAAAATTCGTTTAAAGTGACATTAATTGAAATTTATATTCAATATTTTTTATTAATAATTTACATTCATATTTTTAAATTAATTTATTAAAATTATTATTTTATTCCAAAATTCTCTAATAAAAAATAAATTAAGCGTTATATTTATGCAAATTAGTTGCCGATTTAACACGCCGCCATGGAAGCCTGAAAATCAAAAATTATTTATTAGAAGCCCAAAACAAAAAATCGCCTAAAACCAAAAAGCAAAGCGATGTGAAAACACTGCAAAAAACAAAAAATTTATTCAGATTTAATAAGGATGAAAATAAAAAATTTAAAAAATTAAATAAAAACAACAATAAAAACCAGTGTTGCCGCAATTAAATGAACTTTAATTAAATGAAAATAGTTTTGAAGTTCTTTTATTTAAAATTAAAAATTCTTGCCAGTTTCAAACGGCAACTTTGATACAAACTAAATAAATCACAACATAATTCTTTTGATGAAATAGTATAAGATGAACATTAAAATATAATAATATAGGTATTTAAATAAAAATTAAGTAAAATAAATAAGAGATGATTTTTGAATTTAACAATTTTTATAAATGTATCACATCGCTTTTTGTGAAAGGGGAAAAGAATTGGAATAAGAACATAGATTTTAAATAATGGCCAATTTTATTAGTAGGGTTGTCGTTTCTTGGAAAATCTTCGGATACCCAGAACCAAAAATCCTCGTTTGTCGGTTCGTTTCCAAACCGACAACCCTATTTGTTATTTTCTGGTACTTTTTAAAATTAAAAAAAACTTTGGCTTTTTGTTTAACTAAAATCTTTTAATTTTATTTCTATACGAAAAGCCAAAAATTTTTACACAACTTTTAAAAAAAAATAATTGCCTACACTTTGTAGTCATTATAGTAGTAAAATGTTTTCCAAAACTTTGATCTATTCCGCCGATATTGGAAGTAAAAAATCATTAACCCAATGGCAATAAATGATAACCAAACAAAATGATGGAAGTGATGATCAGAGACAACTGAAAAAGTAAGATTATATTTTATAAAAGACAAAATTTATCTCAAAATAATTTCCTAGCACAAATTTTTTTGTGTAAACTGATTAATAATTTTAAAAATTCAATTTAGTTATGTTATTATAAGAACGACTCCCTTCCCAATTATAGAAATGTTTACTTTTATATTTACATAATATGCTATTATCAATTAATCTATTTACCTCTAAATTCATCGTCCGCGACATTCCAAACACCAATCATTTTATCTTCTTGTTCAAGTATTTTTGCTTCAATTTCTTCCAATTTGTCAACCTTAAAGGATTTTTAAAGGTAAAATTAAATTTAAAAAGTAAACACCTTTCCAGCCATTGGATCGAATTTTGGATTTAATCTGCGTTCCGCAACCTTATCAAGTTTACCATTCGAAAATTCACTAACTTTGTATGCTGGCGCCTGCTAAATAATAATTAAAAATAATTTTTAATTTAAAAATCTTCACCTTATATTTATCAATTTTGACATCATTATAATAATTCAACAAAAATTTTAAAACTTTCTCTTCATTAAAACTTCCATCTGGATTTCTACAATCTCCACAAACACTTTCTGGCGGAAATTGTTGTTTAGGGAACATTGGATCTTCGCTAGGCTCTCCTTTCAATCTTTTATTTACTTTATTATGACCACGCCATAACCACAATACAACGTCTTCTGCAAAAATTAAAAATTGTTAAAAGGTTATTAGAGGAAGTTTAAAAGAATTTTTTTGATAACCAAAATTAAATAAAAAAATTAATTATTTACCGGGTTTGTGTACATTCAAAAGGCCATCTTCTTTAGCCATTTTATCAAAATTTTTTGAGCAAACTTCACAACTCAAAAATTGCACTATAAATTGATGAATTGGTTCAAGTACTTCTTTAACAGGATCAAATTTTGAATCTAAAAAATAATTTTAAATATTTTTATAAATTTAAAATTAATTTACCATCTTTTCTCTCTTTGTAAGCTCTAACAGTTAAAATATGAAAAATAGTCCAAAGGCCACAAGTAAAACCACGCAGATGAGATTTTGAACCTCGACAAGCAAGATAAGAAACGTTAGCCGGTATTGGATGACCAAGTTCTGTCTATATTTCAGGAAAAAATTTTAAACAAGTTAATAGACACGGTTACTCAAATTTTTAGGATAATCTCGATTAAATTATGCATAATAAAATGGGTATACACAAGGACTAAATTAAAAAAAGGCTAATAGTTGCTCATAATATGGTACAAAAATTGAACAAAATTATGAGAATGAAGTAAAATTATGGGTAAAAACTAAAGAACTTGGTCGAAACAGGGAGCCTGACTTTTTGAAATCAAAATATTTTTACAATAATTCCAGAAAAAGTTAGGACCAATATCCTCAAAAGTCTTGTAACCTTTAATATTTACAACAAATAAATTATTTTAAAAATTTTTTTACAAATATATTCACCTGAAATTGCTCAACTTTAGACAAATATTTTTCAGTAGAGATCACTGGTTGATGTTGTGCCCGAAGCCAGCTATCCAATCGAAAGAAAAGGCGACGAACAGGTACTGAACCGGGGCCATGTCGACGCATTAGATGGATAAATGACTGAAAATGGGTAAAGTAAAACAGAAAATTCGTAAAACCTTTAATGTTTGTAATTCTGCATTTCCAAGAAAGGGATTCCTAGGAATTTCAATGGTCAGTAAATAATGCAGTGTAGCAATTAAATCTTGATATTGGACTTCAAACTGCTTCCAATTCACTTCAATTGATTCAGCTTCTTTTCTTTCGGCATCATTAATTGGTGAATCCTTCAAAAATTATTTTTTGGTGATAATTAATATAAAAATACTTTAAATGTCCCCAAAGGAATTTCAGGTAGTTTTGGATACGGAGCAAGAAATTCATCCAATTTATCTTGCATTTCAAGCCAGGATTTGTAAGGGTCACTTTAAAAACGAAATTTTAATTATTTGAATAAATTTATAAAAATTACCTTGAAATAAAAACAGGTACATTTTTACTTCTCTCAAAAATAACTAATCCGGGCGTTTGAATATTTTGATCACTCAAACCTTTAACAATTGGATGTGTACTTGAGCATAAATTTAGACGAATACGATTATCCGCCGCATAATTTATTATCAACTTAAAAATAAAAATCATTTAAATTTTTTATCAAAACTACCGAAAAAGCGTCCAAAGCTGTTTCCTTGTCTACAATTATTGATAAAAAGTTGACAGACGAATCAAGCCCCTTCCACAAGTCAATAAGAGTTTTAGTACTAAAAGAAGTTATATTTTCCTAAAAATTAAAAACTAACTCGCTCTCAAATTCCAATTTTGGCCATGAATGAGGTGCAAGGCCCTTATCAAAGTCTCCTTTTGCATATTCACTAATCCTTTGTGTTACAAGCAAAACATTTCTTTTATCATCTTTGAAATTAATTGAATCATCTTTATTTTTTGAATTAACATGGAAATACTAAAAAATAATTAAATAATTAGCTAAACAAAAAAAATACTTTGAGTGAAGGAAATGCGTCAATTGCATGTTCTCGACAAACTGGGGCATTAACTTCATCAGCACAGTTGAGTACTGCAATAACTACAACTTTTCTCCATCTTTTCATTGCACTAAAAAGGAAATAATTTTTTAGTCCAGAATATATTAAAGTTTTTAAACCAACGTTGCAATCTTGACATACAACGGTTTATATTCTATACAGTGACCTGTTCAAAAATTTGGGGTTTAGCTCTATTTTAGAAAAATGTTTCATACCACACCAACTGGAATAGAATTCCACAAAGAATGCTGTTGGCTAGAAAAGAGAAATTAGAAAATTAAAATATAATTCTTACTACCTTATTATAAACACTTCTATTAAAGGTATTAATGTCCAATTCCAAAACATTATCTCCTGGTGCATAAAGTGTTGGTCTTTCACTGGCGGATGCTAATGTAGCAATAAGCCAGGAATAAGTTAATAGAAGTGTAATGGATTTGAGTAGATTTAAATTAAGAGAAAGTAGCCGTTGCTGTTGAAAAACTGAAGGATAATTAATGTCAAGAACCGGCAATTTCATGCCGGAGCGCGATCTGAAATTAAACATAATAGTTAAAATGACAGTTTAAAATCGTTAAACAAATTGAAAAATTAAAAAGAAAAAGGAGATGCATCTGTATATTAAATGAATATAAGGGTAATTAAAGAATAATTGAATTGGTTGGTAATTAAAGAATGCTCCAAGTCCAAATCAATTCAAAGTAAATATTTGTTTACTCTTTGGAAGCAGTTTATAGAAAGAATATCTGATATTCTGTTGAAACAAATATGGAGAAGGGGCCGATAGTCGGAGAATGGGAAAGAGAAAAATAACTACACATGAATTTAAAGATTAGGATAATATGAAAGAGTATTTGGAATTATAAAGGATATTTCATTAAAGTAATCATAAAACTCAAAAGTTGATCAATCAAATAACTTAACTGGTTGTTTGACTTAAATATTACGTGGAACATTGCGAAAATCAAAAATTATTTAAAAAGGTGTGTACAATCTCCCTCTTACTAATTATAAATCGATCTAAATTCCCTCGCTATAGTAAAAAACGATGATCGAAAAATTTAGTTTTTAAAATTATGTATAAAAAATAAGAAACACCGCTCATTTAATAGGCTCTAATGAGAAAATCCTTCCTTGTTTTACCTATTTTTAGCTTTGCTTATTACTTTTAGTCAATAAATATACAAAGAACATACAAAAAGAAACCCCAGTTAAATCCAGTTTTATGAATGCGCAGAGGAAATTTTGAAATGAGATTAAAAGGAGAGAATAAATAAAGGTAAAAAGAGCACATAAAAAGATTTGGCCGAAGATATGGTCCCCAGACATTTTAATTAAAATATATCCCAAAAACAAAAAAAAACTTACAAATCAAGCGTTGAGTATTTCATTGATACATCCCAATAATATCACAGAATCCTATATTTAAAATAAAAAATTAACTAAAAAATTGAAAAAATTGCAAATGTGAATCAAGCATTTTATAAAAATATTAAAAAAAATTACATTAATAATTTATCAAAATATAAAAATAAAATTTAAATAAAGACTAAAATAACAAATTTTCGCACTAAAAACCTAAGGATTAACATATTTTTAAATATTTAAAATTACAATCCTCAAAAATACCTTTGTAAATTGATTTATTTTTTTATTCTCTTTGGCTCTTTTTAAGCTTTTTAACTGCTTTTTTTACTCGTTCTGTAGGAGACAACAAAATATTCGAAGTACTTTCTTTAGAAGGTAAGACTTTCGTAAAATTAGTAATTTTCTGTTGAAATGATTGTGTCTCTGCCGTTATAAAATCATTCCAACGTTCAAAAGCCCCATGAGTTTTCTTTAAATTAAAAATATAATTTCCTTTAAAAATTTACCTTAAAAATGTCTTCCTTAGTTATTCCAAGATTAATTTGTAAAAAAGAATCTAGTCCAACAAAATCTACTCGCCCCCATTTAAATTTCTTTGTAGAACTGTCTACCAACGGTTTTGCATAGGCTTCAATTATTTCAATATTTGGAAACTTAAAATAAGTTTTAATAAAATTTTTGATTTAAATTGCACACCATTTTAATAGTTTCATCAGAATTATTAGCTTCAATAATTTTTCTCAAAGAAATTCGGCGTGGAGATTCAACAAAAACCGAATTATTTTCTTTTAGGCGTTTTGATAATATCCATTCACTTATTTTCTTAAGAGAACATAAAACCTACAAATTATTTTGTAAAGATAAATTAAAGTGAATTGCCTTATAAATAACCTTATCTAATAAATTATCAACATCATCAAAATTAAGAAATTCAGAGATCAATTCAAGAGCAGCAACTACTCCTATCTGTTTCAATCCTTGAGAGTAATCTCCCCCAGCCAACAAACCAAGTTGAATAAATCCACAACGTGTTAAACCTTTAATGAAATTAAAAAACTAATTATATTTTGCCTACCAAGTTTTTGTCTTATATCTTCAGAAGAATACTTTTCTAAATTCATCTTTCTGCTGAACATGTTTTTATAAACATGTTTAGCACCAAAAAGCCAAACATCACTATCATCAGAAACAATACCATCCACAAGATTTAATCTTTCAAGTTCGGCACATTGCGCCTCTGCTTCAGCAGGAGATTCCATAAAAGGCAAACCGAGAATAAAAAGAAGTTTCTGTAAAAATAAATTAGCAAAAGTTAAACGATAAATTTTAGGTTCTAAATATAAACTAATAAGATTAAAATGTGCAAATAAGGAGCTAAAAAAGAGCTAGGGGAAATGTGAGCAATCCACTGAATTGAAAAAATAGGATCAAAGTGAAAAGATGAAAAAAATAGAAGACCTGACAATCTGCATATATTCCATCTCTTTCAGCTTTTGAATTGTTTCCATTTAATGTATTCTTTGAGGAATTTTTTGGAAGTAAAAAATCATCTTTATTAGCAGCAATCTCATTGAATTCCTCCACACTTTCGCTTAATATTCTAGGGCTATTATTTTCGCCAGTTTTGTCAAACGGAAATTCATCAACGATTTCTATGTCATTGGTAATAGTCGAACAAGCATCGGAATCATCTATCAATTCTGGACAGGCCCGTAGCCAGGATTTTTTTTCGAGGGGGGGAAATTTTTTTGCGCCAAATTTTTGGCGCCGAAGGCGCCAAAAATTTTTATTTTCAGCGCCGCAGGCGAAAATTTTGAGAATTTTAGAAGGCCGTAGGCCAAAAAAATTCACTTTTTCGGCGCCGCAGGCGCCAAAAATTTGATTTTCAGCGCCGCAGGCGAAAATTTTTTGAATTTTGGACCTCAAAAAGCCAGATTTCTTCCTTTTTAGCGCCGCAGGCGAAAATTTTTTAAATTTCAGAGGCCGTAGGCCAAAAAAATTCACTTTTTTTGCCCCAGCCCTTCCCCAAATTTTTTCCTTTTTCCCATTTCGGGGGGGGGGGGAATTCCCCCCCTCACCCCCCCCTGGCTACGGGCCTGATTCTGGATCGGAAACATCAATAAAATCATCAGAGTTATTGTCACTACTTATTGAAGCTGATTGTGAGGTAACTAAAAGGGAAATTTACGTAAAAATTAGAAAAAGTTAAGATAAAAAACAAGACTAAAAAATATAAAGAACCGTGAAAATCAACGTGTGGATAAAGAACAGTAAATTATTTAAAAAGGATCTTAAAAAATACCTCCGCATTTATGTCCAGTATCAGAATTTTCATAAAATGTAGATTTTAAAATATTGTCCTCAAATCCATCGGTAGGCGGCAAAACATGTACTTGTTGAAATTTATCAGCTATAATAACTTTAATCCCATTATAATCATTTTGAGAAATATCAACAATGTTGCGCACTCTTTCCTCTTTTAACTGTAATAAATAATCTAAAGAAAATAATCTAAATATTTTTAATTAAAAATACTTTTTTTAGATCAGAATTAGTTTGATTTCTTTGTAAAAGACGTTGTAATTGAAAATTACTAAATTGTTTTGCATCATCTGGAATATCCGATTGTTTTAATAGAGTATTACGTTCTTGTTCGCGATGCTCTTCCAATCTAGAAATTTGTGCATCAATTTTTGAACTGTAAATCCCGCTATCATTAACAAAATTGTCAGAAGAGATATCACTATCCGAATCATTCGAGAGTGAATTGAAGTTGGATGTTGAAGGAATATTGCTTTAAATCATCATAATTTAAAAGTATAATTTATTTAAAAAACCAATAGTCAGGTGTTGTTGTGTTTCCACGATTCCCAATTTTATGATTTTTAATTGGAACATTTTCAGCTTTGTCTGAATTTAACTGGCCATTTGCCACACGCTCAAAAATTCGTTTCTGCCCCCTATTTATATTAAATTCTTGCAAATGAGATTTCAACATGCGGTCACGCTAAAAAATAAAAATGAGAAAAATGACTTTAAAAAATCCTTACCAAAATTTGCTTCTTGAATCTAGGTAAATTATCTCCATCAAATACGAAAACAGGCCTGATTTTATAAAATAATAGTTTTGCAATCCGATTTATTAAAATAGTCAAGTGTGGTTTGCTAGATTGTTTATCAATGTCAAAGCATTGAGCTTGATGAATCCATAATGAAATATCTAATAAAATTTTAGTTATAATTATTATATAACCAAAAACCTATTGCAAGACGTTTTCCTTCTAATTCCTCAAGAGTTATCGGAGTGGAAGTCACTTTCAACAAAGGCCAAAGACCATGAATTCCCATATTTACTTTAAAATTAATCTAATGGAGCAACCTAAAAACTGAAAAAAAAATTAAATTTTAAAACTAAAACACTCGATTAAAAACGAACGCACACGCGTTCCCAATTTTCCAAACACCTGGCTCTAGTTTTTATTCTCCTGACTCTTGTTTTCTAAAAGAAATTTTTCTGATAATTGAGTCTGGAATTTTTATGATTTCATTTATCTCGTACTTGGTTAATTTATCAGCTGCTTTATGGATGATCAACATCAAAATTGTGAAGAAAGTGCTTTCCTTTTTGGATCAAAAAAGATTCGTTGTTATGGCAGCATAGCTGACCTGAACTCTCCGACGACAAGTGCGCCAAAGTTTGTCAGTTTGGCGGTTCACAAAGTTCAACCGAACGACACTCTACAAAATCTTGAACTAAGGTTATTTTTAAATTATTAATCTATAAATAATTATTGTTTTCTAGGTATAACAGTTCGATGTTCGAAATCAAACGCATTAACAGACTGTGGTCTAACCAAAGCCTTTACTGCAAAACAGAAATATTAATTCCTATATTTGAAGAAAACGCCTCCAAATCGAAAGAACTTTCTGATAACACAACTATCAATTTCAAAAAGCAAAAGGATAAACTAAAGGAACGCTCTAATGGGGAAAATATGGAAGATGAATCTCTCGATCAATTTCTCAGAAGGATAGACATAAGTATGAGGAAAACAAAAAGTGCGATTGGAAGGTTTGATCGAATGGTGCTGGAAAATGATAAGTCTTACGATTTTTAATTTGTTTTATGACTAGAATCGTAGCTTTAAATCTCAAGTTGTGTAATGTCCTTTGTCTTAATAAAAATCGATTTTTAGTTAGTCGTAATTCTATAAATATTAATGAGTCAAACCATCGAGTTAATCTGGTTTCCAGCCCTAATCTTTAGTTTTTGAACATTTAAGTATATCAACAACCCAATGCATTATCATTTATATAGTACATCATTTAATTTTACTTAATACATTGTTATGAATCTCCTTTTTTCAACATATAACTACCCAAAAAATTTCAAACATCGGAGAATTAAAAAAACTCAATCAATAAAAGTCACCAAGAAACATTCAATTTCCGTCATCTAAAATGAGACGTCCATCATAATCGCCTGCCGGTAATTTTGATTTATCCAATCCATTGAAGTATGGATGCTTGAGCATTTGTTTTGCAGAGATTCGATCCGACGGATTGTAGAGAAACATTTTCTGAAATTAAAAGTACGGCACGTACTATATATCAAAAATATACCGAGAGAAGTTCAAGTCCATTCTTATCCAAATATAGATCCATTTTTTGTTCCAAATGATAGTCACGCCACTTTGGGAACGATGGCTTATAGTCTGGCAACTGCGTAACGCCTTCCCAAGCCTGTTCAGTTGGTGTGGACAATATGCTGAAGTATAAACAAAAGAATTTTTTGGTCAAGCATAAAGATATAATTATAGAAACACCAATAAATTAAACCGGCGACTTAATATTTCCATTATTTATATACCGAAAAATGCGAAACAATTGGTCAATTTCCGAGTCTCCCTGGAAGAGTGGTTTGTTTCGTGCCATCTCCGCGAATATGCATCCTATGCTCCAAATGTCTATGCCTGTCGAGTAACGATGTGCGCCAAGAAGTACTTCAGGAGCTCTGTACCAAAGAGTGACTACCTAAAATTCAAAAATCTGTTCGATCTACAAAGATTGGTTACTTCGTGTGTATAAGCACGTATTGGGATACCGACAGCGCGGGCCAAGCCAAAGTCGGCCAACTTGATGGTATGCGTCTCAGGATCGACCAGTAAATTCTAAAGAAATATTCACATCAAAAGAATTTGCGAAAGCAAAAAAGTCCACAAAAAGAACATAAAATTTTAATTGATAAACCTGCGGCTTCAAGTCACGATGTAAAACTCGACGCTGGTGGCAAAAGCACATAGCTTGGCACATTTGATAAAGAAAACTTTTGACCAATTGCTTCTCCATTGATCCTTCTGCAACGTTGTCCATATAGCGTTTCAAGTCCATTTGTAAGAATTCGAAAATCAAATAAAGTCGACTTTCCTGAATTTGGGGAGGCTGGTTAAACATAGCAATAATGTAAAAACATGGAACCAATAAAAATGTAAAACTTCAATTTTTTGAAAACCAATTCAATCTTATTCCTGCTGAAATCCCTTTAATTTTCAAGTCCTCTTATTTTGTAGTTCAGAAAACCAGTAATTATCTCAAGTTTAAACCTGCATAATAACGTCTTCCAATGTCACGATGTTCGGATTTCGTAATTCACGCAACATTGAAATTTCGCGAATTGCGGTCGATGGCACTCCTTCATCCTCGCTTTCCAATCGGATCTTCTTCATCGCAACAAATTTTCCGGTTTTCTTTTCGATCCCTTTGTAGACAACGCCGTAAGTTCCTACGGAATTTTTGTTAAATTAAAAATTATAGTTAAGAACAGACCTTCGCCAATTTTATCAATTTTAGTGAAATCATCCAAGCTTCTTCCTTTGTTAATTGAGGGCCGCATGACGGAATTTTATAGTATAGAAATAGCTAAAATTGTGTAAAGATTATGAGGAAAATAAATAACACGCAAATATTTAAATGAAATCTAAAAGTAAGCAGGTACTACAAACATGTGCAGAACAAAAACACATAAGTTTAATGCAAAAAATTTACTGAAAAATGCTGCGACGATCAATCCAACTTTTGTTTAGAAAAATAGCGCGTTTTTAGCATAATGTTTATTTAAATAGTAAAATTTTTGTAAAATTTTTATTCTAAATTACGGTGTTGTTACTTTAATTGTTATTAATCTACCGTGTATTTTTTAGAATTTCTATTCTCATTGTGAAAGTTGTTAATTTTTATTCGCAAAAGTGAGTAAAAATAAATTTTTTTGACTTTTAAGATGGATAATAATTTAACCAGGTATCAGAATTTACTTCTACGTCAGGTCATACTACAATCAATACTACAATCAATTGCTGAATCAATGAGAGATGCAATTAAGGTTTGTTATTCACTAAAGTGCATCATTTTTCATTTGAACATGCGTCTCTGATGAAGAAAATTCAAATTTTTATTTTATATATTTCAGCTACATCCCTTGTCAGGTTCCTTGCAAAATGCGCCTCTGATGGAGATTAATGTGGAAATTCAATCAAAGAAAGATGATGACAAAACGGATGATTTGCAACACAATAACAGCCCAAAACAAGAAAAGATTGCTCTTTCTATTAAGTCGACAATACCAAATAACGGTAATTTTTAACCTAATAATTTCTTTTTCAAATTTAAATAATTTTTATAGAAATGCCGTTAAGTCTCGAAGACGATTATTTTGGTACTCGTTCCTACAATTCCGACGATTCAAATGTCTGGGATCCATTAAACATTCCAGAATCTGACGTAACAAGCATTTTATCATCGTCAACTGTTAATGAGTTATTCATGCCGATACAGTCGGAGGACGACAGGGCATCATCTCCTGAACTTGGCGTTCCACATCCGCTTATTTTTCGCAAGTCCAATTTTTCGAATTCTAGATCAAAATAATTTTGTCAAAGAATTTAAAATATGAGGATTTTAAAAGGCGAATTCATTTTATTCATTGTCCATTTTTGGCATTCTGTTTGTTTTTTTATTTTTTGAGTGTGAGATTTTTCGTTATATCCCAGGCTTAATTTTTAATTTTGGGTCCTTTTTATCTAAATTACGCTTGAAACTACGCAATCTACACTCTACGTCCCCATATGAATTTTTCCTGTATTTTTTGCTAATAATTTAATTTTGTTGCTATAAATTTTAAAGTTTTATATTTTTCTTTGTTTATTGTTTTTTCAAGAAATAATCTATCTGATAAAGCATTCTTTCGGAAGTAAATTAATTTTAAGAAAGTTTAAATGTCTTCTTCTCTCCCATTATTTGATTTAACTGAATGCCTGGCAAATTCTGATGGATGGGGTCCAGGACCTGTTAAAGAATCAGCTGTGCTTGCGCCTTTTGATGGACTTCCATATCAGCCTTTTAATAAATGTGATCGAATTGGGCGGATTGTTGATTGGTTGGGTGTAGATCGCTACAAAAAGAGTGAAATGCGTTAGTTTTTTTTTTAAAATCCTTAAATTTATTGAAAAAATTTATACTTAGGTGATCGTTATAATGAGCGTCTCTATGGTTCTTCTGCAACTGCGGGTGCTCAGTTCGATTATATACATGATAATGAAGATGCCAATTTCCAATTGGTTGATTCAGGCCGAATCCAGCGACCGCAAAGACCTGTCTATAGACGGCAATTCCAATTCTTAAATGTTTTAATTTTTTACTTAAAAGGGAAAAATTTCTAACAATAAGTTATCTGGGTGTGGCAAATATTATTAATTTATTATATTTTTCGATCATACCTTTTAACTCTAAAAATAACCCTTTTTGTATAATTAAAATTTATTTCTCTTATTGGAATAATCTTATTTAGCGAAAGCTGGCCCAACGTGAACAGGAACGTCGTGAATATGACAAATATAATGTGCCAAACAAAATGAAACGTAGCATTATGAAGTTCGTTTAAGAAATTTTCGTTACATATATTATTTTATAGAGAACAACAAAAGGCTTATAAAGTTTTTCTTCGGCGTGGTGGAGGTACTCGAGGTGCCCAACAACGTACAACTCGTCGTTACAATGAAAGACAACCAGGAAAGGGGCGCCAACCATCTGTTCAAGTCCGACCTGATTGGGAGGTCATCAAAGAATTAGATTTTCAACAGCTTAACAAACTCTCCCTACCAAATGTGGAACCGGGAAAGGATATGTATGCTTTTTTAATCTAATTTTTTTCACAAAATAAAATTGTAGTGAGGGTCATAGTTATGGAGTACTTCATTTTTATGATAAACTTGCTGATAGAATTAGTGTCAATAAAGCTGTTCCACTTCAACGCTTTAATGGAACTTACTGTCATATAACTACCACTGAAGATCCTATCATTCATAAGGTTTTTCTCAAAGCATCTAAATTTCAAGGAATTTATTAAATTAAGTTGGCATCCTCTGACTCTGATGTTGGAAATGTTTTTGCTACTGATATAATTTTGGCAACGCTTATGACTTGTACTCGGTCGGTTAATAGTTGGGACATCATTGCTCGCCGGATTGGCAATAAATTGTTTTTCGACAAACGATCGGTAACCGGTGTTTCGCCAATTGGTGAGGATTATTCTTTTTCATTATTTTATTGATTTTATTAAATTTTCTTTGAGATGCTCTTTTGGTCAGTGAAACAGCAATGGAACCTCCTAGCTGGGATGGGCCTGGCGTTAACAACGCTAAAGCATTGGCCGACGAAGCTTTATTATTGAATCAGAATTTTCGTCGACAGTTCCTTAAACGAGATAGTCAACATGTCTTTAAATTTGAAAACGAAAAAGTTCCATTCGAAGAAGTTGAAAGCGACATAGCTTATAAATATAGGACATGGAATTTGGGTACAACTCGTGATGGGGTGCCAATTAAATTGGTAGCACGTACTGAACATGATGCTGTTATGCAGGGAAGTGCTGGTGAAATAGTGAAGTTGACCATTAAAGCTTTTAATGAATGGGATAGCTCAGTGAGTTGTTATTTTGGATCTAGCTTAAATGAGGGCGGAATCATGTTTTTATGTTAGATTTATCCATTTTCCATAAATTCTTCACATTATTTTACTTATCAATCAAAATGGAAAGAGGGAAAATATTTCTAATAGGTAATCTGACTATTTGTATACTTTGAAATAATTTTTAAAAAGTCAGATTGCTTCATTGACAGGTAAAAGAAAAGTAAGCGAAGAATTTATGGAAATGGAGAAATATCAAAATTATGATTCCTTTCATTTAAACGACGTATTTTCTATATATTTCATTTAAAAAATTCTTAGCAAAGTGGAGGTGAAGATTGGCGTTCGAAACTTGAAATTCAACGTGGAACTGTTCTTGCGACTGAAGTAAGGTTTGTTGATAAACAATCTAACGTTTATATTTTTTAATTTACAGGAATAATAGTTGTAAAGTAGCAAAATGGACTTTGCAAGCAATTTTGGCAGGCTCTGATTTCCTAAAATTTGGGTTATTTTTTATTAATTTAAACAATATTTATATAATTTTGACATTTTCAGTTTTGTAAGTCGTGCAAATGTCCGAAACAGTACACAACATCTTGTCTTTGGCACCCAACAATACGAACCATCGAAATTCGCCTCTGGTCTTCCTTCTTTGAATATGCAATTATGCTGGGGTATTTTAAGGGCAATAATTGATTTCTTTATGGAACGTCCAACAGGAAAATATTTACTCATGAAAGACCCACATCAGGCAAGAAATTTTTAAAATTTAAATTCACAAGTTTAATAGTCTATGTCTACACTTTCCACACTTTTTTTGGATCCTTTAGGGAGTTTTTGTCAACCGTTTAAATAACAAATCTAAAAAAGTACGGGAAATGCATTTAGACCAATTCAATAATTTACTAATTGTAAGTTAAAAATATTTCAGCAAGTTGTGCGTATTTACGCGCTTCCGGAAGGAACACTTGATTCAAGCGAGGATGAAGAAAGGAGTGGTTCATCGGGGGATGAAGCTGATTAATTAAAAAGATTATAGAATGTGTGATTGTTATGTATTCATAATAATTTACTTTTTGTTGTTGAAAATATATTTTTATGACAAAATTACTTTTAATCAAAATAATATATGTATTTTTTGAATATACAAGTGTTAAATTAAAGTTTATGTGCTTATCAACTCATTTAATTTTGTTTTTCTGAGTTTATCCTACCTATAAAATTTATTTTTAAAGGAAATGAATTTTTATTTTTTATTCAAAGCTGACATATAAACCCATGCTTTTCACTACATTCTAAACTTAGCCATCGTCCTTCATTTTTTGTTGTCTGAGACGCGGAAATTGCAGCACACCTTTTCATTACTAAACCTTTTGACAGTTTTTGATTTTCCGTATTTTCTGAATTATTTTGTTCTTCAAAATTGCTATAATTTCCAATTATGGAAGAACCATTGCTGAATTGCAACATAATTTGTACACCTATCCAGTAATGATCATTTGGTCGATTACTATTGCCACTATTCGTAAGCATTTCTGAAAATTTCAAGAATAAAAATATTTTTTCATATTTACCATTTATTCTCTCATTCTCAGATTCTGAGTCAATTTCTAATAAAGTACCGGCATGCTCTGAACATTCCCTCTGTGCATCAATCCAAGTGCCGCGTGTATGGTCAAATATACGTACCCGTTTATCTACACTAAATGCTGGCCAATCTGCAAGTGTGGCGCGTCTCAAATTTTGTTGATTTGCTTCAAGACGGTCAAGTCTCTTAAAAATTTGAAGAATTTCTTCATTTAAAAATCCTTTTGATTTTCCAAAAAATTTCTTTATTAAAAACTTGCCCTTAATAAATGTTCAAAACGAGTAGAGAAAATTTCTTCCAAACGTTTTATTAGTTCTCTAAGCTAAAATTTTTATTTTTAAAAAATCAAAATTTATTTTTTAAAAACTCTTTCAATTGAATTAGACGAAAGTTTTGTTTTTTCATTATTTTCTTCCTCATTAATATAACTATTTCGTTTCTTCATTGTTGATGCCCCATGCTCTATTGTTAAAACATTTAAAAATCCTTGTTCTTTTCCAAAATGTCCATTAGAATTTAAATTATTATTTTCTCCTTTTTCTCCTACAACAATTCCAGATTTTGTTTTTTGTGAAGTTAAAGATGATAATGGCTTTTTTAAATCAATTATTAATTTTTGTTCAATTGCCAAGTTATTAATAATAATTAATTTTAAAATAAAAAATTTAAAGAAAAATAAATGATTTGGCATTTTAAATAAATAATTTGTTGTTTTCTCCCATTTTTTCAAAGTTTTATTTAAGAAATTATTAAATAGTGACTGCTTAAACTTTAATTTATTCTCAAGCTTTTTTCAAATTTATTTTTTTTTCATCTTTTTATTGCATACGAACTCTTTATTGACCTAAATATATTTATTTTGGTTTGATTTTTCAATGAAAAAATTTTTTCTTAAACTTTTTAAGATGAAATAAAATTAAAAAAAGCTAAATTTATTTTTGATAGAATTTATATGAATAAACTTTTTTGTGTTTATTTTGAATAAAAATTCTGAGAAAAGTTGAAATAAAATATATTTTAAAAAACATTTTTGAAAATTAATATTTTTAGATGGATACTTCTAAAACAATTAGTTGTGCAAATGTTTGTTTTTATCTGAGCATTGGACTTTTCGTTTATTATACCTTGTGGATATTTGGAGTGGTTCGATTTTTAGAAATTTAGTGAAAATATGTACTTGGGTAATTAACAAATTTCTGCTTATAATTCCATTTAAAAAAGTATACCATACTCCCTAAATTTTGGAAAAAAATGTGAGGGGTAATTATTCGAGGAAGGGCAATTAATTAAGAAATTAGGTAAATTATTTTAGACACGAATGTACTTTAAACGAAAATACAGCACTTCAAAATTTGGAATAATAATTAAGTCTGGGATGTTGGCCATCAAAGAATTGAAAACTTGAAAATTCTAGAAAAATTTGAATAATTCTTCAAATTTCAGCCCTTTATTCCTGCTCAAAGTCATTTGAGGTTATTGTTCCCATCACAAGTTTATGCTATGGTTATTCCTTTATTTTTGTTTTGGATGGGTACATTTATTGCTTTATTAATTTTTAAATTTCGTTAATTAATTATTTTAAATTTATTTTTAAATATATTATAAAATTTTAAAAATAAAAACTCCTTTCATTTATTTGTCTCAAACACTGTAAAAGCAAAAGAATAAGTAAATGGATTTTTATGACAAAAAATAGAGTAATTTAAAGAGATCATCCAATTAAATAGAGATCAAAATTATAAAATATTCTTTTCTCTTTTTTCATTTTTTAAATTCATTTTTTGCCAAATCTAATAAATTTTTGTGCTCTTTTTGGTGCTGTTAAATAAACAGCAGTCATTGCAGGTGATTCTTGTTGTTGCCTTAACCTTTCTGATGGATATAGACCTTCTACAACATCAATTAAATCATCCAAATTTTCTACTTCTGTTGAGGGGTCTCCCCCAACTAATTCCTAAAAATAAAAAAAAAATTTTTTATTTAAAACAAAAGATGCTCTTGTCCAAATTACGCGGTCCAATCGCACTTTTATGCGTCCAAACAATTTTTATGCGAATGAACGTTTTTGCGTCCTAGCTACGTTAATAAGATCCGGTTCTGCGTATTAAAGCCTATGGTTTGGTATTGTACGGGTGTATCATAACACTGGGTGAGTAGAGCTTTTTATTCCTATAGATTTCACGGTACTAAATTGAAGAACCGGGGAGTCAGCGATTGACCTCATAAAACATGATCGAACTCATAAACGTTTCATTGTACGCATAAATGAGGAGCTCTTTAGAATGGGCTATCATTTAAAAAATCGTATTTTTTAGCCCAAAAATGTGCTTACTCCCTCTATGGTTTTTCAATTTTCGGGGGCATGTATCTCTGCGAGTTTTTGACACCTAGAAAAAAAGGACTGTACTATACACGAACTTAGCTCGGCGAGAGGAATCAAATTAAAGACCGTGCTCCCATAAACTATAGTGACCCCAAATTATTACCATTGAAGGAGTCCGCCCAAATTGAATAAACTTTTGGTTGTTGCCAGCTGAACGTCCAAATCTGATGAATTTCGGTTTAGGCGAACGTGTATCTCGATCGAACCTAAAAAATGTTTTATTTAAAAAAATATTCTTTTGGCTTTTAAGGGACTTTTTAGAAATTATTGAAATGAGCGGTCGTGTCCGAGTGGTTAAGGAGATTGACTCGAAATCAATTGGGCTCTGCCCGCACAGGTTCGAATCCTGTCGACCGCGAAATATTTTTTAATTTAATTTTTAGTTTAAATTAAATATTTTTAAGGTAATTTTTAATTAAAAATATTTACCAATTTTTAAAAGGGGAGGAAACTTCATTAATTGCTTCTTCAGCTAAAGCCATTTCTGAAGTGAAAATAAAAAGCGAGACAAAGATAATGACAATAAAAATTGGAGAAAATATTGATGTTTTAATTAAAGAAGAAAATAAATTTTTGTTAATAGGGAATTGTTTGCTGGTCATTTTTTAAAAATTTATTAATGGAGGAAAAAATATTTAAATTTTTATTTGCCTGTTTTCTTAGTTTAACCTGAAAAAAATAATTTTAAAATTTAATGAAATTAAAACTATAAGAATAAAAATAATTATAAATAATTAATATTTAAATTAATAATTCTTGTATTTTTTAAACTGAAGAAAAAATTTAAAAATATTTAAAAATTAATTTTGGTTTTCCTGAGTAAACTAAAATTTTCAATTTAACTTTTAATATTTCTAATATTTATTTGTTCTTCTAAATTAATCAGTATTTAAAAATAAAAACAATAAAAGTCTTTCCTTCCCCTTCCACAATTTAATTTTAGGTAACTAAGGCTGGGAAGCTATTATATTTTTCATACATATTTTAATTATTTGTTACCAAGGATTGGGTAAATATTGCGTGTTAAAATTTTTTGTATTATTTTTTGAGGTTATTTAACAAATAACACTTGAAAAAATAGGCAATTATTGGAAATAATAAAAAATATTTTTTTCTTCAATATATAATTAATTTAAAATTTAAAAGAAAAAGGTTCACAAGTTTTACAAGTTTTGAAAAAAATTTTTTCTTTAAAATTGTTTAAATTTAAATAAAACATAAATAGAATTTAAAAAAACTTTTTTTAACTAATATTTTTATAAATAAAAGTTCCTTTTTTATATTTAATTGGTTATATATTTTATTTCTTTTTAGAAATTTTTTCCAGAATTATTTTCTTTTCTTCGAATTTTTTAATTATTTGTAGGAAAAAAATTAAAAATAAATTTTATTTGGAAGAATTATCATAAAATAAAGAAGATATTAAATAAATATTTTAAATTAAAATTAAAAAATATTTTTTTGAAAAATAATACATATAAGCAAAATTTAAAATAATTTTCTTTTTAGTAAATAAAACACAAAAATAACAAATATTTACGTATTTTTTAGGAATCAAAAAATAATAAAGTTTCTATTTTATTTAGCTCTATTTTTAGCATTCTTACACAATAAAAAAAGAGACAAAATTTTACGTAAAAAAATAAAGAAAGGTTATTTTTTTATTAATTTTAACGGAAATTGTTTTTGTTTTGGGGTTTTTAAAATAAAAACAAAAATAAAATTAGTATTTATTTTTGTTTAAATTATTTTCCCGATATTTTTTTTTGCAAAAATAAAATTAAAAAAAGAAAAGTTTTTTTTATAAATGATGTCAGTAAGTAAAAAAGATTCTTTTTTTTTCAAATCAACTATTAAATAAAAATGAATTTATTTAATAGAAGCCAAATAAATTAAAATGTCAAAAATATTAAAAAAACATTTAAATAAAATTATTAAAGAAATGTCAGACACAAATTTCAAAATTATTTAAAATAATTTGCTTAATTTGCTTTAAAATTAAGATAAAATATATAAATTTAAAAAAAATAAATGAAGTAGAAAAAAAACAAAAAATAAATTAATTAAATATTACGAATATTTAATTTAGTAGAAAATTATTTTTAAAATTTAGTGAAAAAAAAGAATAATTTAAAAATATATTTGTATTTAGTTATATTTGTTTAAAAAAATTTTTTTTAATATTTGGTTATGACTTTTATGTAAATTAAAAATATTGCAATTTGAGATATATTTAAAATTTATTGACTTTAAATATATTTATTTGTTTATTTAAAAAAAATTAAGAATTAATTTTAAAAAATATTTTATAATTTAGAAAAGTATATTTGGAAATATATTTTTTAATTATTAAAATTTATTTAATATTTAATTTTTTAAATCTTTTTTTTTATTTTTCAAAAATAAATTTAAAGTCATTATTTAAATTATTATTTTTAATATTTTTTTTCTTTAAAAAAATATTAAAAGTAGCTAAACACGCAAATGTCTCAATTGAGAAGACTTTCAATAAAAGAATGAATTTTTTGTAAAATAAAAAAAGAAATTTTAGAAGAAAAAAAGAAGGAAGAATGACTTCATATATTTTACTAATAAAAAATTATTTTTTTTAGATTAAAGGAAATAAAAGAAAAAAATTAAATTAAAATTTAGTTTTTGATATTTTTAGAATTTCTAAACTTTATTTAAATTTAGGAAGAAGGAATAAATGGAATTTTTTAAATAAAAAGTTCCTTTTTTAAATCAAGATTCTTTTAAATATTCTCATAAATAGTAATTATTTTTAATTATTAAAATAAATAAAAATATAAGAAAATAAAATAGTTTAAACGAATTTTAAAAATTATTTAAAGAAAAAATCTCAAAAATATTTATTTTTAATAAGATCTCTACCTATTCTATTTTTGTGTGAATGTCAAAAATGGAAAAAGAAAAAAATGAAAAATAAATCTAATTAAAAAAATTTTTTGCAATTATTTAAAAAAGTAACAAATTAATTGAGTGGGTGTAGTTTGAAATTGTTCTTTATTATTTATTGTTTTTAATTTATTTTGATAAAAACAATAAATTATTTTAATTTAAAAATAATTTTGTAGTAAAATAAAAATAAATAAATTTAAATTATTATTTAAAAATTTTTTTTTAGAAATTAATAAACGGAAATAGAAAAAATAAAGAAATTTTCTTTGTTTCCTAAATAAAAAATTAATTTTGTTTGGGATATTTTACCGAGAAAATAATTAAATAAAAGTAGAAATTAATTTAATTTTGTTAAAAATATTTAAATTAATTTTTGTTTTTATTTTAAATTATTAAAAAAATTAAAAATAAATTAATATTAAGTATTTATTTTCATTTAATTAATAATCCTCAAATATATTGGAAAAATAAACTTGAGTATTGAATTAAAAAATTTTTTTTGACAAATTTAGGACTTATTGTTTAATTGAAAAAGAAAGTATATTTCTTACTTCCAAAAATTAATTTTAATTAAATATTCAAATATATATATTTCCTAATTATTTCCTTACCAAAAAATATTAAAAACAAATATCTAATTTTTAATAAATATTTTTATTTATTAATTTGGCCAAATCCCCTAAGGAAATGTAGAACATTGGCCTTTAGATATATATTTCTTTATTATTAATTTAATACAGTCATAAGATGAGACATAAAATGTGAGACAAATGAATTTAAAAAATGAAAAAAATTTTTATTAAAAAATAATTCTGTTTATTAAATTTAAATTTTAATAAAATTAAAATATTTTGATAAAAAGGAGATAAAGAAGAATTAATTAATAATAATTTTTCTAATTAAAAAAAAGTCTTCCATTTTTTGCGCCGGAGGCGAAAATTTTGGAAATTTTAAGGTCAAATTTAATTTTTTAACTAAAAGTCTATTTGTAAGTACGTATTTCAAAAATAAGCACGAATCCGAAACCTGGATATATGATGAAAAGAAAATTATTCTAAAGGTAAAAAAGTGAAGAGAAGGGGGAGGGGGTGTGTATGGGTGGGAATTTTTTTAAATTTAAATAACAATTCCTAAAAATGATTTTCTATCATTCGTAATTTAAATAAAATATTCAAAAAGGTTTTAAGAAAAAACAAGCAAAATACCTAAAAAGATTTAATTTTAAGATATAAGTACATTTCTCTCTTCTTCAAAAAGCGTAGGGGTTTTAAGGATGTAAAAACTATTCATTGTTTTTTATAAAAAAAATATTTATATTAAAGTACTAAAAACAATATTGTTAAGAAAAATGGCAAATGAGGAGAAGGGGGAATTAGCCGGAAATATTTAAATAAAATAAAAAATTTTTTTTTGTTTTTGTTTTTGTCTAATGCAGCAAAATCCAATTTTAACAGACAAAAAGCACCATTAAAAGATAAATATTGACAAAATGAGGATGAAAATGTGTGAAATAAAGGAGAGATAATAAAGGAATTTTTGGGAATATACAATTAATGAAGAAGATAAATTACTAAAATATATATTTGGAGAAAATGATGCAGAAAATTTTAAAAATAAATATAAAAGGAATTATTCTATGTAAGTATATATTTATTTATGAATAAAAATTGTTTAGAAAAATTATTTTTAGAATGTTCATATTTTGCAGAATTTTGTTTGTCAATTTAAAAAGAATTAAAGTAAATGAATTGAAATTTCTGTGAATTTAAACTGTACTATTTGTTGAGGGAAAAATAAATTTTATTCAAGAGTTGCAACTTACCTATTTTAAATTCTTTGAAAAGATTTTCTAAATAAATATTTTCATTATTATTTCAATTAAAATATATTTCTTAAAAAATAATTAACAATAATAATTACATATATACATATTTTTCTATTATCATAATTTATTGGCCAGATAGTTTTGAGGGCAATTCAATTTGTGCCTACTTCAAGTAATTCTCTTGAGGTAATTTAATAAAAATAATTTATAAAAAAATAAAAATAATGAGGGCAAAAAATATATTTTATATAAACTCTAAAACAAAAAAAATCTTGAAAAAAAATTTTTAACATAAAATGAAGTAATCGGAAGCAGAAAAAGTGGCTTTGTACTGAATATACGTACTATATACTTTTTTATTTACTTCCCACCTTCATTTTTTCAAAATTTATTTTTAAAATTGTTAAAAATCAAGCTAAATAGTCTCTACATATATTAGAATTTAAAAAATAATTTTGGATTAATAAAAGCCTATAGAACTCACGTAATCGGGTCTTTCTATTTTCTGATTGATAATTGAAAGAGAGTATTGAATTAGTAATTTTATTTTGAAATTTAATATAAAAACAATTTTATAAATATTTAATTAAATATTAAATTGCACAAATTAATTTATTGTAAAATTAATGGAAAGAAAAAAAGAAAATACTAAATAAAAATAAATAAATTATGGGAATATTTTGTGTGTTAAATAGAAAATAAATTTATGAGAAATTAAATACTTTCTTTTATTTTCCCACAAAATACAATTAAAGAAGCATATCCCTCGGACAACCAGCCCTTAAATAATCGTCAGATTTTATTCCAAAATAACTCAAATGGTCGCTAGTATCAACAGCCATTGGCAGAGGACGGCAATGGTGATCCTCTGGATACTCACAAACCTATAGAGAAAATTGTTTAAATTTTTTTATAATTTTTAAATTTTAAATAATTATTTATTTTAATAAAAAAGTTGGAAAGTGAAAAAAATGAACGAAAAAAAAGTAAATAAAATATTTTATGTAAATTTGGCTAATTTAAATATATTCGTTTATTTAATTAAAAATAAATATTCAGACGTAAAATTTCTTTATTTTAAGACTTTTACTTTCTGGAAAGTATTCAATTAAATTATTTTACAGATTATTTAGTTAATAATTTGTAGAATTTTATTAAATTTTAGTTAATTAAATTAAAATAATTTTTACAACATATACATTTTTACGTTTTTATTTTAAATTTAATTTTGTTTAAAATTAATTTTTAAATCAAATTACCAAAAAATCAGCCTCTCTTGATTCCATTCCTTGAGGGTAATGAACAGCAAAACGATAAAAATATGGTTGTCGTTCAGCACCCCCTAATGTTAATAAAAGTCCATCCGGATCAACAGATTGAGGTATGTTAGTTACCTTTAAATTAATTTTGGAAATATTAATTCTGAAAATTGGAAACATTTAAAAGAACAAAATCGGTCACATTTAAATTGACCTCATTTTGTTAAATAATGGAGACGTAATTTAATTTAATTTACTCTCCCATAAATTAACCTTTTTCGAATTAAATACTAAAAATATATATAAATATATTAAATTACCTCAATTTAAATAAATTACGTGATTTTATTTTATAAAAAGATAATGGGAAAATAATTGAATTACCTATTTAAATTATGTAAGAAAGAAAAGAACAATAGTATGTATGTTTAGTAAAAATTTCTTTAAATAAATTTTAAAAGAAATATTTCTTTTAAATTAAAAAACAAAAGAAATTCGTATTTAGATTTTTTAGTTAGAACAGTGGGGGGGCGGACAGATTTAGAGGTTGGAGTTTTGAAATTGAAAAAAAAAATGCGAGGTGTAAAGGGTTGGGGCTTGGCGGTACGACAATTCCGGACGACAATTGCGGGTATAAAATTCAAAAAAAAATTAAAATTTTTAAAAGTTTTCAGTGTCATATCAGTCTAAAAATGGTTCGGAAACCTTCATAAGTCAGAAGCTGGCAGTCGAGACTATAAAACAGGATCTTATTTAAATAATTTTTAATTTTTTTTTAAATTTTTAATTGTAAAATCCGCAATCGTCGTAATACCTTAAATCCTGTAATAAAATATTTTAAAATTTAATTGGGGCCATTCCTTATAGAGGTTGTTGTTGTTGCATTGCTAGGTAATTTTAATTTTCCCCTACTTCTAATTTTTAAATAATTTAAAATAAAAAAACTTACAATATCATTTTTATTAATAACTCTATAACGAAAAGGAACATTTAATTCAACAGCTTTAGCATAATTTAAATTTCCAGTTCTAGGCTCTCCAAAAGTTACTAATTTAACTCTATCAGGTGAAAACATTGTTTGATTAACTAAATATAAAGCAGTCATTGAAGCTAAAGAACCGCCCAATGAATGGCCAGTTACCTTTTAATTAAATTAAAAACTATAATTTATGTTTGTCTACCCAAATTCGATATCCTTCATGTTTTTCTTTTAATTTTAATAATTGTGTTTTCATTCCCCCTTCAAGAAAAAGACGTCTAAAAGCTCCATGAAAATAAGTCATAACCCCAGAGCCATTCACAAATTTTTCCCAAGCTCCTAATTGAGCTGCTATTCCGTGAATAAATTCCTTTAAAAATATGAGGTTTTCTTAATCTAAAATTAAAAAAAAAGACTTGAAAAAGTTGTCTATCAATAGTCGATCCTCTATAAATAACATAAAGTGCTTTTGCCTCTTCAGAAACTGCTAACATTCCCGCACAAGTATTTTTAGCTTGATCACATTCCACTTCAAAGTATTTAACAACTCTTTTTTAAAAAAATATTTTTTTAATAAGAATAAATATTAAATATATATTTTATTTTAGAAAAAATTGAAAAAAATATTTCGCGGTCGACAGGATTCGAACCTGTGCGGGCAGAGCCCAATTGATTTCTAGTCAATCTCCTTAACCACTCGGACACGACCGCGCTTACTGCTTGCCTTTTTAAACCTACTATCAATTTAAAGAGGAGGAAAAATTTGTTTAATAAACTACAAGAATTAGATAAAAATATTTTTTATTATTATTCAGAAATAATACTATTAAATCTTAAAATATACATTATTTATTTTAAAATTAAAATATTAGTATTCTCCTATACGACCACACGCCCAACAATTTCTGAGACATAATGTCTTATTGGTAGTGGATTAGGACAAATGATAGCTCATTCTATGCGGATTGCCGAGCTAGGTCGAATTTTACAAAAATTAGGGAGACTAGGTGAATTTTGAACAAGTAATGAGCAATTAATTGAAATAATCAACTGATGGAGGTGTTTTTATTACTGATTGTAAGGGTGTAAATAATTATGTATATTTTTATTTTCCCTCCTTACTTTACATCACTTCTACTATTTTTTAAACAAAATGTTGGATCTTTTTGTTTAGCAGCCAAAGTAAGTGCATATAAAGATCTTCCTAATTTATCTGTATATCTACGTCCTTTTGCATTAGATATTTTTAATGGACATTTAAATGGATCTCTTGTAGCGACAGCTACACCACTCGGACAGGAAAGTGGTCCTCCACAAGAATTTGTTGAATAACACCATCTTTTTGTGTTTAAATTAATTTTTAATTAAATATTTTAACCTGCAATGCTCACGAAAAGTTAAAATATTTATATAAGAATTTGTGCAAGCAGCACAATCTCTCACTAAAAAATTTTTAATTATTTTTAAAAAATCTTTTCTTCTTTACTTTCACTACAAACATTAATCATTCCAGAATTAACAAATTTTGAGAGAAAAATAAATAATAAATAAAATAATAATGAATATAAAAATATTTTATTCATTTTTTAATTTAAAAATAATTTTTTGATCGATTTAAATATTAAATATCTTTTTTAAATTTAAACGAATTGAATCGAATATTTTTTTTAAATAAAGGAGAAAAGTGGTCAATCAAATGCCATTTAATTGTAGTAAATAAATGTTTAGGATTGAATGACCTAGAATGGAAAATAAAATAAAAATTCAATTAAATATTCCGTATATCCTTTACAAAAAAAGTAGGTCAACAACCGATCGCTAAAGCGAAGATGCAACAATATTTTTAAATAGAAAAATAAAACTTTAAGAAAATTGAGAAAAAAATTTTTGGTATTATTTTACAGAATTATGTAGATTGTTCGAATAATTAGAAAATTTAAAAAAAAAATTGTAGAATATGGTGTCAAAATGGAAACGCCAAAACGACCTCTTTTACGTAGTGTTTACAAAAGAAGAGATAAGAAGAAATGATAAGGATTTTCAATTTTTTCTAAAAATAATTTCCAATACAGTTTGTAGTACTTAAATAAACCAAAACATTTGCCAACAAATTGTTATACATACAATCTTTGTAACGCATAATGAAAATTAACGTTGAACATATTTTTTAAAATTATTTTTGTCTTTAGATCATTTTAATTCAGGGCTCGGATCGACAAAATGCTAATCAAAAGTACAAAAATCATGATTTTAAAGTACATAGTGACAAAATTTCCAAAATTAAAGTACGCTCAAAATTAAATTAGAAAATATTTAATCGTGCTCAAATCTTTTATATTTCTCTCCTAAATGAATCTTTTCTAATAATTTCTTGTTTCCACTGAGCATTTTGTGCATTTCAATGCATGACATGTCAAAATTCGCTTACAGACGAAATAAATCCCTGACAGTCTTAACCTCAAGCAAGCTACTTTCTTTCGTCCATTTTCAGCGCCGCAGGCGAAAATTTTGGAAAATTTCGGGGTTCTTAAGACAGATTTCTTTCATTTTTAGCGCCGCAGGCAAAAATTTTTAGAATTTTGGAAGGCCGTAGTCAAAAAATTTCACTTTTTTAGCGCCGCAGTCGAAAATTTTTTGCAATTTGGAGCCCAAGAAGCCAGATATCTTCCTTTTTCAGTGCCGCAGGCTAAAATTTTGAGAATTTCGAAGGCCGTAGGCCAAAAAAATTCATTTTTTTGCCCAATCCCTTCCCCAATTTCATTTTTAATCCAGAATGTTGATTTTAAAGTACATACTTTCAATAAAGTACAAATTCAATTTCGTAAGTACGGAGGTCGATTTTAAAGTATTGTACTTTCAAATAAAGTACGAATCCGAGCCCTGTTTTAATTTCTCAAAAATGCGATTTTGTGGCTAACCAACTTTTGCGACTCGACGCTTGCGGCATTGAAATTTGCAGCACTTACCGCTTTCAAATCTCAACATTCAATTCATAGCACTCAAAAGCCCGCTCCCAATTTTCAAATTTAGTTTTATAACGATTCCCATTTGTGCTTTTTTTTTATTTTTAAAATATTTAAGGAGTCGTTTTGTTTTCCTCTCTTTGCTTCCTCAACATGCTCGCCTTTTTTGACTCAAAAAAGTCAAAACCGGTATGTAAAGATGCAAAACTAATCTTCTTTAATGGATTGAATTTTTCACTGGCAATGCGAGTCGCTCAATAAATTTAAACGTTTATTATGGATTTTAACAAACGTAAACCCTCAAATTGAGTATTTTATGGAAAAGAAAAAATCAAAAATCCCTTTTGTTCTTTCATTAATTTCTTTATTTTTTGGAATGTTTGTCGCGTGATTTTTTTAAATTTATTTTTATTTTATTTGTTTTTTTTTAGCATTTTTTGTGCTAATACTTACATAATTTGCAAATGCATTCTTGGATCGACCCCGATGCTAGCGAAAGTGATCTTGATGCATCTTTCGACGAAAGAATTTCCGATGCAATTCCCAGCACTTGTGGAGGTCGTAGAAGATCTGGAGTAAAATCTAATGCGACAAACAATAAATCTACACAAAACAATATTAGTCCATTTCTTACACCTCCACGACTTGAACGTCAAACAGTGCAACAGGTTTTCTTTTAGAAAGTTAAGCTTCATTAGTGTGTTTATATATTTAAATTTGGTACTTATTTAGTTCCCCCCCTCCCTCAGTCAGTTTTTTCGAAAATTATGGAAAAATGGTCAGTCTGAACAACAATTGTAGAACCCATGGAGCTGTGTTGAATGAGACCAAAATCAACGAAATCGGACAAGATTTGACAAAGTTATGACATTATTTAGACCTACCGGAGTCGACGACTTATGTCATAACTTTGTCAAATCAGGTCGGATTTCTGGTCTCATTCGACTCATCTCGATGAGCTCTTTCGAATGAGCTATCATTAGTATAGATTTTCGTCTTTATGATTTTGTGCCCCTGTGCTTTAGGGGTCTGTATTTCGGTCAAATCAAGTCGGATTTTGTTGATTTTGGTGTCATTCGACACAGCTCGATGGGTTCTACTATTGTTGTTCAGACTGACCATTTTTACATTATTTTCGAAAAAACTGACTGGGGGGGGGGGGAACTAAATAAGTACCTTTAAATTTTTCCTTAAATTCTTATTTCTTAATTTTATATATTTTAAAATCAGAATCAGCCTAAATTACAATCATCACGGAGTCGTCACACACACGACCCAAATACAACTCCTCTTGCTACTAGACAATTATCTGCAGAAAAATCACGCAGTAATTTGGTAGCTGCACGTAGATCTGCACAATCGCCTGCCAGTATATATTCTGAAGATGAATCACTTCGCCAACATAGATTAAAAATTCAAAATCATCCAAAACCTGGAAATGGGGCTACTAAACTCCAAGAACTTGTTAACCTTCCATTTCGTGCAGTTTTTGGGTTTGACTTTTTTTTTATAAAAATTTGAGAAAGATAATGGCTCATTAAAGTATTCAAAAATGCGTAGAATACCCCCATTTTATTGAAATTTCTAAGAGTAGTGTTCCTTTAATTTTTAGAAATTTTTAATCAAAATAAATTTAAATGTTATTTTTTAAATAAAGGCGTGGAAGTCGAGTGGCTAGTTCTCGTGAGGTGGAAGTTCAAAGAGCTGGTTCTTCATTTAAACCTATGTCCACTCCTTTTGATAAAGGTCTAAAATAATTTTTAATTTATTTAAATTGAAATTTTGAGGTTTCGAAGCCGAACTGCCTTTGCATGACTCACCCGAAATTGATCGTTTTCCAAATGGCGTTAATAGAAGTCAACAAACTTTGAATGGTCACCAACAAAGAGAATACCAGCAAACTGAGGTTTCTATTTAATTTATAATTTTATATGTATTTATTTCACAGATACCTGCACAACAACAACCAGATACTCTCCAACGAGATTTTTCACAGAATATTCCCATACGGCATGATAAAGAAAATCAAACTGACGATATTCAAATAGCTGCTGGCTCACCAATTTCTGACAAGTTCAAAAAACAAAATAAAAATTATATTTTTCACAACAACCGAATACATTCGCCATTTCAAAATTCTTTGTTAAGTAATAGATATGGGCCGTCATCAACACTTCGTTATTATCGACCTTTTGCTGTGACACCTAAACCGGAACATTATAGACGGTTTTTTTTAATTTTTTAAATATAAAAATATTAATTTTACGTAAAAAATAATAAATGTTTATTTTTTTACCGAAAATTAAACCAATTGAAAATTAAAACAATTTTTAAAATAATTTTTCTAGTCTTCACCTCGATCATCTTGCCAAACGAATTCGTGAAGGCGAATTAAAACGAGTTCAACTTAGTGCTCAATTTAAGCTGTTTAATGAAAGTACTCGACAGGATTTAGAGGAGGTTAGTTAGTTATATTTATTTTTCAACTCTTTTAAAATTTTCCTTTTATAATTTTAAGTTGGAACTTTTGAATAATGAATTAAAATTGGATGCTCGTCGTCGTAACTTTGAACAAAATCTCCGTGAACAAGAAGAACGTGAAAGAAATACAACAACAAATAGTCTTTCTACTCGTTCTACTACTGCACGTCCATTAACTCCGGCACCTATTTTAAGGAAGACACCAATACCTAAAACAAATGTACCTCGTGTATCCTTTACTTCACCGCCTACTCGATCGGTTAATAACTAAAATATATTTATTTAACTTATATCTCAAAATTTAAGCCCAACAGAAATGTAGTCCGATCTCAATCTCAAAGACCACCAGAAAATCCTGATACCAGAAGGGCAAAGAAGTACATCGAAAATAGAGGAATTGAAGAGGTTATTTAAATTTTGTATTCATTTTTCATTATTTTTAATATTTTTAAGGAGGATAGGCGTGTTAATTATGTAATTAAATGGAATTCGAATCAAGAACAACTTAGAAAAGCAAAACGTGCAAATCCGCGTATCAATCTCAAATCTAATCCAACTTCAGTATTTCAATATATTCCTGGAAATTCTACTCGTCGCTAAAAGGAAATAAGAAATCACCCAAATATTCACTTACCCTCATATATATGTATGCCTTAAATATAAATTTAATATATAAAAACTTGTGTTTAGAAATTATTGTTTAGACATTTAGGCTCGTAATCAAGTAATTCAAAAAAGGGAAATCTGACCTCTGAAAAATGGATAGTTTGCAGGAAATTCGTTCTCTGGGTGTCCTCCTTATAAAAATTTGAATACGGGCTATCGAATTATTGACTTATTGTTAGTTCATTTTCCATTTGACTTCAAGATAAACATTTTTGATTTTTCTATTTTTACAATAGCCGGATTTTTTATTTAAGTACATTTTAACGATTAAATGGAAATTCAAATCTTTTAATGAGATTAGAATTAGATTTTTTAATTTAAAAATGACTAATAATTTGAATTCCTATTCCAAATTTTGATTTAAGTTTGGGTAATCCCTACCATAAAATAATAATATAACAACAAATATTTGAATTTAATTTTTTTATTTTTTTTTTGTGTTCGTGCATTTTAGTTTCAAACAAAACTTTTGACAGCCGAGAAACTCTTTTGGCCAGAAAGATAAAAAAGAGGAAATGACTAGACTAGAAAATCAATTTTCCTCTCGTTTGCCTTTAAGTGCATACTTTCACTTTTTTCTGAAATTATTAAATTGTTGGTAGTCTTTAAGTTTCAACAAATTTCATTTAATTATTTAAAAAAATTTTATTTTTAGATTTATTAAATGTCTCCATTTTTCTCTTTATTTTTATTTTTATTATTTTGTCTATCTAATAATGAAACAGCTAAAATTCTTTTTACTTTTTATCATGATCGAGGTAGCCATTTTGGATCAATGCTGCCTTTGATGGAAAAGTAATATTTTATGTTAAATATTTAAATTTAATTTTTCTTATTATTAAATTTCGTTCTTGTTTTTTAATTCCAGTTTTATCTAAAGCCTAAAATAATTTTTAAATTTAAAAATTTAGTTAAATTAATAAAATCACAAGTTAAGTTTACTATGTTTTTATTTACTTTCTTTTCTTCTCAAACTTTATATTTTGAATCAGTAGATTTTCCTTTCTTCACAGCTACTTTAGGACAAATTCGACTAATTTTAAAATTAAAATTGTCAAAAAAATTTCTTTAAAGATTAGCCTCTAATGGTCATTCAGTTTTTGTTTTGGATACTATATTTTCAACAAATAAATCGAAATTAATTAATTATCATCGAGCACAATTGCCACAGGACGATGAAGGGGAAGAAGCTAAAAAGGCTTTTGCTGATTTCTTTTGGTATGAAACAGATTCTTCTGTTACTCTTGATGAATTTTTTGAACATGGAGACAATAAAATTGGAATATTAATGATTAACCACACAGAAAAGGCAAAAATAATATTAAAAATATTTTGAAAATAATTTTTTAAATTATAAAAAATCTAATTCAAATTACCAGAAAATATTTTAAAACTTATTTTTATTTTCCGGATTCTGTTCTAATTATCAATTTATCCTAACCTATTTGTTATTTTTAATTGTATTAACATACTACATAACTAGCCCGCTTCGCGGGCTAGTTATGTAGTATGATTCTATGCTCTATATTTAGCAGTACACGGTAGATTTAATGGAAAAGCCTTGGCTGTTGATGGATGCCCCTATGGGCGTTGGAACCTAAGCCTTGCCCGTTAGGGCCTTCGGCCCAAACTTCGTCCGCTCCGCGGCCGAATGGGCGCTGCGCGCCCATGGAGGCGCGGAGAGGTTGCGGGGTTAGTTACGATGCTTTGCCTTCCGGGGCTGCCTCTAGGCGCTACGCGCGGTCAAAAAATATAAATTGCGTAAATTTTAAACTGTCAGACTCAAGTGTCCAACTATAAAAATTTGGTTAAAATATTTGCAAGCACTCACATGCCCGCTCCGCGGTACCCCAGATGCTTTCAAGTCATTCTGGCAAAAAATTTTTTTGAGACTCAAGTGTACTTTTGCTTAAAAACACTTTTAAGCCCTCCCTAACATGATTCTATGGCATCCCCCACCCTTCAAAATAATTCAAGAAGTCCCAGACTCAATTTGAAACCCCCAGACTCAAGTGACCCCCTGGAAAATATTTTCATTAAACTCCCCATCAGCCATTACCTATTCCCCTAAAGTTTCAGCCAAATCGTCCCAGCCAGTCCCGAAATATCCCAAAATATAGAAATACCACGTTTGGCCAACAAAATTTTGTCCAGACCCTAACTACCCTAAAAGTCGACCGAATCGAAAAATTTCTTCGGCCATCAGATCCGGACTGGCCTAACTTAGGTTCAAAATAACTCCACCGAATCTCTCCGGATTCGTCTTCATAGCGAAAAGTCGAAATTGGCGAAACGTGTCATTTTTCGACTTCGATTTTCGACCCCTAAACGAAGGAATTTCGAATTTTTTTTGAAACTTTACAATAGCAATATGGGTACGCTCTTTCGAATGAGACCACTCCCGAGTCTCTCCGACTTCGCAATCCCGAGATATGTCGAAAAAAAATTTTGTCCGGGGTCGAACTACCCCTAAAGTCGAAAATTTCGAAAAAATTTTTTTTCCATTAGGTCGGGCCTAGTCCAACTTAAACACAAATAAGCAGAACCTTTTTCCTACGGGTTCGACTTTTTGAGATATTTCGAAATTGGCAAAATGTCGGATTTTTCAAAGTCGAATTTCGACCCCTTACGACCCGAAATTGATTTTTTTGGAAGTTTTCCCAAATACTACAACCACTCACAAATATTTTTGCAAAAGACGCCATCAAGATCCGACAATGCCTTCAGGGCAATCTTGATTCTTTAAGAATTTTCCAAGTTTCGAAGTCGAATTTCGACCTCTTAACGCCGGAATTTCCAATTTTTTATATTTTTTTGCAAGAGTAACCCATACCTCCGCTATCGAATGGTACCTCCCCCGAGTCTCTACGACTTCTGTACGAGGCGGTGGGCAAAACGGCTAAAAATGAACCCCCCTCTTTTTTTTATATATATATAACTACAATACTTTATAAGAATTGTTAGATTATTTCAAGTCACTTCTCTCTTTCTCCTCAAAACAACTAAAAATAAGAGTTCCCCCCTCTGTTCAGTTAACCTCTATTTTATTCCCAGCCCTTTTTTATTTTAATTTCAACATTTTCCTTTTCACTTTAAATTATTTATCGCATTTTTTTGCACCATTTTTTCCTTCATTTTTCCTTCTAAAAAGTACAATGGATCAAAGTGAGTATTTGTCCTGATTCGCCTGTTTCAGCAATTAATACCAACGTCAACGTTGGCTATATGTGACACTTCTATGTATTTGCAATAAGTTAACTTATTCCCAAAAAAATTTTTAATGGGAATAGAGAGTTCTAATCACCTAGAGCTATTGTATACACGAGCAATACCGGACCATAGGTTCTAACACGTATTTCCGAGTTCATGTCGCCATAGATGACTCTAATCCTTTACGCTACTCTGCCTATGTTTTTTGAAGAAAGGAGGAGAAAAATGGTACAGGATTATACGAGTATCATATTTTGAAAATAATTTTTTTAATTATAAAATGTTTATCTGACAAGAAAATTATAAAAAAAATTTATTTAAAAGACTATTTCCCTCATTTTGTTCCACATTTTATTTTAACTTAGATACATATTTTTAATGATTTATTTTCTATTTTATTATTAATTGTGTTAATTTCTTCTCAGTAACTTTGAAACTTTTTAGGAATTGTTAGATTATTCCAATTCTCTCTTTTTCCTCAGAAAATTCTAAAAACTGCCCCATAAGCTAAACATTCACGATCCTTCTCTTTAAATGAACAATTCCTTTCATTTAATTTTCAACCACACTTCAGGCTATCTCAACATAATCATTCCGTTTTTGTGCTTTGGACTTTTACATCCCAACCTCCACTTTCTGTTAAAACAAAAAACATAAATATTATTTTATCTCCATTAACAGAACACAAAAATGAAGATAAATTTAATGCAGGATATATTTGGAACAAAACTGCTGGAAATGCTTTCGAACAAGTTTTAATTCCGGTAAATATGGGAGGAAATGAAGATATGGGTCAATTACTGGAAATACATCAATCAAAGGCAATTTAAAAATTAATTTTATAAATAAAATTTAATTGAATTAAAATATTTATGTTATTCCATTCTTAGTTAAATTATTTAAAGAATCTGATATAATCACAAAAAATTAACTAAATATAAGAAAAAAAACTAATTAATTACCCAAAATTATTTGTCATTCATTATTATCTATTTATTTTATTTTGTCCTTATTTCCCATTAAATCCTTTAAAAACTTAACTTTCTTTTTTAATTTTTAAATAAAATATCTATTTATTTCACTTTTATCTGTCTATAAAAGCCTAAAAAACATTTTAGCTTACATATAAAATTCTTTGCCCGCTTTCTGGCCTTGCAAATGCATGGAAAAAGAAGAAATATTAGCTAAAAATTGGTTTTCTTTCTTCTTTTTTTTTCTTTTCTAATATGAATGCCACAACCCGCCCCTTCACCGACTTTTATTCATTTTTTCTTTCACAAGCTTTCAACCAGAAAAATATTCCTTCACTTACATATCCATTTATTGGCATTTATTTATCTTTTTTTATTAAACTTTTTTATTGTCAAATAAATAGAATATTATGTAAAATTTAAATTTCTTCCATTAAAATATTTCCAAAAAATTTAAATATTTGTCATAAAAAAATTTCTGTAAACCCACATTTAGAACAATCAAATAAGAATACCCTAAACTTCAATTAAGCTTCTAATGTATTTTTTAATTCCATTTTTTTATATTTACAATATAAATAAATGAAATAATATGAAAATTCAAATGTTAAACCAACACCACCACAAACATCCTAATCATCAACAAAACCACCAACACTATCACCAACAGCACCCCCAACAGCAAAACCAACAACAAAATTCATTAAATTATTCAACAAAAAATTCTACCACCAATTTATCTATTCAAAAACAATATTCCTTCCTTTCTTCACGTTTAACCCGTATACAATTAAATAAAATAAATTTAAATGAATTACGTCAAATAGCAGAAAATTTAACAAAAAAAGTAGAAAAAGCAAATTCAGAATTAATGGCACTTTTAGAGGCTAGAGACACACTTTCTATGAAAAGGGATGCGCTGGCAATAGAAGCCCAAGACCTTAAAGAAAGGGAAGAAGAAAAACTGAGAAGAGGGCATCAATAAAAAATGTTTAGTTTTAATACAGAATATTTTTTGCAATAAAAACTTTAAAAAAATTAATTAAATTTTTAATAAAAAATATTGTTTACGTATATATAATTTTATTTATTCAATTAAAAAATAAATAAATTCCCTTTTTATCTATTACATTATTACATCCGGACTCGATATTATTCATTTTTATTATCTATTCTCTCATAGAAAAATTTAAAAAAATTTTTTTATAAATCGTCTTATTTTAATTTATTTTTCTTTTTTTTAAAACTCCTACATACTATCATTTTTCTAATTTTTCCAAAATTTTGTTTGTAAAATTCAATTAGCATTATTTTCTTCAAATATTTCTCATTCCCTTTTCAACTTTTTTTTCAGTTCTCAGAAAATTATTTTTCTTAAATAAAATATTTATGTAAATTATTTTAAATTAAATTATTAAAATATTTATTGAGAAAAAAAATTAAAAATTTATTTAATAAAAAATTATCTAAAAATAAATATTTTTTAATTAAAACAAAAAATTATTTTTTCCTTGTTAAGGTTGTTGAAATAATAAATTCTGATTGGGATTTAATTATTATTGATGATTTATTTTGGACATTTGGATTTGCCCTTACAACATTAAAACACCGTTTATGGGAAAAGAATGGGGGAGGAGGAGGAAAAGAAACAAAAAGTATTATTTATTCAACTGCAGGCCAAACACTTTTATCCGCAGAATCTATTAAATCTACTGGTTTTTGAAACAAAATAATTTTTTAAATATTTAAATTTATTTAAAAAGGCCGTGATTGGGTATCTAAATCACCATTATTTCCGTTTATTCCAACTGATAAAAATGATGCATATACCCCTAAACGTTTTACACATAGATTACACGCTTTATTTGAAAATGGAGCTGAATATATTTTAATGAATTGGATTGGTTGTTAATTTTTTGAATAAACAATATTATGTATTTAAAATGTTTAGTGTTATGTCCTAGGGTGCGGTCTTGCTAGTGACTAACACAAGAATATAATAACAAGAACACACGTTATCCTAACATTTAGGGTATATGTAGAAATAATAATAATAAACTAGAGTAGTTAGCATTGGCACAAAAATTAGAAGAGATTTTTCCTCCATTAAATTAATTATTTAATTACAAATGTCCTTGTACTATAACAATTTAATTAATTAAAAATAATTAATATTTTTTTTAAGTTGAACAATTTTTAATGCCAAATATTGCTCGTTTTGGTGTTCCAAATTTTACTTGGAAAGAATTATATACTCGTAGTTCACTTCAATTATCTGATTCTATTGACCGTTTGGGGTGGCCACTTTCTAAAGGACCAGAAATGATTAATATCGGCGCTCATTGTAAAAATCCAGGGAAAATGCCAGAAAAATTTAGAAAATTTATTGAAGAAGAAAATTCTGAAGGAACAATTTATGTTGCTTTTGGAACTTATCCAGAATGGAGTTTAGCCCCGAAAAGAATTATTTCGGCATTAATTGGGGCCTTTGAACGATTAAATAAATTTAAAATTATTTTTGCTTATAATGGACCTCCAATTAAAAATTTAAATAAAAATATTTTGTTAACTAAATGGGCACCTCAATTAGAGATTTTAGCACATCCAAAAACTAAAGCTTATATTACACATGGAGGATTAAAAAGGTTTTTAATAATTAATTATTAGAGAATTCTTTCTTGTTGGACACAAAATTGGTTATTAACTGGTACCCCTCCATTTTTCAGTTTTAGTTAAATAGTAAATAGCATTTTATTTTTTGAGGAATTTTTCTTAAAGATCATTCATTATCAAAAATTTTCGGTTTTATTTCTAAAATTTCTAAAAACGGTTAATTTTTGGTAGTAAATATCGAAATTAACGGTTTAAACTCGATCGTGTCTCTAACCCTATTTCCAATTTTTAATTTAAATTATTTAAAGTGTAAGAGAAGGTTTATGTTTTGGTGTTCCTTTAATTTTGATGCCTTTATTTGCTGAACAAGCACACAATGCTCAACAATTATTTGTTATGGGTATTGGACCTGTAATTAATAAATATACTTTAACTATTGATTCTGTTTATTCTACTATATATTCGGTAATTAAAAATAAATAAAAATTAAATAATTTCTTTTTTTCTAATCAAAATTCAGACATTTTAATCTTTTTTTATCAAATTAATATTTTTAACAAAAAAATTTTTTCTTGTAGACAGTTTCCAATCCAAAAAATATTTTAATTTCAAAACGTTTTCGTTCAATATTTCTCGACAGACCAATTAAAGCTTTGGACGAAGGATTATTTTGGATAGAAAGAATTACTCGTTTAAAGCCTGGAAGAAAAGTTTATTTTGAACGTAAGGGGATTAATTTAAATTGGATTAATTTTTTGTATTTTGATTTTATTATTTTTATATTTATTTTTATTTTATTAGTAATTTTTTAGAAAAGCTAAATTTTTGTTTATTTTTGTCTTAAAAATTAAAAAAAAATTTCTGTTCAATTTATTTAGTAATTTTCTTTTATTGTTAGTTACCTCAAATTTGTTTTTAAAAAGATTATTTATAAATTTATTTTTTACTTACATCATTTTATTTAGAAATTTATTTATCTTTGTAATTAATTTTTTTTAGTTCTGATAAGAATTATATATATTTGTAGTTTATATGTTGATAAAATTTATAAAATAATTTTCTGTCTAATTTTTAAATGAATATAACCACAAAGGAGGTTTTGGTATTTTTAATAGATTTAAAAGACTTTTAATGAAAATTCAATATTCTAAATTTAACAATTTATTCTACAAAAGAAAACTCTTATTTTGTCAAAAAAACAAAATATTGTAGTAATAATTAAAATAATTTTTGTCATTTAAACTATAAATTAAAAATACAGTATATGTAGGTATTAATATCTTTTGTTTAAGTTTAATTAATTTGCTAAATTCTTTTAATAATGAATAATATCTCAACTAAAAATAATTAAAAATTAAATTTATAATATTAAAAATTATCTAAGATATTTTAAAATGCGATCTATTATTATTTTTGAAATAATTTCTTTAATTATTTCATTTGTTTTAACACAAGAAAGGCCTTATAAAATTCTTGTAACACTTGCTCCAGATTCACAAAGCCATCTACGTTCGATGCTTCCATTAATTAATAGGTAAAAATAATCTGAAAATAATAAAGATACCGCGGAACTTTGAATCTTTCTTAATTTAATTCCGGATATTCAAGGAACTTCTTAGAACCAACAACCCTAGTCATGTCATAAAATTTATTTATTACACATTGTAAAGCATATAGCTATTTAATTCCTAATGCTGTGTAGTAGGTGGCATGATGTAATAGATAACATATCAGTCCGGTCTACTGAAGACCTGTTTCGAACCCATCCGCCGATTAACCTTTTGCACTAGCTGAAGGAGAGAAATAGCGGCTCCCGGACAATGCGTCAGTGGACAATGCGTGAGTGGAAAATGCGTCAGTGGACAATCGGTCAGTATTGATATAAAGTGATTAAACGTGATGACATAAACAGATAAAAGTTCACTGATATCCCTCCAAATCAGCTGATCTCCATCTTAATCCAACCGAATAATTTAATATCTCTGTTAATCCTCCCAAACCCGAGATATCGGCTTTAATCCCAACAAATCCCTCTATATCTCTTTTAAACCACGAAATCTTTTTTTTAAATACGCCTAATCTGTTTATATCCCATCTTTAGTTTTTTATATCATTTTTTATCTCTTTACATCATCACTTTCAATCACTTTATATCAATACTGACCGATTGTCCACTGACGCATTTTCCACTCACGCATTGTCCACTGACGCATTGTACGGACACGGAAATAGCTATAGCCCAACTGCTTTACTGTATTACCGTTAATGTTTTTTAAATTAAAAAATATTTTTTTTAAGTTTAGCAAATGCTGGTCACCATATTTATATTTTAAATATTTTCACAAAGGAAAAACCTGAGAAATATTCCAAAAATGTTTCTATTATACGTGTTCCTCTTGATATTGCTCTACAAGATGATGAACAAGTGAAGGATATGCAAAAATTAATGTGGGACTATACTTTACATTCTCCAATGCTTTCTTTAGTTTATAAGATTGTTGGAAAAGTACTTAATGATGTCACTACAAATCGGTCTGAAGAGGTATTTATTTCATTAATTTCCCTTCTAGTGAAGAATTGAAATTATTCCCAGTTAAAAATAAAGCAGGTAGAGATAGTAGTATTAAAATTATTATTAAGTGTTAGAAGGACACGTTTTTATTTTTAAAATTACATTTTAATCCCAACCAGATTTTTTCTTCTTAATTTCTTTAGTTTACTCAAATAATAAACTCAAAATGGGATTTAGTGCTTGTATCAGAATTATTTAATTCACAAGGCTATTCAATTGCTAATTTATTACATGAACGTGAAAATGTTCCTTATGTTATTTTTTCATCATCAATGATAATGGGTATACATGCTTGGACAAAGGCTGTAGGTAAGTACTTAATTAAACCTTTAATTTATTTTCAAAATTATTTTTAGCATATAATTGGGTATCTCACCCACACCCATTTTCGCCTAACCCCGGAAGCGGCACAGACGGTGCTTTTAATCCTATTTATTTTCACCATAGATTTGTTCACAGTCTTGAAGGAATTGGTGATTTAATAACAGAACCAGTCACCGGTTTATTTTAAAAGAATTCCAAAAAATAATTAAATAATAGATTATTTTATCAATCCAATTTTTACTCGTTTTAATGATGGAAAAAACTTTAAATTCTCAAAGTTTATCACTCAGAGTTCAGCTACATTTGTTGATGCAATTGAATATTTAGGTTTTTCTCAACCAGGTAATTTACACGAATAATAATTTTTATTTTTTTATGTATTTTAGAAGTCTCAGAAATGTATAGAATTGGTGCTCATTGTGAAGAGTCTTCTAAATTACCAAAAGAATATTTAAATTTTGTTGAGGATCCAAAATCAAAAGGTGAATATTCAAAAAAATTTTTCAACCAAAATTTAAAATTAATTTGTCTAGGCACTATTTATGTTGCTTTCGGAACAGCTATTGCTTGGGGGAATGCACCCCCTCACATTATTGAAGCTTTCTTTACTGCTTTTTCAAAACTGGATGATTATAGAATTATTTTTGCTTTCAAAGGATCTAAAGAATTTTTAGAAAAACGTGAAAAATTACCACAACATATTCGAATTGTTGAATGGGCGCCTCAATTAGATATATTGGCACATTCAAAAACAAAAGTATTCCTAACACATGGTGGACTGAAAAGGTTGGAGAAAGAAAGGATTGATAAAGTGTAAATATTTAATTATATATTCTTGTTAGTGTTAAAGAATCAATTTGCTCAAAAACTCCAATGCTTGCAATGCCAATTTTTGCAGAGCAGAACCATAATGCACATATGGTTTTGAAATATGGAATAGGGATTGCATTGAGTAAGGTTGTGAAAATTTTAGTCCACTAGATTATTTCATCAAAGCAATTAAATATTTTGAGACCTCATTATTCTAAAAAAATTTTTCTTTTTCTAGTTTGATACTAATGCCGAAAAATTGTATATAATTTTAAAAGAACTTTTGGACAATCCAAAATATGGGGAACGAACAGAAAAAATGCAAAATATTTTCCTCGATAGGCCAATTTATGGATTAGATGAAGGTGAATTTTGGATTAGAAAAATAATTAAAAATAGCAAGGCAAAAAGAAAACATTTTTTTGAAAGAAAAGGAATTGATATAAATTTAATTGAATATTTTCACTTTGATATAATATTTTTATTTTTAATATTTTTATTTATCCTTTCAAAATAAAAATAAAAACATGAGCACATATCTTTTTAGATTATTTATGAAATTCATAACATTGGAATTTTCTTCGGCCCATACAAAAGAACATAAGCACCTAGAAATAGAAAAATTATTGTTTATTGTTTAGCATAAAATTATATTCGATAGGGAGGAGATAAAAGATTGCCGTTTTATTATAGATTAATAAGGGCGATTAAATATAATATTAATTAAAATCACTATATTTTTAATGACATTACCGAATAGAATCCAGACTCTTTTAAGATATATTTAAATGTTTCAACATTCATAAAAATATAACTACTCCAAAGACCCCAAAATTGATAAATTCTTTTTAAAAAAAACTAACAATGCCAATCACCACCACCCGACAATTTAAGAATTTCTGCTTCGGATACTGGATAAACATCTGTATCATCACAGGCTGCCCATTTTGAATTCCCAACGTTCTCTTGATTGTTGTTTTTTGTATCCTTTCCCTCGACATCATCATCACCATCCCCAACACGTATCCACGCAACATAATGACCAGAATTACTTGCCCGGCCTTTATGAGTTATTAAAGCCTGAAAATAAAAAAAGGATTTAATACAACTTTTTTAATTTTATAATCTTTTAAAAAATCGCGTTAAGAACGACAAAATTTTGGCACACACCCCATTTTAGCCCACTGAAATCAACCCCTGGCTACACCCTTGTCTCTAAACCTTAACAATCAAATTTTTATCATTAGTATAAATCAAAAATGAGTTAAAATTAATTTAAATTTCAACCTTTAACTCGTAAAATCCACTATTATTTGAACCAATATCATCAGCAAATGTATTTGGATAAAATCCTTTTGGTGTTAAACAAGGTTTTTTGGCTTCAGGATCCTCAGCTAGCTTTGCATTACGCAACATTTCCATTCGAGTTTCTTCATATTCCTTAAAAAAATAAATTTAACATTGCCGTAAACTATTCAGATATCTACACTCAAGTGTTGACGTGCCGGTTTTAATTTTTCTTGCAATTCGGGTGTGCAAGTATCATACATATCCAAAACCATTGGAAATTTAACGTCTTTGAGTATTTTTGCATTAATCTAAAATTTTTAGTTAACCAAACAAAAAAATAAAAACTTAACATTTTCTTTCTCCTTGAAGAAGAATCGCACAATTTGAACAGACAAATAAGCAGGAAGTCTATCAATAAGTGAACTCTTCTCGTATTTTGCATCTCGACCTAATTCTTCCGATTGTTTTTCAATTTCTTCAGTCATTTTGCATTTAATTCCAGATTGGATATACCGAACAGATTGGCTAAGGAAACAACTTGCCTAAAAAATAATAAAAGAATTTTAAGAGGTACTCACTCATTAATTACCTGATATCCAGTTTCCTCACTTGTTTGCACTTCTTCAGTTGACCCCTCTTCCAAACATTTAGTTTTTACTTGATATTTAATTTCAAAGAATTTTTTCAGCCGAATTTGGTTTTCATTATTTAAGGAACCCGTATTATTCTCATTGTCAATTGGAACAATTAACTCATCAGAAATTAATCGTAACAATTCACAAAAACATTCATTTGCGTCTTGTTGTTCGCCTAATTCAAATTGCGGGAAAATATTGTGAAGAACATGCAAAAACAATAATGGCGTGACTGTTATGGCTTGATCGGATTCAGTTAAATCTGCAGCAATAACACGAGGGCGGGAAGCGCCAGAATCCATTTGTTCGTATAGCTTAAATATTTTGAAATAAAATCTAATAAATTTCATACCTTTTTAAGCATTTTTGTAATGTCTGCAGCATGAGAATTTTCGTTTTCGTTTTGACCGCCACCCGTGTATTTTTTGATTGCTTGATTTAACTCTGGGATTACCTAAAAATAATTTTTTAAGAAAGGACATTAAAATTGCAAACTTTAAAGCACTGAATTGTCGCATTCATATAACAAGTATTTCCTAAGTTTGCCAAGCCAGCAGGCAAAACAATGTGAGATTCCGTTTTAGCCTTTTTCTCATCTGATTCTTTCTCTTCCAAATTTTCTGTATTAACATTAGTGGATTCTTTGGTCGCTAAAGCAGATCCCCCCATAAGCATAATAGTTGAACCATCCTTAACGGCGATTCCATTCCAATTCTCATCTCCTATTGCTTTGCCCTTAAAAAATATAAAAATTTTTGTGAAAGGTTAAGGTAATTTGGAAAGTCCAAAATTTATAGTCACAAGTTAATTACTTACTTTAATTAATAATTTTTGACGCTCCGGTGGAATTTCAGTTAGAGCAAAAAGCTGAGCCTTCAGAAGCATTGGTGACTCATTTAAATCAACCTCAACCGCGAGTACTTTAGACCCGCATCTAACATTTATTTTAGTCATTTCTTCGGAATTTAAAATAAACCACCAAAATTAAAATAATATTTTTACCAAATCTAAAATTAAAATTAACAAAAAGAAAAAAGAAAAAAATGATGAAAATTAAAAAATGTCAAAATTGGATTCAATGCCACAAAATAATTTTTAATAAAAATTTAAAATTTTTAAAATTTTCTTTAATTTTTCGGTTTTGTTTAGTAAAATCGGTTTGTTTAGTAAAATGATGAAATGGTGTTGTTATGTTATAATGGCATAAATAATCTGTAAAGAAACAGATGAAAACAATTAATTACTTGAATTATGGCAAAAAGTCAGCAAGACTCTTTTGTCTTTACATTTATTTTCAGTCTCAGCACAAACCTAAACCTTTAGGCTTGCTTGTCAATAGAGTCTCGGCGGCTTAGCATCGAAACGCCTTTTTCTATGCCATAACTTTTTTTATTTCGATCATTTCCAGAAATTTTCTTTATCAATTAGAATCTATATTTGTTTTTATTCTTTTTGTTAACTTTATGAAAGGATCCGATCATTTCTTAGAAAGTTACACCCGCCTAAGTATGTTAAATCACGATTATTCGCAGTTAACGGCTCCTAACTTTTTTGAAAGACGGTAAAACTAAACAATTTATATGAAAAAATAACCAGCACATCCAGAGCTTTTAATTAAAGCAAAAATTATTTGGATCGATTTAAAAACAAAAAAGTTATATCCCAAAAACTTCCGTTTTGATGCCATATTTTAAGACTCTTTCGTTACCTGGTTACTTTTAGTCTAAACCTTTTGAAGCCTAAACCTTTAGGTTTTTAAACATTTGAGTCTCACCACGTCTTCAATTTTTTTAATTCTAACTTTTTTAATCGTTTGTTCTTCTTAATTAGTGTATAAAGATGAATCAGAACTGATATTCTGGTAATAGAAATTCCACAAATTAAGAATCACATAGATAATTTTTGAATTTATTTATGAATTCCTTGGAGAATTTCATTCCTGGATGGAATAGAAGCGATGTTGGAATTTCGTCAACAACAGCCTCAACCCAAACGGCCCTCTTTAGTGCCACAAATTTAATAAGTGAGATGAGGACAATGACTTTTATTTTTTGATAAATTTGTTTATTTGACTCATTTCTTAAAAAAATTCGTTCCCTGAAGATAAAAAAGTCTAGACCATGCCCTCACCCTAAGACCGAAAAACCTCAAGAAAAGTCTAGAATCAAGACTTGGCAACTTTTTAGAATGTCCATCAGATCGTAGGAACTGAGAAAAACCACAAAAATCGCAAGAAAAACTGGTTTTCTAGGTCCGTTTGGAAAAAATGTATTTCAAAAATTTTATTTTTCTGCACGCAATTTTTCAACTTTTAATATTTTTTCTTATTATTAAATTTTTTTCCAAATTTTGAGGTTGTTATAGAAACCATTAAGAACTTGTAAATTTTAGAAGTGTGGTCATTATTTTGAGCTTCGACAAATCTGGAGAAAAATTACATAACACTGACTACTTTTAACTTTTCAGGTTTTAATTTCTACCAATACATTATATATTTATGAGTGTTTTGTTGTCATCGCGTAATGTGTTTAACTCACATTATTTTCCATTTCTGGTCAAAAATGTTCGTTTATATGCTTCTAGTGGGGAATTGCCCGGAGCTGGAACTTCTACCGGTATTGAACATGCAATGAAATTCAAGCAACTTGGCCAAAACAATAAACAGTCCTTTGATGATTATAAATGTATTGAGTATTTGAATTTCAATAAGGACTCTTACTACGATATTGAGGTAAATTTAAATTTTTTTAAAGATTTATTTTAAACTTTAGTGTGAACTTAAAAAGTTTCGAGCACCGCAACCTTCAAATAAACAACCTGATACTGAACCAGCGTTCAAAACAAGCGAATAGAATGAAACTTTTGATTTGTTAGGATAGTTTTAAAATTGTTTGTTTAAAATTTAAAAGTATATAAATGTTTGGATATTTTGCCGGTTTTATTTTAATTATTTGTTGAGATTACTCTTAAATATTATTTTTTTTGTGTGTTGATTAAATTATAATATATTTTATTTTTTTATTTTAAAATGTCTTTTAACGAGGAGTCTTATGTAATTACATCAGAATTAATTACAAAATGGATGGAACTTGGACTGGGCAATGAAATATTAGATGCTGAACTAACTCAAATAATTGATAAACATACAGGAAAAAATTTTCCGGTTATCCTAGATGATCAAAGACAGGTTTAAAAAATTTCTAAAAAATTGAAAAAATTTTACTCGTTTTTCTAATTCTCCGGTTATTTAAAAAAATCTTAAAAAATAAAAAAATATTCCAAATTCTAGACATTTGTCACATTTATCTTCCCCAATGATTTTACTACAAAAATGTTTGAATTTCAACGTTCATCAATTATTCGATTAAATTTTCTTCGAATTTGTTTACGCGATAAAAGCTTGGGTGAATCTAATGTTTTGTCTTCAATTCTCCCAATATTATTGAAAATAACATTTTTGGATGGGAATAATGTTAAATTACAAAATTCTGCAAAAAGTTTATTTTTCATTTAATTTTTATTAATTTTTAAATTTCAGTTTTGCTTGAAGCTAATAAATGTTTGGTTAATTTTCTTTTCAATTCTTCAGTTGGAAGAGCACATTTTGAGTATAAATATTTTTAAAAAATTTAAAAAAAAACTTTATTTTTAGGGAAGAACCTTTTAAACTTTTAATTTCTCGAATTTCCTTTATCGGCCCTATCCTTAAAGGAAAAAAAGAAATTTTATTTTCGAATGAGAACAATGGAACTTTTGTTTATTTAAATAATTGGTGTCAACAAGAATTAGAGGAACTTCTTTTATTGGATATGAAAATTGTTTTTGTTGTGAGTGCTCAAGAAAGGCAGTTGCAAGTAACGTTCTTTTCTTATGGCAAAATTTAAATTTGTGGAACGAAACAGAGGAAAATTCCGAAATTGAAATTTATTTGGCTTTTTGTGGACTTTCTTGAAATCCCCATTGTCTCTCTACTTTTCATTTTAGTATTTAATTAGATGTCGATTTTCGAAGTTTCGTTCCACAAAATTAAATTCTCATATCTGCCAATATTTCATAAATATTTAAAAAAATTTTTTTCTCTTTAGCTTGATTGCCAAAAAGATGTTAACATAAATAAAATATTTCAAGAAATTATTGCAAATGCATTGGATAAATTAATTGAATCTCCATCTCCTTCAAACATTGTTTCTTCTATTCGTCCATTTATAAATGAAGCTTTGCTTATTTTATTTAATATTTATCATCAAATTGTTTTTCAACAGCAACCTCTAGATTCCGTTAATTTTTAAACAAAATTTTTTTTTCTTTATTTTAAATTCTTTTAGAATATAATTCAATTATTTTTAAATGAGTGTGCACGTATTTTACAAAATTCTTTTCTTGATATGGAAATTAAACAAAATACAATTAATTTTATGGCTACAATTCCCAATACTTTGTCGACGCTCTGTCCAAAGGTTTTTATTTAAAATATCTTTAAATTATATTTTTATTTATAGACTGAGGATTCTACTATTTACAACCAAAATAAATTAATATTTGAAGGTTATGATGTTACTTTTTTGGATAAATTACTTAATATTTTAGAAGAACATATTGATCAGGTTTAGGTTTTCTAAACAAACAATTTTTATTTTTTTAGTATGAAAAAGGTAAAGTTCCTGCGTTTAGTGAGCATCTTGTTATGTTTTTGAGAATGATGACTACTCTTTGTATGGATCATAAAGTTGCAAGACGGTATTGTCGGTTGAAAGTAAATAACTTTTTTATTTAAAAAATTTATTTTTTAGCTTTTAAATAATTAATTAAATAGACATTTAAAAAAGTTCTCGTATTTTTATTTTAGGTTATTCCTCCATTAACAGCCGAGGACGTTAAGCATCGCCCTGATGTGGGTTCATCATTCAGAAACAAACTTGTTCGCCTAATTTCATCAATTGGTGCTCTTTCTAATGCGTCCGCAGATTTTCTTTTTGTACTTTGCAAACGTTCAGGTTTTTTTGAATTCACAAACTTTATTTTTTACTTATTTTTATTTAGCTGGACGGCTAGTCAAATACACTGGATTTGGTCATGCTGCAGGTTTGTTAGCCGATCGAGGAATACTTGGAAGAGCTCTGGCACCAAAACATCCATCTGACAGTGAAGACTCGGAGACTGAAGGATACAAAGAAGTGGAAAATGAGTAAGAAATTAATTAAATCTTTGTGTTCTATATCTTTTGCAGAGTAAATCCCGTTACTGGTTACATCCCTCCAGCTGGTCAAATGGAAGAATTTCGTAAGCAATTTGAATCTATGAGCGAAGAACAAAAAGAAGTCGAAGCTATGAAGCTCGTCAATGCGATGGATAAACTTATGGATCAGGGACTTATTACCCCGGGCACAGTTGGTGAAGACGGACGTGTTAGACAAGTGAAGCACGTGGCGGAATTGATAAAAGATGTGGAAAAAGCTGACGAGAACGAAGATAGCGACTAACATGAATTCTAATATTTCAAGCTTAACTCCTGAAGAGCCAAAAATATTTTTCATTTAGTTTTTAATTTTTCTAATGCCCAAATTCTTCTGCCTATAGTAGTAATTTTTGATCTCCCAAATTTTTAAATAATTTCCCTAGTCCCAAACTAATTTTAATTAATAAAGATAGAACATTTTTATTCTTTTAATGTCTTTGGGTGTGACAATTATATATAACAATTTTTGTTTTAATAGCTTATAAGTAGCAGGGCTGCACCCGAAACCGATCCGCTGCAACCCTGACAAGTATTCTCTCTTTAGAATTTATAACAAAAATAAGATTGAAGTGAACCTCACAAAATTTGATTGTGATAACAAACTCGAAATCAAAACCTTATTACCCATAAAAATCTGTGTGGGAGTATACCATTCAAAAATCGTGGGCATCCAACTTTCTGGGCATAGTAAATTCACGTATAGAATCATCAGTTATTTGTTTGCGACATTCTTGAAGTTTAGCTACAACACTTTGAACTAAATCGATTGCAATTTTCTTAATTTCACCAGATAACATTTTTCCACTTGAATAATCCTAAAATTATATAAGCAAAAATATTTCAAGCAAAATAATTAACCTCTCTAATTTGTTCCAATTTTTGATCATCTTCTAGGAAAAATCGTAAGAATTGAAAGGAGATGTCAATATCGCAATTTCCTCCATATTTTCTATGTTCTTCAATTGTATCACGTCCACCACTAAAGGCATATTTATTAATCTAAAATTTTCTTTAATTATTTAAAATTTAAGGCTAGAATCAATCTTTTTTAAAAAGTCTAGGATAAAAGTAACTTTTACCGGACTCGAATTACATTCCCTAATAAGTTAATTGTAAGAATAAGCCTGGCTCACCCAGAAACGAAAAAGTCTAGCCCACTCACAATTTGAATTTTTTGGGGTAAGTTTCAAAAAAGAGCCTCCTACTTCCTCATTTTAAAATACTTTAAAAAATAAAAACCTTAGTTTTTATTTGTTTTGGTGTATCATCAATATAAATACAAGAATTTGCATCACTAGCAGCCATTTTACTTTGTCCACCTTGTAACGATGGGAGAAAATTGCTACAAATTAAAGACGGTTTAGGGAATTTTAAACGAGGTGCTGCATCTCTACACATTCGAAAGAAAGGATCCTAAAAATTAAATAAAAAATCTTTTTAACAAAAAATTTACTTGATCTATAGCACTAGGAATTAAACAAGGAATATCACGACGTCCATTAAAAATTTCTGGAAAACTACTAGAAAAACATGGGGCAGCCTCTATTGCTGGAAAAGCAATTTTTCCAATTGAATCTTCCCCGGTAAAACCAAAAATAGCCCGTGCTTGATTATTTGTGACAACTTTCCAAATACGAAGAACATTTCCATAAAAAGCTGAACTAAAAAAAGTTTTTTAAAAGAAAAAATATTTTGAGAAAAAATACCACATATATTCAGAATTTATAAAAATAAAAGTATTTTTTGGATCAAATCCAACAGAAAGAATATCTTTAATATTTTGTAATGCTAATTTCTTTGAATCTTCTAATGTTAAATCTTTCCAAAGAAATTTCTCATCATCCGTCAACTAAATTTCTCGTCATTTTGTTAAATAATTTAAAAAAACCTGAATTATTAAAGGAACTTTAAAAGCATCTTGTAAAGCTTTTGTAAAAAAGAAAGGGATCAAATGTCCCAAATGCAAACTTCCACTGCTCGGCCCTCGACCAGTATATAAATAAAATGGTTTATGTTGTTCGAAAAGGTCGAGAATATAATTGAAATCCCTAAAAATGGTTAAAAGTAAATTTCCTCTTAAAAGAAACCTGTGTGCAAAGAAAATTTTTCTTTTAAGGAGAGGATGCGCTTTATGTCCTGTCAATTTCTCAAAACGTACAATAAGGTCTTCGGTTACTTTGCTGCAACCAAATCTTTCTAAATGTTTAAAAATGAAATAATTATTTTATAAATTGTTTTATTAATTAAAATTTTACTTATAAGTTTTTCATAATCAATTCCCGTAGAGCTAGTTGCAGTAACGTTCCAAGGAGTAACAATATCATCTTTCGATTCTTCTGAGTAATCTTGAGTTAATTCATTTTTTGACAAAGGAAGAGAGTTATCGGTTTGTTCTTCTAATTTTGTGGAGTTGGAAATAGAATTAGAAAATGAGCTCATAATGAATAATTAATTATATTTTAAGCTAAAATTAATTTAAAAAAAGTAAATGAAAATAAATCCTGAGGGAGATTCTGTAAATTGAAATTTCAATAGTCGAAAACAAAAAGTCAATATAGGTATGTATTTTTACATTTTAAAAACTGCAAAATTATTGACGAATTTATTCTCGTAATGCGGATAAGGGCTTTAAACAATTGCATTTTGGCGTTATTCTGGCATTTTGTGGCGTTGGCGTATTTTGAAAATTTTGAAAAATAGTATTGTAGGTAGTATTCTGAAAGTTGTATTTTGTATTTTTCTCCTTATGTGATGTCACAAATGTGTTAGACATTTGTACTATTATTGTTTTACATTTTGTTTTAAATATAAATTAAATAAAATTTTTGTTTTGATTGATTAATTTTTTTATTTAAAACAAAAGGAAAGCCCAAAAACATTTATTCCATATTATTGTTAAAAAACAGTAAGTAGACTCATTAAATTTACAAAAATTTCCATTGGGTCAATATTTTCATCGTCAGCATTTCTTTCTGAAATTTGTTCTTGTGCACACTTCCACAGCCAAATATGAAGTTTTTCAACAGAATCAGAAATCCTTCTATCAGCAGTTAAAGCACAACATAAAAGTAAAGCAGCTTCTTCCAAAGAAAGTGACCGGCGATATGTTTTGTTTGAATTATTATTTCCACAAAAAATAATTTTAAGTTGATCTATTCTTTCATTTGAAATGTTATTTTGTGTATTTAAACGGCCAGAACAAATTTCCAAAATTGTCTAAAAATATTATTTTTTTGAAAAAATATTTTTAATTAAAATACCAAAACAATTGAAAGACGATTTGTTAAAAGAATTTCTTTATCATTTTCTGACAATTCTCGAAATATTCCAATTAAATCCATAAAGTTATTAAGCAATTTTCGTCCTTCAACTTCATTTGAAATTGGAACAATATTTAATGGAAGTGTAAAAACTGTATTTGTGTCAGTTGTTTCTTTTTTGATATTTGATTGTGATGAATTGGTATGAGGTAATTGGTGTAGGAAAACAGTCTTTAAATTTAAAAAATTTAGACTTGATTAAGTATTAAGAATGATAGTTTTAAGTATTTTTTTGTATTTTTTATACCCCCTCTAAGGACTAATTAATTTTAAGAAAAATTTTGTATTGAAAATCAAAAAAATTATTTTCTTCTTTACCTTAAAAGCAAAAACAATTTCTTTTGTAAGTTCCATATTTTGACGCATTGATTCCAAAACAATTTCCTCTTTTTGTTCAATAACTTCACTTTTCCTTTTTCGATTCTTTTCTAACCGAACATGTGTTTGTTGCATCCCCATTCGAATACATCTAAATTAATAAATAAAACTTTTTGTTTTATTTTACTTTAATTTTTTTACCTTGCTAAGCGACAACTTTGACAACGATTACGATTATTTTTATCAATAATACATTGTCCACTCTTAGAACATTGAAAGACTTTGCAGTCTTGAATTGAACGACGAAAAAATCCCTTAAATAAATAATTAATTAATAAAAATTATTTTCTTCTTACTTTACAGCCTTCACAGCTTTGGACCTAAAAATTAAAAAAATATTTCTAAATCAATTTTTATATTTAAAAAATATTACCCCATAATGATGCCCACTAGCTCTATCCCCACAAACAACACAAGTTTCTCCTATTTGTTGTAAATGAAATTGAAAATTTTGTTGTTGTTGGTGTTGAAAAAATGCAAACATTGCTGCTGCTGTTGCTGGGCTATTATTTAATGAATTTAAAAAGTTTGGGTGAATTAAATGTTGTGGAGGGGTTAAAAATTGTTTTTGTTGGTTTGAAATTTGTAATTGAGCAAATGGAAGGTGTTGAAAAGAATTTTGTGGATTGTTAGGAGGTTGTAAATGAGTAAAGGCTGATGGAAAGTTTTTAGAAGAACTTGAAGAAGATGATGAAGAAAAATTGGAAGAGGGAGAGGAAAAAGAATTTGAATTATTTGGGGTTAAATTTTGTAATCCTTGGAAACGTTGGGGAAGAATTTGTTGATTAAATGGATGTTGAAATTGAGAAGGATGGGGAGGAGGATTAGTATATATTTGATGTTTTTGATGTATAATTCCAAAATTTGGTTGTTGTTGATGAATTTGTGGGGGAATTTGTGGATGTTGTTGTTGGTATATTTGAGTAAAAGGTACACGTTGAGGTATTGGAATAAAACTGGGAGTTGATTGGAATGAGGAAGAAGAGGAGGAGGAAGATTTAAATGAAGATGAGTAAGAAGAGGAAGAAGAAAGGTTATTAGAATCATCAATATTTGTATTAACTGTTGTTGATTTAATTTCTTTTTCATTTTTGGAAGAACCGTCAGATCGTAAAATATTTGAAACTGTAAAAATTGGGTTAAATAATTTAATTTAAAATTAATACAGTAAAACCACAGATTTATTTAGCAAATAATTTGTACCTGAGAAAGAATTTGAACGCGATCCAGGCAATGACAAATGTGGAGATGTTGCAGTCATAGGTGATGTGTGTCCAGGCGACAAAGAACTTGTTTCAGTCCCCGAATCACAATAAATTTCTTCTTTAGGTTTCTGTAGTTTCTCATTATTTTCATTTGGATATTTATTTTGTTGATTTTGAAGAAAATAAGGAATTGTTTTGGAATTATTTTGTATAACTTTCAACATTTCCTTTGGGTCAACACCTTCAATAATTTAAGGGTAATTATTACATTTAATTTTTTAAATTTACCTGATTTGACTGCAAGTTGTTTAATAATTTCTAAATAATAAGCGGAATCGCTTTGTTGTACTACTTGATTTTGGTTTTCCATTTAGAAGGATACTAATACCGAAATAAGTTTTTTGAAAACTAAATATACTTAATATTTAATTATTTTATTCCAAGGTGTGATACATAAATATACATAATTAAAGAATTAAATATAAGTCAAAGATGGTCATTGTTTGTTAAGATTAGTAGACTCCGTGCCCTCTAAGCTTTAGATAAAATCTCGGTGTCAGACTTGGGTCTTTGTAGAGAAACTTACTCGTTAGTTTTGAGCGTCGGATATACAGAACGATTTAATTAAATAAAAAGAGAATATATGTACCTATAGAGAATTCTTAAACGATAATAATAAAATATAAAAATTCTCTCTCTCTCTCTCAATAATTATTTTTCACAAAATTACGGCATATGAAGCTAGGTAATGAATGAATGTTTTTTCCTCGTTTAACAGAACAACAATTTTGGCGTGCCCTTGCAGCGCCCTCTCGTCCTTATTTTATCTATGGGCGTCCTCATCTAAGCCTTCATTTTCAACTTTATTTTTCCTCAAAAACAGTTCCTCACCGGGACTATTCTCACAGTGTCCGTTGGATTTTCTGTCTACGATGTTGATGCTGCCCGGCCGGTCATAAACAACAAGCGCAAATTCAGCCCAGCAGAGAGGAGGAGTTTGTGGAGATGTGGAGGAGGATTGGCCTTACGCAACACTCATTACGCAATCTTTTAGGTAAACGGGAAGGAAAGGACTTTGAAAAAAAGGCTGCTGTTGCTCTGAGGTCAGGTCAAATATGGTGGTGGCGCTGTAGGTAATAAATAAAAAAAACCTATATTTTTTTGAGTGAAAAAAGAGGCCTTGAAGTTTTTAATTTATTTCCCCACAGGGCTTTTCTTATCCTTTCAGGTTAAGCCCAACTAAGCAAATACATATAGACAATATCCACAGCAGGAGATAATGCCGGAAGAAAAACAAAAAATACTATACAAATAGGTATAACCTCTTATTAACTTTGGAGAGAAATTAAATACAGTCACGGACAAAAGTTAGGACGCAAATTTCCTAATTACAGGATAGAGAATTTCCTAATTTTAAAATTAGTTGAATATATTTTTGGGGAAAATAATTTTTTCAAAAATTCGGAAACAAAAACTAATTGGACATAGTTTTTTAAAATTAAAATACTCAAACATTAATAACAAGAATTTGTAAATAAAATATTTATTCACAAAAAGATTTTTGAAAGGGCGGCATGTTTTGGTCGCATTCCTCCAAGTATACAATGCTGAAGCGACAATTATTAAATTTATTATTTTTTTGAAGGGAAGGGGAAGGAGTTGAAAGCTCGAATTATTTAAACTTTTTTTGAAAGACATCTGTGTTCTTTTAAATTGTTGATATCCAAATGAAATTAATTATTGAATTTTTGAATATCATTTTGAATAAATAAATCTAAAATACAAAAATAAATTAATATAAATTCAAAAGAATGTTTAAGTTAAAAACAAAAAAATAAAATGTTAAATTTTGAATAAATGTTTTCCTTATTATTTTCTAAAAAATTTTTTTATTTAAATTTAGAAATATTTAAAAAAAACTAAAATTATTTTAAAAATATTTTTGATTTTTTTTTAAATTAAAAAAATATTTTTGGGATTTTAAAATAGAAAATTATGATAAATATAAAAAACTTTGAAGGTTAATTAAATTAAAATATTTAATAATTAATTTAAAAAATTACCTTTTAAATTAAAAATAATTTTGTAATTAATTAAAATTCAAATCAACAACATCTATTATATTATAGCCGATTGGTTAAGTCGACTCTTCCAAGTAATTTAGAGACTGTTTATTTAATTATTTTTGATGTTGTTTGAAAACAGCTAAAAATTTAAAAGAATTTTTAATTTTAATTTTAAATTTAATATTTATTTAAAAATAATATTTATATTTTAAAAATTATTTGTAAAAAATAATTTCTATAAAATTTAAATTTATCTTAAATATAAAAATAAAATTTATTTAAAGACTAATATTTTATTTTCATTTTTGAGAAGCTTTAAAAAGCCTTTTTAAAAATAAGAATTGAGAAGTGAAACAAGGAACGCCTCTTTGTTTCCTTCCCTCCTTTTTTTTCCTTCCAGACAGCCACTTTTCGTACCAGCACAAAATATGTAAGTAAAATAAAAAATATTTATTTATTCACCACAAATAACAACAACATTAGTTCACCGCCTCCTTTTTACGATTAAAAAAGAAATAAAAATTTGCAACTGACCAATAAACAAAAATCCATCTGGTTTTAATTTTAAAAGATTAAACATCAATGACCACAAAAAATAAATTATTAAAATAAAATATTAATTATAAAACAAATATATTTTTAATTTAATTATATTCAATACATTAATTATTTAATGTAGTAAAAGTATCCATTAAATGACCATTAAAAATAATCGAGTAGAGAAACAAGAAATCTCCATTTTTTTCTTTTTTTCTTTCAATAAAAATTTATTTGTAGGGCAACCAAAGATGATAAACTACTTTAAAAATAAATAAAACAGCCATTTAGTGTCAGTTGAAGGAATTTTTTTGAGAAAAACAACAGGAAATGGACAAAACAATTTTTAGGTATTTTTATGTGGTAGTTAGTACTAGTCGGGAAAAAAGAAAAGCATATCTGGCCAGTTAGTATAAGAAAAAAAGGCGCGAAGAGACACGAAATGGAACGGGCTAAAAATTAAATGGTTTGAAATAAATTGAAATTTTAAAAATTAATTTTTTTCTTGATTTTCACTTTTGCTTATTATTTAAAAAATTTTGTGTTAGAAAACAATAAAAAGCTATCAATATTGGATTAAATTTTGCACCTTTAATAATAATTTCATGACCAAAGGTCTATTGTTAAAATGTTTAAAAAAGAAACTCACGAAAATAAGTTTTATTTTTAATAAAAATTATTCAAAAGAAAGAAATAAATTTTATTTTTTTAATTAAAATTTAAAAATATTTAGTATCACAATTAAAATATAAGGGCTAGGAGTAACTTTTCAAAGTACGAAACTCTTCAAATGAGTTCAGTATTTTTTTCTACCTAATTTCCTGCCTTACGTTTCATCATTTTAAAAATTTATTTAGTCCAGTCCAAATACATATAAACTTCGAAATATCACAATATATCGGGAATATATTTAAATATAAATTAGTAATTCTTAATTATTTGATGTTGGAGAAGGAATTCCATTTCGTCTTCGGCCCTGTGCGCCAATATCCACAAGTGGATCATTAATCCAAAGAGCCTTTTAAAAAACATTTCAAGATATTTTAATTAAAAATATTTTTTACATTATTAGGATCACGTCTCCAACGTAAAAGTGCTTCTTCATCCCCATACTCTCCAGCTCCAGTCAACACAACATCTCTCCCATTATTATCCGAACCCAAAGCAATACAACGAATTGGTTTATCAGCTACTTTTAATTTCATTTGTAAAGTCATTAAAAGGGAACTTTTTCTTTAAAAAAATTTTTAAAAATTAAAAAAAAAAAACAAATACTACAAACATTTCTGTAGTATCAAGCATTGTTGTTGTTGCTGTTGAACCTGGAGGTGAACCTATCTTTTGGGTAATATTAGTATTTTGGATAAATTTAGATAAAGAATTTTGTCGATTTAATGTTGTTGGTAATTGTTCTATAAATTAGAAAAAGGTAAAAAAATCTTTAGAATTTAATTAAGTTGATAGCCCAGATCGAAAAATTTCCGAAATTAAAACTCCCAAAAATAAAGAGAAGAGAACTTTTTAATAAAATTTTTAATTACCTCCTTCTTTAACAGCCAACAAAACTGTTGGGGGCTCTTCAAAGTCCAAATCCTTTCTTCGTATACGCAAAGCTCTTTCTTGTATATTAACTCCATTTGTGTTTGTAGATGTTGAAGAAGTACAAGAATATCGTCTTTTATCAATTGAGGAAGAGGATTGTTTTGGAAGGGCTTAAAATAATTTTTAAAATTTTTTAAATAAATAAATATTTACCAGTACTAGCACAAAAACTTGCAGACATTTTACGCCAAGTATTGTTTATTTGAATTAATCTAGCAAATTGTTGTTTACGTTTATATTCTTCTTCATCCTTTTCTTCTTCTTTTAAAGATTCCTCTTCAACTAATTCATCTTGTTCTTCTTCTTCTACTTCTTCATTTGAAGAGTTTGCAGCTTCGTTTGAAGATGGAATGTCGTCAAACTTTAAAAAATTAAGTTTAGAGATTGTCTCCTATTATGGGGGCAGAAGGGAGGGGAGGGGGAAATAAGACAATAAAACGTCGATTAAGATAAAGGTGATTTTATATTTCTATAATAAATAAATGAGATAAAATCTAGAAGGAACTAAAAAATTAAAGATGGAGAATGGGAACCCTCTAATATAAAATTAGAACAATATTTCATTCAAAAATATAAATTTACCAGAAATTTTTGTTGTTTTTGTTGTAAAGGCTCAAAAAGTTTACTGCGGCGACGAGTTGGTGTAAAAATTGAAGGGGAATCTTTCTTTGTTAAAATTGAAGTAAGTGCTGAATCAACACTTTGTTGTCCACATAAAGGCTTTTTTACGGGGAAAGAAAATTTTCTGAATTTTAAAAAAAATTAATTTAAAATTTAAATAATTATTAGAGATTGATATACGTTAATAATTTAAATATTTAAATAAAAATCCTAACTTTGTCACTTTTTGATGTGTTACTGAACAATTTGAAGAACTATCTCCCTTTACAAGTTTACAAGGTTCAGTAATTGGTGGGGGTGATGTTAATTCAATATTTTCTTTTAAAGTTAAAACATTAACTGCAAAAATTAATTTTTAAATTCTTTAAAGAAAATATCCAAAACTGCTATATTTCCTTGTATTTTTATCAATTTTAACAGAAATTTTTCGAGAAAATTGCCCTTCCATAGACATACATTCCACTGAACTATTCCTTTCTTCTACACGTTTTTCATTTTCTGTTGGAATATAATAAGTTTGTTGACGGCCATTAAATGGCAATTGTTGAGCTAAACCATGGACTGCCGATAAACGTTTACCTGGTTGATATCTTTAAAAAATATTTATTTAAAAATAAAGTCAGTTATTTGAATCCCTTCCTGATATTCAGGGTGTCAGATAAAATTAATTTCTCACAAACAGTAATTGATGTCTTACAAGTTTTCTGGGAAATACTATAAAGTCCAAAATTTCAATGCCTTAATTTTATTTACATTATGTTCATAATAATTTATAAACATTTATTTCATTAATAAAATAAATTATTCCAACCTTCTAATAGATGAACGAAATCGTGTTGTTGACAATTTTGTTCCTTCATTATTTTCATTTAAATTAACTTTATAAAGCATTAAATAACCTTTAAATTTTTAACTTTAAAAAATAATTAAATAAAGAATAACCATCTATAGTTCCAACCCAAAGTTCATCAGAATGGAAAAGAATAGAACAAACTTCTACTTGATCTAATAATTCATCATGTTCATCAAAAGAGGGTGTTCTAAATATTTTTTAAAAGATTCTTCTTTAATTTACAAATTACCTATTACTATGGTCATATCTAATATCAAAAAGTATTTCACATTGCCCATTCTGCCAAAGTTGTAATAAAGAAGAATGTGCAGTTACTAACCAAATTCCGTGTGGGGACATTGCTAAGGCACGGATCTTTTCAAACATAGGGACTTGGCTTCCGGCAGCCGCTGAAGCGACATATACAGAAGTAATTGTTGATAATGTACTGAAATAATTTTGTAAAAATAATTTTATGTTCCCAATAAATTCTTTTAAAGAAACGTAGGTATAAATACCAAGATGGAATTTGTCTGTTTCAAATACATAAAATTACAACAGAATTATTCTGTAAATCCTAATTCTCAACAAAATTAAATATATAACTAATTCCTTAAATAATTTTAAATTACTTTTTAAAAATCTTAACTATCTATTTAAAATAACAATTTTATTAGCAATTGCCAAATAAAGAAATTCTCCATCCAATAAAGCATCCGTTATTGGTGCAGCCGCTACAGGAATATGATATAAATCTAATGCTGAGGGCATTCTTTCAAAAGCATTTTCCAAAACAGTTAAAGTTCCATTTGCCAAACAAGCATATAAACGGTGGGAGTCGTGAACAAGTTTGAGGGCAACATCGTTTAATTTAAGTTCCCAAAGAATTTCTGCCTACAAAAATTTAAAAAAAAATAATTTTTAATTATTTAGAGACATAGAGAGGGAGACTCTCGGCCCGTAACTACCATTATTTCAATATCGGTTGTTTTTCCAAAAAATTTCTACCTATCTCTTCCATTTTATCTTTATTTATTAAAAATTTAAAGCAAAATAATTTTCTTTAAATTTAATCAGTCCATACTTAAAAACATTTTTTATTTAAAAAATAATTTACTTCATTCTTTTCAAAATTTTCTTCATTAGATTGATTATAATTAATTAAATGTAGAGCTACAATATAACCAGAAAGAAGGGAAACAAAAGCCATTTCAGGTGCAAATATAGCCATTGAAATTGGTCGGCAATCAAACTTGAAAAATAAAAAAATATTCTAGAACTAATTCTTCTTCTTTACTTCCAAATCCAAAGCATTTAAATGAACGTTTTTTTCACATAATTGAACAACTGAAAGTTTGCCTCGTTTTTGATTACCAGAACAAACATAAGCACATCCTTCAACAAATGGACTAAATACAATTACCTAAAAATTGTTATTAATTAATTTTTATTAAAACCAACTAATAGAAATTAGAAATGAGGATTTTATTATATACAAATAAATATAATTAATTTCAATTTACTTCAATAGGCAAATCAGCCAATTGATCAGAAGAAGAAGCAATTATTGCATTATTAAATAAAATATTATTACAACTACTAGAATTTCGATTATTATATCCATCATTATATAATTGTCTTAATTGTTGTCTTTTACTTAAACGTTCATGTAAAACTTGTAAATAAAGGTGTTGACGTTGACGTAAATATATTTTACTCGGAAATGGATTTAAATCTTCAAATGCATATTTTATCTGATTTTTAAAGAAGAAAATTTTAGTTAGAAAATTTGAAATTTAATTAATTTTTAAAATTTAAAATAAAATCAAAAATATTGAAAAATTCAAAGAATTTGGATTGTTTAAAGTGAGGAGGTGGATATTAGGTTGATTAATATATAATTCAAAAACCAACCAATCCATCAACATCCAAAGTCAATCTAACTCCAGCTTTTAATACTTTAATAACAGAAATAGTGTCAGTATGTGCAAGTATTTCCTCTTGATAAAGACCCAATAAAGCAATTGTATAACGAAACAAAACTTTTGGACCTTCCAATAAAAATGTATCCCAAATACGAAGCATTGTCTTAGAAAAATATTTTTTTTTAATTAAATTTAAAAAAATATTTTACTTGGAATGGAACTGCATCAAAGAAAAGGGCAATAAACCAATTAAGAGTAACCTTAAAATTAAATTAGGGTAAAAAATATATTTAAAAAATATTGTTGTAGAGAAATATTGTTGTAAAGAATAATTATTTAAGATTGCAGTTAATAAAAACAATAATTGAGTATATCAAGATAATTAAAATAATCAAAAACTTGCTGTAGTTAAATCAATTTCGCATTCATCCAAATGTTCAGCCAATTGCGGAAATTTCTGTTCAACAATTTCTTTCAAAACTTCCTGATCAGCTTGAGCCCCAGTTAATGTTTGGTCAAAATAAGAAGAATCAAAATATCTTTCTGTTATTGCAACAATAAACCTTTTAAATAATTTATTTTTATTTAATTTTATTTAAAATCCCAACCAAAAAGCATCTTCTGGGCTCATAAATAAAAGGGCTGTAGCTACAAGGAAATTCATCCCTTGACAATAACCAATTGTTGGGTTATGGAGACAATATGCTCGAAGTACAGTTCTGAAAATTTTTATTAAATTTAAGCAGAATTTATATTTAAATGTGAAATTTCAATTTAGATATACAAAATTGTATAGTAACGACAGTAACTTAAAAACATTTCCGGACTAGCATGAGATATGAAATTAAACAGAAGCTTTTTTAAACAATTTTAGAAATATCTGGGACGGTTTTAACTTTTAGTGAATATGACTTGTTAGTCCGGCAAATAAATCATAAAAAATGTTTTTATGATTAACCAACTCCCAAATTTTCAAAAAAAAAATATAATAGAAAATTTAATCAACTGTAAATGTGTAACACCCTTACAAGATGCAGACATAAAATGTACATTATTAGGCATAGTTCTCAATAAATCTAAATTAACTTGTTTTTGATGTGTTGCACTAAACTAAAAAATAAAATTTCTTTCTTAAAAACAATTTTAATTAAAAAAAACATTTTTTTCATTTTGAGTTCCTTGAGAACTACATAATTCTCTAAAATAATAAGTGCCGTAATGTGCTTTTAAATCAGAAACTTGTTGGTCAATTAAAAGTCTCCAAACACGTGAACGTAAAGAACGAGGAATTCCTAAACGGCATAAATGCCTAGTTTGGCGCTGAAAATTAAATTTTTTTTAAATAATTTAATTTAAAGAAAAAACGTTTTTTTCAATTCTGTCAGGATTAGCATTAAGTAAAGCTCTCCAATTAGCTTTTAAATTAACATAATCTGCTGATTGGGATTGATAATGGGCATGTAATTGTGTTGCTATAAAATGAAGTGCTAATGGGGCCTGAAAGAAATTAAGAGTTTTTAGTAGAAATATTTTAGAGAATATAGGTAATTATTGTTTTTGAATGAATAATTCGAAATATTTAGATTTTAAAATTAAAATTTTGAAATCGACCTAAAAAATTTCGATTTTTAAAAGAGCGGAATGATGGAAACTAACGGCCATTTAATCATGATCAGAAATTAGCTTTTGTTGTTTTTTACAAACAGATAGAAATATTTTCTGATTATTATTCAAAAATTACTATATTTTTCTTTTGCATTAACTCAGAAAAATATTCCATAATTTCAATCAACTTTCAATTATTACCTCATTAAAACTATGTCTAAATCCATAACCATCAACATGAAAAGTAGCTTCTCCCCCTTCATTTCCATTTTTATTCAGAACAGCTTCAAATGTTGGAAGTGTTGGGTCTGTTTGTCTAGCTTTTTCAAGCAATTTTCTAACTCTACGTTCATGTTCATCTCCCCCATAAAGTTTTACTTCAACAATATCACAAGCACTGTTATCACGAAGTGGAATGTGAACACAACTATTAAATATTATTTTAATTTAAGTTAACTTTATATTCGGGGGAAGGGATTTATATGACTTCCAATGAGGATTGTTCCAGATATCCAAGTAGGATATCGAGAACTGAACCAAATAAGCCAACCGAGAAATCCTCCGTTCTTCGGTTCGGTTTTAAACTGATAACCCCCAAGTTTACTTACTATAACATACTATAATATAGCAAAGTAAAAAATAATAAAAGTGAGTTACTATCAACTTGAAGCCACAAAAACATTTTTTTATTACATTTAATTTATATACTACATTTTTCACTTTCCAAATTTAAAACTAAACCTTTGCAATAAATGTATATATTCTCTTTTGAATTCCTCCATTTCAGCCTCAGATTGTGATAAACATTTTCTAAATGTTTCAATCTGTTTATTTGCTTCAGCCCTGTGTTCATTTATTCGTTCTAATTCTGATCTTAAAAATCTACTTTTTGCAATAAATTCTGAAGCTGCCAAACTGAAAGAAAAAATGTTTAAAAAAGAATATCGTAGATTATAAAATATATTGTAAAAAAGTAAGTAGTTGATGTAGTTTCCTAGGCCTCCAAAAATATTTACAAAATATATTTAAAAGTTTAAAATGGGGGGAGGGAGGAAGGTATCTTGAAAAAAGAGATTAAATAGACAGTTCCCTCCACTTTATGGGCAATCAAGTTTAAGAAATATATTTCTAATTTTGAGGGTATTTAAAATAGAGGCTTGCCTGTATTGTACTTTAAAATAATTTATTTTTTAAAATATTACCCAACACTTCCATTTTCATCAATTAATTTCTGTGCTTTTTCAAGCTGTTCACGTAATTCCACAATTTGTTCTTTTTGTCTATTACTTAATTCTCTAAGAATTAAAAGTTCATTTTCTTCTTTATTTTCTTCAACTTTAAATTTAAAAATATTTATCAAAAATAATAATTTTTAAATAATTACCTATACTTTTCTTAATACTTTCATTTGTTGTTGTACCTAAACTTGTACTACTATTACTTTTAATACTTTCTGTTGTTGAATGAATTCCATTCCCATTACATAATATATTTGGTAAAGGGGGAATATCTCTTTAAAAATATTTTTTTAATTAAATTTAAATTTAAATTCCCTACATTAATTCATTAATTAATTTATTTTTTGTATTTAAATTAATTTCTTCATTCTTTTCTTCTTGTTGTTGATTTTTAAGCCAATAATCAACTAACCATTTTTGTTCATCACTTTTCTTTTTTAAAATAATATCAGATGAAATCTTAAAAGAATTATTTTTTTTAAATAAGAAAAGAGAATTCTTCTATTAAAAACACCTTTTCTTCTTTATTTTTTATTTGTTGTGTTGAAGAACGTGTTGGCCATTTCCACCAAGAATTTTTATTTTCGTTATCGCCATTTATTGTTACCCCATTATTTTCTAATTTTGTTGTTGCTTGTGGACTATTTATTGGGGAAGATGTAATTATTGCTTCTGCTAATGTTGTTGTTTCGAGTAATAAATCAATTGCTAAAAATTTAATTTTTTCTAGATAATTAATTATTTAATTATATAAAAGATTTTTTAATTTTTTTAAATTTTCATTCTTTAATTAAATATCTATCTTGAATATTATTTTGTTATTATTATTATTAAACTTTTTTTAGCTTAGGTGCGTGCAAGCATCAAAATATAAGTTGGAATATTGCTTATATCCTTTTAGTTTTTTAATTACGTAAGAATTTTCAGAAATTATTATTTTCCAGAAAATTCGATATTTGAAAAAAAATAATAATTTTTTCGTTTTTTATCAAGTTAAACTTCAAGTAAATATCCTTGTGTATAATATCGTTTTAAATTTATTTTTCAGGATTTATATTTAATTTTAACTACAATAAATCCCCTTTTAATTTACGTGTTGTTTTATCCTTTGTTTGTTGTAAAGTTCTTGTTCTTCCCCTTTCAAACAAAGCATTATTATCTTCTCCATCTAATGTTGCTGAACGTTTTTGTTGTTTTAATTTTTCATTCAAATCATTATTATTTTTATTTAATTGATCAAAAGATTTACTTCTACTTCTGTGTCTTCTTCTTCGCCTTTCAATTGAAGCAAGTGGAAGACTATCTACAAAAATTCCATTTTTATCATTACAATCATCTCTTCGTTGTTGTAAAGCATTTAACCAACAATCAGCTGCACGTTCATTTTCTGCTTCTAACAAATATTTTTTTCCTGTTTCCGTACTAAAATTTAAATAATTCTTTAAAAATAAATCCAAATTAACTATAAAATAAATCCGCGCATATTTCCTTCAATTAAAGAGCAAAATGCTCCATTTAATGAAATCTGTCCTTGGCAATCTTTTCTTGTATCAAAATCTCCCTTTGTTTTATAATAAATTAATTTATTGTTAAGTTCTTCAAGTCCAAAATATAAATGTTTTCGAGTTGATAGTAATGATAATGCTTTAATTTAAAAAATAAATTATTTTAAAGGAAATCAGTAATTTTTAATTTTATTTTTTAATGGACCCTTCAATAAGGTGTTAAGTTCTTCAAGTCCAAAATGTCGGCTCCGGATACCCGGATCCGAAAAAAGGCCGGAAATCCTAAATTTTCGGTTCGGATTCTAGAATTAAGGAAAAAGCAAAATGACCATTTTAACTATATATGTAAAATGGAGCAGGAGCAAGGGTAGATATAACGCTTGTTTTAAAGGTTATGTATTAGTGATGCTCGGGTATCCCGATCCCGACTCCCGACTCGGGAAAATTTCCCGAGTTTTTGGCCTCCCGATCCCGATCCCGACTCCCGGTGTCAATTCCCGACTAAGTCGGGAAATTTTTACACCCCTAAGAATGGATTTTTCTAAGAAAATTATATTTTCATTTATAAAAAATAAAGAAATCTGGCCTCTTGGTCTTCCAAAATTCCCAAAATTTTCGCCTGCGGCGCTGAAAAGGGAAGATTTTTGGCTTAAGGATCGTCCAAAATCCTCAAAATTTTCGCCTGCGGCGCTAAAAATTGAAGAATCTGTGGAGTTGTAGTATAGAAGATTTCGGTAATTTGAAGAGATTATGGTAATTTGAAGAGATAACGAGGGATTTGTAGTAATAATGAGAGATATCAATGGATTTGAGTTATTAATGTTGCATAGGGGGTGTTATAATATAAAGGGGATATGAAGAGATATGTGGCTAGTTGACCAAAATTCCACCAAAATTGAACGTAAAAATGTTTTTCTCTGTTTCACTCTCTTTTCCTCTATTTCGCTCCAATGGAGAGATTCTAAGGACTTAAGGTCAATGACAACAAATATAAATTAAAGCTGGCCTCTGGCTCAAAGAAAGAGCCCCCAGCAATACCAAACACTGATTATCTCTTTTATTTTAAATATTTTTGGTTTTTTGGACAGGGTAACTTTTTTGGACAGTTACTAGGTTTTTTGGACAGGCTGTTGGCTTATCTTTCCAAATAATCGGGGAAATAAACTTTTAAGTTACCCTTAAAGATCGTTCAAGACCCCTTTCTATTTCACTCCAAATTCTTGACCTAAAAATTCTCATAATTCTCGCCTGCGGCGCTAGTAAGGAAGATGTCTGGCTTCTTTACCTTCCAAAATTTTAAATATTTTTTGCCTGTAGTGCAAAAAATCGGAATTTTTGGCGCCGAAGGCGCCAAAAATTTTTAGAATTTTTGGAAAATTTTTTATTGCTAATTCCCGACTCCCGATCCCGACTCCCGAGGTCATTTCCCGACCCGACTCCCGTTTCCCGATTCCCGGGTTTTTTCTTCTCCCGAGCATCACTATTATGTATATGTATTTATGAGGCATTTATACCTAATTTATATAAACGAAATCAATCTTTTCATTTAAAATACTTATAAAATTATTTAATTAAAAACCTCCACTTAAACATTTCATATACAAAAATCCTTCCAAAGAAAAACAACATTCTTCCTTAATACGAGTATTTGAAGATGCAATCATTGTTGGTGCCGTTGGTGTTAAAGGGGCAGATGAAGATAAAGAAGGTGAATAACAGCCTGAAGTTGATGATGCCGGTCCTGGCAAAAGAAGAAGGCCCCCACAGTTAGAGCCAACAGGAGAGGGGGGAGGGCCATTAGACGATTTTTTAATTTTAGGTGAAGAAAGAAGCATTTCCGTTAAAGTACAAAGTAAGTATTTTGATTTTTAATGTCTGTATATTATGATGAAAAAAATATGTAAATATTTAATTTTGGGTAAAAAGGCAAGAAAAATAATATTTTAAAAAGTATGTAAATAGTAGTAGGTATTTTTTGAGATAAGAATACCTATTTTAGAAGATTTATAAAATCTTGTATATAATTTGGAAGGGGAGTGTTTCTTTAAAGATAGGCTAGAAAAGATGTTATTAATTTATGACTGGCACAAAATATGTACTAATAATAAAAATAAATATTTTAGCTGAGCAAATTAAAATAGAAATAGCTAATAATAGTATTTATTGGACAGTAAATAAAGTAAAAAAATGGACATCCAAAAGCATCCCAAAAGAAAGAAAATTCCAAAAATAACAAAATTAAACTAAAATATTTAAAAAAATATAATTTTTTCAATTATAATTTTGTTTAATATTTTTAATTATTTAAGAAATAATTAAAAGAATTTAATAAAAATTAAAGTATTCTAATACAAAAAATATTTAAAAAAAATTTTTTGAGAAAGAGAGATAAAAAGGTTTTTGTAGAAATATTGGGAAGTAATATAAAAATTGACAAAATGCTGAATAAATAAACGAGAAGCTTGCTTTAATTAAAGAATTTAAAGTTTTTCAATCCACGTTATTTTTTAGTATTTTATTTAAAATTAATTGATTAGATAAATTGAAAAGAATTTTAAATTATTAAAAAATAATTGGTGAAGTAAAATTTTCTTAATTGATTGACTAAATAAAGATTTTAAAATTATGTTTTTGAGGGATAAGTTAAAATGATGAAAATTAAAATTTTATAATTTTTCTCAAATGGTTAAAAACAATTTAGAATAACCAGGTTTCAGATAGCCTAAATTTTTTAAATTTTGAATTGTGAACTAAATAATTATTATTTCTCAAAAACAAAAATAAATAAATTTAGAAATATGAGGAAAATAAATAAACTGCTAAGGAGAAGCTAAGGAGAATTTTAAAAAAAATCTTGGAGAATTTTGTTGAGTATTTAGAATTTAATTTATTTTTAAGAATAAAGTTAAAAATTAAAATATTTGAAAAATAATACAAATAATTATAATAAGTTTATTTTATAAAAAGAGAAATGAATTTATATTTTATATGGATAAAAAATGTAAATTTATTTTAGAGGGAAAGTACAAATTTAGAAAAAGAATTTAAATAATTTTTTGATTTAAATTTTAAAGTTTTTAGAATATTTTTAATTTTTATATAAAAAAATAGAAAAAAAAGAAAATTTAAATTATTTAATTATTAAAATAAAAAAAAATTAATAAATCAATTATTAATTAAAAAAAGACGTAGAATTAAGTATTGACTCATTTTAAAATGTGACGTTTAAATTTTATTTAGCATTTAAAAAATTATAGAAGAAATTGTTGATTAAAAAAAGGAAAAAAACAAAATAATAATTTTATAATTTCTCTCATGTAAGTAAGAAATAAAAAATTTAAATTAAAGTTTATTAAGTTTAAAAAGGATCTAAAAAATTTTGGAAGAAATGATAAAACAGTTTAAATAAATAAAAGTTTTAAGTAAAAGGTTGTGGGGGGTTAATTCTTCCATATATTCATTGCTTCGTCTTTGAAATTGATCGATTTAAGTTTTAAGGTAAAGCTTGCCTTTTTGATTATTCAGCATAAACAAACAGCCAAAAAAATTTTAATAGTTTGAAAGAAATTTAAAACTGAAAAAAAAGAAAAAAAGTTGAAAAAAGTTTTTATTAACAAGGATTATGATATTTTGAATTTAAAAAAACGAGAAACATATACCATCTAAAATTATATAGAATATGTATCAATCAGTGAGTATAGAAATTTTATTGCTTAGTTTGAAAAAAAATTACAAAAAGCACCAAAATAAAAAAATATTTACTAGCTACAAAAAATATTTAAAATGTTATTTTTAGCCGATTTTGGCGTTTAGCTGATTTTGGCATTCTGTTTTTCTTCTTTCAGCGCGTCAAACGGGGCGGGGGATCATTGAGTCCCGCCGATTGAGTCCCGCCGTTTGAGTCCCGCCGGTTGAGTCCCGAGCCGTTTGAGTCCCAGCCGATTGAGTCCCGCCGGTTGAGTCCCCACCCAAATGGGGACGTTTGAGTCCCCGTGTTTATTTTTTGTATTTGGAGGGATTAAAAGGGATATAGTTGCATTTAGAATAATTAAAGGGGATAATCAATAGATTCTGGTGTGATATTAAGTCAATCCAGAATTCAGAAAACGAGTTACAGACCCTAAAAGCAAAAAAGGGGATAAAATTCAATTTTGGGTGAAAAATTTTTAATATACAAATGACAGCTCATTCGAATGGGCTCGACAAGCTGAGTTGAACGACACCAAAATCAGCTTGATTGAATGATTCTGAACAAAGTTTTGACCAACAGAATCTTCGCTGGAAAAACTTTTTGTGGCGCTACGGAGGGTAGGGTCGCTATAAAATTACTAACGTAAAAACCCTTTCCTAATTTCCGGACTCCGGCAGAATTTACCCGGATACGGGAGAAAATCAAAATGTGAAAAAATAAAAAAATTTTTATAAAAATTTTATCAAAAAATTTAAAAAAACCATTGTCTTGTCTCGCTTCACTTATTAAATTTGTGGCCCTAAGGAGGGCCGTTTGGGTTCGTTTTTGTTGTCGATGTTCTCCTAAGTTCATCACCTTCGTTCCTCCGGAGATTGCGCACTTGAAAATCGCCAGTCAGAAACTGACGAAAATCAACTAAAAAATTTTAAAAATAAAAACTTGAAAAATAAAATAAAAATTCCAAACCTTTTCAAATTTATCATCGTTGTAGCCGTGTAAGGAAGTCCGGCACGTGGCGAGCAAAGTTTAGGCCATCTTTAAAAAAGAAAATTTAAAATTAAAAAATAAAAATTAAATTTTTACTTACACAAGATTCTCATCCTCCTTGAGAAAGTTCATTGCCCGGATAGACTTGGGTGATTGATCTGGTCAACTAATTAACAAAATTAGTTAAAAACTCCAAAAAAAAACAAAAATATTAAAAAAACAATAGAAAATCTGAAAAATAAACACGGGGACTCAAACGTCCCCATTAGGGTGGGGACTCAACCGGCGGGACTCAATCGGCTGGGACTCAAACGGCTCGGGACTCAACCGGCGGGACTCAACCGGCGGGACTCAAACGGCGGGACTCAATCGGCGGGACTCAATGATCCTGTTCCGCGTCAAACGAAATTATTTTTCAGTTCTAAAGATAAGATTACTTTATGAGAAACTTTGCTAATCAAACTAACTTTTTTGTTGAAAATTTCCCTACAACGGCAAACAATTAAAAAATTTTGCCTTCGCGGGAGACCATTTGTCCTTATCATTTTATTTAAAAAGTTATTTGAATTTGAGACGATTCAAAGTCAAAGATTCAGAGTAGCAGTTTTTGGCATAACCTTTTCTGTTATCATAAATTTTACAAAATTTTCCAATTATTAATCTGTGACTGAACTTTTATATTTTTTTAATTTCAAGATAATTTTCTTTAAATTGATTGATTTTTTATATAAAATTATGCTTACTCGCGGCATCGGTAGAGGTGTGGGAAACGTTCGTGGAGGTGGTGATACTAATGTCGGAACTGGTTCAGGCTTTGTTGGAGGTGGAGATTCCTCAAATTGTCAAAATAACATGGGGTCTTTTGGCCGTGGTGGTCGTGGGAACTCATCCTTTGACGTGGGAACTCATCCTGGACTTGGTGACCCTTCTGGTCAAGGTTATTAATTTAAATTTGGTTACATTAACTATTGTTTCATTTTATCCTAGTTGGAGGAGATTCTTTTGGCCGTGGTGGTCGTGGTAACTCATCTTTTGACACTGGAAGTGTGCCTGCTCGCGGCATTGGTCGAGGTTCGGGCAACGGTCGTGGTGGTGGTAATTTTTCTGTCGGACCTGGTACGGGCTCTTCTGCTGGAGTTGGCGATTTTTCAAATAATCAAAATGGTATGGAGTCTTCTATTGGACACGGCCGTGGTGGGCGTGGGAACTCATCTTTTGGCGTTGAAGGTGCTGACCCTTCTTTTGGTCAAGGTTATTAATTTTGATTAATTAATGAACTAACGTTTTATTTTCTTTTAGTTGGAGGAGGCCCTACTTTTGGCCGTGGTGGGCGTGGGCACTCATCTATTGCCGCTGGAGGTGCCGACCCTTCTTTTGGTCAAGGTTATTAATTTAAATTTGATTAGTTACATCAACTAATTTTAATTTTCTTATAGCTGGAGGAGACTCTTCCTTTGGCCGTGGTCATGGTAACTCATCTTATGACACTGGAGGTGTGCCTGTTCGTGGCATTGGTCGAGGCAACGGTCGTGGAGGTGGTGATACAGGCTTATCTGTTGGAGCGAGAGATTCTTCAAATGGTCAAAATAACATGGGGTCTTTTTCTGGCCGTGGTCGTGGGAACTCATCTTTTGACGCTGGTGGTGCTGACCCTTCTTTTGTTAAAGGTACATTAATTTAGCTTTATTTGTTACATTAACTGATGTTTAATTTTCTTCTAGCTAGAGGAAACTCTTCTGGTGGTCGTAGTTTTTTTGCAACTGGTTCAAATTCCGTTGAAGTGCAACAAAATGCTCCTAATGTGAATGATAACAGCAGCTATTTCAATCGTGAGAAGGTGACCACAGAGGATTCTGGAAACTGTACTACGGTTGATCAAGTTGGAAACAATAACGGAGTTCAAAATTCTGAGGAGAAGCCTATTGTAAATGAAATTACTTTGGTAATTGTTTTAAATTGTTTCATTTCTAGAATCGCGGGTTTGCGCTTCGTGAACGTTTGGTCGAGGATTTGTATAAGGATGATGAGATATTCAAACATCAATATGTTGATATTGCTGATGCTGACGATGATGTTATGATTACTGGAGTTAATGTTAAATTGATTTTGGAGTTAAATTTTTTATCGATATTTTTCTTAATTTAAAAAATATCAGGTCGTGGACTGAATTCAACATGGATCCAATACTCAAAGAAAATATTACTGTCAAGTCCAATTATATTCGTCCGCGCAAAATTCAAAAACATGTTATTCCATACGTTCTTTCTGGTAAAGTTTTCAAACCAATTTATAACACCAACTTTTTTATAGGTTATGATTTGAAAGGTCATTCAGAGACGGGAAGTGGCAAGACAGGAGCTTTTTTGATTCCAATCATTCAAGTATGGTTTTCTTGTTCTTTATTAACCTTCACATTTTAACAAAACCCTTTTAGAAAATTCTTGCTGATCCTTCCTCACAGCGTCAGCCGTCTGAAATAGCAGTCCCGTTTGCACTTGTTTTATCGCCCACACGTGAATTATGTCTTCAAATTTATGATCAATGCCGTAAATTTGCCAATGGTAAGTTTAAATTCTTTGTATTTTGCTAACAATAAATATTATACATTGTCTAATATATTGTTCAACTTTTTGAATCTAAAGTTTAAAAATTTAGGAACTTTTGTCAAAATCACGCGTGCATATGGACAATTTAATTTTGGTGTTAATCTTGGTCAGCTTAAAGAAGGATGCGATATTTTAATTGCTACTACTGGTCGTCTTATGCATTTAATTAAAGATAAACATGTTTGTTGATTTTTTGAATTTTCTACAATTTTTATTGTTAACAGATTGATTTGTCAGAATTGAAATATTTTGTTTTGGATGAGGCTGATCGTATGCTTGAAAATAATTTTCTTACTTCTGTTCGAGAAATTATTGAATCGCCAAATTTCCCTTCAGTAATCTTTCTTTTTTAGACATGTAAATTTAATTTTTAATTACAGAAGGAAAAACGTCAAACAATGATCTTCTCTGCTACGTTCCCTCCGGAAATTGAGGAACTCGCAAATGAAATTCTTCGTTCAGATTATGTAACCGCTTCAAATAACAAACCAGTGTCTGCAAACAATCGTGTTAAACAAAGTTTTTTGAATGTTGAATCTGATAAGATGGAATGTCTCAAAGAAATGTTGGATAAAGAAGTTAAAACGGCGGCAGAGAAAAATCGTTTGATTTTTGAATTTAATAAATTTATAATTTTTATGTTTAGCTGAAAATCCAAAGCCTCGTCGTACTCTTGTTTTTGTCGAGACTCGCCGTGATGCTGATCGCCTTGCTGTTTATCTTAATGAGAATGGCATTAAATCTCTTACACTTAATGGGTACAATTAGATAAATCTTTTTTTAAATGAATTTTAAAATAAATATTTGTAGAGAACGTAAGCAATCGGAAAGAGAAATGGCACTTCGAAAATTTGATAGAGGATTTATTGATGTTCTTGTTGCGACTGATGTTTGTGCTCGTGGAATTGATATTAAAGGATTGGAACATGTAAATTTCTTTTAAATATTTTCTGATTACATTTTTATAATTAAGGTTATTAACTATGATTTGCCTCAGGATGCTGTCACTTATGTTCATCGTATTGGTCGTACTGGCCGTTTGGTTACTGGTTATTCAACGAGTTTTGTTGATTTGAAAAAGAATGCAAATCTCATTCCGGAATTGATTAAAGTTAGTTTCTTTTTCATATATCTTAGTTTCTTTTATTTTTTAGATTCTTCAAAGTTCTTCTACACCTGTTCCACAATTTATGGCTGGATATACTGCCAACGAATCTGTTACATATGTTCCTTATAACCAAAAGAAACAAATTTCGACAGAATTTGAAAATGGTGTTCAAAATTATCAAAACGGGTTCGATAATGGTGACAATACAAATGATGTTTGGAATAACAATGAGCCTCAAGTTGAACCTTTTATCGACACTGCACTTGTCAAGAACACACCTGTCGTCAATACTGCTCCTGCTCAGAGTATTGAAAGATCCTCTGACTATTGGGCTAGTGCAATCAAACAACCAACTAAATCTTCTTTTGTCCAGAATGGCGCTAAACCGATGGTTCAAACTCGTGTGGCTCCAGCAGCTCAAACTCATGTTGCTCCAGCAGCTCAAACTCATGTTGTTCCAGTAGCTCAAACTCAATTTGCACCAGTAGCTCAAACTCGTGTCGTGCCAGCAGCTCACTCGGTTGCGCAAGAAAACAATAATGATTGGGACAAAAATGATAATTGGGAGGATATTGATAATTCTTGGAATTGATTTGAGGTTCTCTGGAAATTGGTAAAACTTGAATTAAATGAATTTCAATTTTAAGTATTGTTGGTAAATGTCAAGTTCGCATTCTATTTTCCACAACTCCCCTCCTTCTAAATATGTACATTTATCGTTTGATAACTCTAGAGAAATTAAGGGAAGGAAAGACAAAAAAGCAGAATGCAAAAAAATTTTTTGAAGATGCCTTTGCGGAAAATAAAGTGCGAGCTGTATTGTTGTTGAACCTTTATTATTTTAAGGAAAATTCTTTACTTTTGATATTGCTTATTATTATTATTCCACATTATACCCGTTATTCTTTACTCGAAATAAATTACGATTTTTCCTAAATATATTTTTAAACTTTATTGGGTTAACCTGATGGTTTTTTTATTGAAGGAAAATAAAATCGATGCTAAAATTTAGTATTTGAGTTAGGGAAATTAATTTTAATGTACATCTTCGTTAGACTTTATTCCACATCTTTTATGCAATTGTTTCGCTTGCGCAGTTAAGGCGATTAGTCGGAGACTACTGGTCACACTTAATGTTTTGTGTCCGGATAGTGATGGTCTATGAGTTGTAATATAATGTTTCCCACTGCATAAAATATCCAATTTTGATGCTTGGTTGCAAATTCCCCAACTAATTTGGTACGTATGAGTTTGTTGGGGTTGCCAAAAGTGGTGGGGGAGGGGTGTCTTTCAATTAGAAAATTAGGGGACGGGGAATTCACTGAAAATTCGGAATTGAAACCAAATAAGCTTAATGTTCTTAGGAAGGATGTATCTTCAATTATAAAATACTTAAAAAATTGTTTATTTTTCATCGAGACTGATATTCTTACAAATACTTTCCAAATGCAATGCAGCAACATCAACATATCGGTTTGTAAAAAATAATTACGTTATCAAGGGACTCATGTTACTCATGTTTATATATAGTTGTAGAGGATGGAATTAGTGATATTGGTTGTACAGAAGATAATCTGTCTGATTTTAGATGTTGGTGTTGCTGCTTTGGTGTGCACATTAAGGTTAGTTACAGACGAAATAAATTATAAAAATACTATGATTTTCTGATTTTTCTAAATTAAAGGTGGCAACTGCATTAGTTGCTGGGGTTTCTTCAATACTTATTTTGACAAACTTTCTCGCCAAATTATGCGGCTACTCCGAGATTGGCTGGAATTTTGAGCTGCTCTTTATGATAGTTGACGGTGCAGCTTTAACAGCATTAATTTACGGGCTATATACAGATAATGCTGCATTCCTACAACCATTTGTTGCTCTTAGTGTGAGTTTGACAATCAAAACTTTTTAAATAAATTCAATCCCTCAGATAATCACTTCTTCATTGCTGGTACTTCTAGCTGCTTATTTGGGAACTGCAGTAATCGACTCTAACTCTTATGCAGCTCAACGGTTAGAGTTAGAATTGAACAAACGACTTTCTGATGCTGCTAGACGACTCAATTTGGAGTTCAAACTCAGTGAGAACAAAATTTTAAATTAAAACTACAATCTTTTTAGTGGTTTCCATTGTGGCAAGCATAGCTCTAACGGGCATTCTTATTTCAATATTTATCCACTTTTGGTTCGTTTATTTAATAGTAAAATGTGCAAAATATTTTAGAATTGCTGTTAAAAAATAAAAATACAATTGTTAAAAAATTTTTATTTCTTTGGATAATAAAACAAATAATCCAAATACATAATATTGAATTAAATATTGTTGGATATTAAACTTAAGCAGATAAGAATATTTTTGGGCTGAGAAAACCATGTTTTTGGTGTTAAATCTAACTTTTGAACATAAAGTTTTTGGGTTTTCTTTGTAATTAACCTTAAAATTGTTGGAAACCCAAAAATAAAATTAAAGAATTTACAATCGAAAAATGCTTGTGCAGTTTTAACCAAAATAAGTATTAAATTTATTTAAATCGCAAAATTCCTCACAATCAACATTCATAATTCCATTAAATCAAACATTCCTTCTCCAATTTTTAATCACGTGGTGAACGAGATAAGCTTCGACTGCGTGAAGGACTTCTTGATCGTGAATGCCCATGTGGAGAACGGGAACGGCTCTCGTCTCCTCGACGCTCAGATCTGGACCTCGAACGCCCACGAGGTGAGCGTGACCGAGAACGATCATCACGAGAGCGAGAACGGCGTGGTGGAGAACGAGTCCGCGAACGGCGACGTGAACGGGAACGCGATCGACGGCGTCTAAAAATATAAAATTAGATTTAGAAAGAAAATTTAACAGAAAATGGAAGGGGGAAATTTTTAAATACGTTACTTATACTTTCCAAAAAATCAAATACATTATTTCCTATTGAGAGGTTCCCATAAAGAAAATATCGAAAATATTACAAAAATATCTGAATGATTTGCTGCTGACTACATTGCAACGCGTGCAGCAGAAAACATTTTGGACAGGATTCTTTCTGCCGATCTTTCCCTGGACTGGATTCATTCAGAAAGGTCTTTTTTGAAATTCTCCGGCAGTGGACTGCAAAAATCTGCCCAAAGCTAACACAAGCCGCCCACTGCTATACAGGCTTTCTCATCTCATTTGTCTACAAAGCTTACACTGCCCAAGGCTCTCTTTCATAAACAGCTAGCTCAATACTTCTTATTAGCACTTTCACCACCATAAGGTGGCATCTACTGGAACTTAAGTGGATAAAACTACTCAAATTTGGTTTTATTTTTAAGAATTAAAAAAACAAACCTGTCTCGATCGCGACCTTCATCAAGCGGGCGTCGATATTTGGCAATAGATACGCGCAATTCTCGTCCATTCATTTGTTTTCCATCTGCGCGAGAACAAGCATAATCCTAAAATAAATGTTTTTAAATTTATTAATTTATTACTAACGGCATCTTTCCTCGAATAGAAACGGACAAATCCAAAACCGCGACTTTGATTATTGTATCGATCACGAGGAATCTAAAAACAATTAAATAATTCAAAAACAGATACTTACATAAACATCGCCAATATCTCCATAACGGTCAAACAATCGACGAAGTTCATGGACGCTCGTATTATAGGGCAGGTTATCGACCTAAAGTTACGATTAAATATATTGACAGGATACGCTTGGGTTGCATAAATTTGAAAGCTACTCAAAAATCCGACCCGTGGGTATATTCTCCCCTCTTATTCTGACAAATTACAAAGAATTTCCACCATATTAATATAAATAGCCCAACATGTTAGATCCCTGTCGCCCTATAATAGGAGTCAAGTTTATTAAAATTAAAACCTTTAAGCTGTATAGTTCGTCAAAGTTTATATCATTTCCACGTCTTGAGGACATTATTTTGAATTATTCAATCAACTACCTGATTTAAGTAAAAATATTAGTTTTTGGGTAAATAAAGATTTCAAAGTTTTAACGAAAAACTTTTGAAAGCAAAATAAACAAATTAAAAACAAGATAAAATTTAATAAAAATATTAAAAATACAAAAAATCAATCAATATAAATATCATGCATTTGTGCGAAAAGTTTGACCAAATAAGTGTGTGAGGCATAAAGTTTAAGTCCATTTTCGACTGTTATCCATTTCGCAAATTTGGCATCAGAACCTGCCTAAAATATAAAAAATAAAATAAGTTTTGTTAAAAAAATAATCAACCTTTAGATTCAAATCTTTTAAGAGATTCCCCGTTGTATCATGAAAATTAAAGCAACTTGTTTCCATCCAAGAGTTGTCTGTATTTCTCGGATCGTCAACATATCCTTGATAAACAGTTTTTCCATTCTTCCAAATAGAAGACAATTTCTCGTCTAAAACATTATTTGAAAGAGCTTCTTCATGAAATTCGCGAATTGCCGCTTCTCGAGCATCTTCGCCAGGATCTATCATTCCACCAGGTATTGCCAAATCTTCTTAAATAACCAAGAAAATTTTAAAAACAAATAAAATATAAACCAGTATCATCTCTCACAATTGCTACAAATTGAAGTATTTTCCCTCCATTTTCCCCAATAATATATCTCGAAACAATAGCATCAGCTGCATGATTTGGGCCCCATTTTCCGAGAACACCACGACCACGTAAACCTGTCCTTCCAAATGGATTAAGAGGACGTCCAGTTGAATCAAGAGAATATGTACTGAATAGGAAGAGTATATTTGTGTAAAAAAACAAAAAAATATTTTACCCATTAAATGATAGCCTATTTATTCCATCATCCACCTGATTAAAAGTGTAAATACACGGATCTTCATGGTCTGCCCAAGTTTTTCCATAAATAGTTTTTGCTGTATAATCTCTGGGTGAATAGCTGCATTCTCCAAAATCAGAGTCCCAATGCACTTGATCGTCTTTGACAGGAATTCGATAAACTTTACTTCTCAAATATGGCTTTGCTAAAAGAAATAAGAAAGAAAAAAATATATAAAATAAAACTTGAATCTCTGCATTTAGTATGTAATGTCCTGCAAAACATTTTTATTGACATGTGTATATCTTAAAAACAAATTATCTGAATAAACAAGTTTTGATTAAAAAGAATTTGCGTCTATTAAACGCGCAAAGCCCGATCACGCACGCGCGCGATAGTGATACAAAACTCTGAGTTATTAATTAATCAACAAAATTGAAGAGTAAAAACGGGAATAAAACTATAATGAGTACCATTTTGGACGTACCATTTTGTCCGACACGAATTCCATAATTTGTTCAGCCAGTTCATTCCCTTATTTTCAAGGATGGACATTTCATCACAAACTTTCTTAGTCGAAATTCTAGTATTGTATTTCTCTCAAATTAAATCTGGAAAATTGTAGAATCTGGCTTGTATAAAACACCGTAAGAGCTAATTTTTTAAGCTAATTTAGGCGTATTTTACATAAAATACCAAAATTTTTTGAATAAAACAAGTAAACTTTCGAAATATCTTTAAATTCAAAAAATTATCAATAATGAAAAATAATCAGTTTTTTATAAAAAAATTTGCAATTAAATCATTTAGTATATTCCTTCATTTGTTGCTTTCAATTGTTTTTCTCAGCTCCTCATAATTATTTCCCTCAATAACAGTCTGAAATTTAAATATATTTAATTTTTATTTAAAAATTACAAGTTTCTTTCCATCTTTGAAGAAAACAAATGTTGGCATTACCTAAATATATTTTTTCTGAAAATTTTTGTTTTTAACAAACATTTATTTCATAATTGGCTGCAATATGTTCCTAAAATTATTTTTTTATTAAATAATTTTATTTAATATAATTTACATGTTCATCAACATCTATTCCAACATAAATTGGGTCAGCAAATTCATCTGCTAATTTCTAAAATAAATAAATATATATTTAATTTATCCCCTTATACACAAACATTAAATTTTGGTGTCATTAATCGACAAGGACCACACCTAAATTTTTTTTATTATTTAAAAATTAAATCCAACCAAGTAGCAAAAAAGTCAATAACGACAAGTTTAGAGCCTGCTTCTGCCAAAATTGCATTTAATTCTTCCTTTTAATTTAAATTTATTCCATATTTAATTAACATTCAAATTTACCTGACTTTTTGGGTGTTTAATTGTTTGTGACATTTTTAATTTTTAAATTTATTTTCAGAAAAATTATTTTAACATTAAAATAAAAATGTTTTTATTTCACTTCACATTTCTTTAATTAATTCATTTTTCTTTCAGAAAAATTATATAAGCTTTTTTGAAATATCAGCCTTTTAAAAAAGTAAAAATTCTCATAAGGTAATAAACATTGTTTTGTTGCTAAGGACTACTATTATTAAAATTAAAAACTTTTTTTATTCAAATGTTCAATTTATTTTTGGTAAAAAATACATACACATGTATATGAAAAATACCTTAATATTTTTATAAAAATTTAAATAAATCTACTACCTAATTTTAAATAAATTTGTCAACTTTCATGTGGATAATAAAATTAAAAAGAGAAATAATAAAAAACATTAAAATATTTTTGTAGATTTAAAATTTTTCAATTAAAAAATTTTTTCAATTCAATTAAAAATATATTTTTAATTATTGTGCAATGTGCAAATCTTCCCATTTAATCGGCATAAAATAATTAATCGATTACAGATATCAATTAAGTAATAATGTTGAGATAATGAAAGCTAAAAATAATTTTAAAAGAAGAAATTAACCATTTTTGTAACAAAAAGAAATATTTTTAAAATAATGTTTAATAAAATATTCCAAATTTTTTTAAATTTAAATAAAAATATTTTATTTATTTTATTATTTTTTCTAATTTTTTTATTAAAAGAAAATGTTTTTTGTGATTATTCCCTTGGTTTTTTAAATAAAAAATTCTTTAAAAAATATTTTTGTAGAATGTAATTCTGGTTATCGTGTTTCTGCCATTAGAAGGGCTAATTCTGATAGACAAAGAGGGAAAGTTGGTTCAATTAGTATTGAATGCCAGCCATTATTAAGTGGCCAAATAGTTAAAGAAAAGGTTTTAATTTGTATGTAGACAGGGAAATTTTTAAAAATTATACAAAGGAGAAATGACGGACCATTATAACGAAATCACGGACTGGGGGGAGGGGGGATTCAATTTCGTCCAGCCCTGATAAATACCGATATATTTATTGAAAAAATAATTTAAAAAATTATTATTTAAAAAAGGTTAAATGTTCCTGTCATAGTTAAATTTATGAAACGCCCATTTTAGCGCCTCATAAAAGGCGAGAGAGAATAGGCCAAATCAACTTATTCACTCATTAATTAGTTTTGGGCCCAATCAAAAGTTGGCCTGTCCTCTCTCCCTTTTATTTATTAGATATATTTGTTGAATAAAAAAGTAAAAAGAAGGCCTTCGTTTTTAATAGGTGGATCGGCGCGCCCCAAGGGTGGGTTACCACTCTTGGGGCCCAACGCCGACTAACCCCCTGAAGAAAGGGGTTAGGGAAATATAAGATGGCGCTCCTGTAATTCTCCACCTAAAAAAAAAATTCCTAATCCACCCAAAAAATATTTCTAAAAATATTCCAAAAATATTTATTTAAAAAAATTATTTCTTCAACCCATCAATCAACTTAATTTTGGCGAGCGGAAAAAATTTCTTATTTATTAAACTAGTTTTTTTGGACTCCTTCTTTTGCAGCAATGGCCGGAAGTGGACAAATAGGAAAGAATTTGGGAAACGCCAAAATTTCTTATCACAAGAATTACAGCTATTTCTTGTGACATTACAACAAAGAAATTTTGCGCGAGCAAGTTTTAGGCGTAACCAAAGTTAAAGAAAAATTCCTATAAAAAGGAGTTTTTAATCAGCCAATTTGGCTCAAATTTGATAACTGGAGAGCAGAATAGGAGCGACGGGATTTTCAACAAACGGATTCATTCATCAAGAATACAGACGGATTTTTGCAAACAGACGGATTCATTCAAAGGATACACGGAGGGAACAAACGGAGCATAAGGAAAATAAACACAAAGGATATTCTGAGGATATTACCGATAAGGAGAAGAAGGAAAAAGCGAAGGAGTTCAATTGGAGCTAAAAATTTTAGTTTGGAGTTGATTGTTAAGTCAGTAGCATTTGAAGTGAGAGAAGGATAAAAATTGGAAGGATAAAGGACACTTACTCGCGGATTTTGGAAACTTCTGGATTTAATCTCTTGAATCAGGCCTCTAGTAAAATTTTATAGCCAGTCTTGGAATCAAAGCTAAGAAAACGTGCACGTGGAGTAAATTAATTGAGGAATATAAGCTCGAATCGTTTCCTAACAGATTAGGGGCGTATCACTGCAGGATCGCTTCTAGTCCCCCTACTGTGGGCAAAAAGCTAGCTAAAAGAGGAGATATTATTTGAAGTGTTAGGAAAAGTCGAGCAGTGGAATAAAATTGAAAAAAAAATTATAGAATAAATCAAGTCCGGACGAAGACTGTCTAGAGAAATTAATAGAAGGCTTATGATGAAAGAAGAGGATATTTCAGGACTGGAAGGGGAAAATACAAAGGATAAAGGGGATAATATTGGTACGAGCTCAAGTGGACTTCCATACCCTACCTTCTTTGATGGCAATGGAGATTTTTTGAGCTATCTAAGGACTTTCAACCAGATTGCGACTGCACACAATTGGACTCCTCCGAGATGCACGCAGATTTTACCGCTTTATCTACAAGGGTCTGCACTTGCGATTTACGAATCAATGCCGGTGGATGAAAAATCGCGGTGGAAGACACTTGTAGAAAGCTTGGCAGGGAGGCTAAAAAAGATATCAAATAAGGAAAGCGCACGCATAAAATTAGTGGAAAGGAGACAGGAGATGGGCGAAGGATTAGAAGAATTTGCAATGGATTTAAAGAATCTAGTGGAAGCAGCTTATCCTGAGAATGCGTTTGGAATTGACCTTGCTCCAATTAAATTAAATGACGAACAAAGGACAGGCTTGAAGGGGGAAAATGAAAAAATGGTCAAAAGGTTTAAAGAGGAGATTTGTATGGAGAGATTTAAAGCCGGACTGTTACCTGAACTTAGGGAAAAGATTATGTTTATGAAAGCGCCCTCTTCATTGGCAGAAGCAATAGCGCAGGCAAAAAGGGTTGATGAATTAAATCGGACAATTAAAGATGAGACGAGAAAAAGACTGGAGAAAATAGAAGTTAAGGCGGCGCTAGCGGAGGTTAATGAAGTTTGGGATCCATACCAAAACTATGACCAATATTACTATGAGGAGCAATTCCAGGAGTCTAACGGATGTAATGAGAACGGGGATGATGAAAAGATGGACCCAAATGTTGACCCATACTATGCCAATGACCAATATTATGATGATGAAGGCCAATGGTTTCCACATGAGAGTAATGAGGACTGGGGAGAGGAATATTGTCAGGATCAAGGATATCAGAACTGGCCCACGGACGGAACAGATTTTGAGGAGTATTAAAAAACATTTGGCGACGGGATACATTTTTCGAAATAGACTTATTTGTTGACCCCCCAGGAGAGGAAGAGAAAGTGGATTTTGGCGTTTATTTTTCGACATTTGATGGATTCGCGCTCCGTTGACACATACATAATTTTTTCCGTTTTTGCCAAAATTTTCTTGATTCAATACAACTAGTGCAGGAATTTGTTGAAGTGAAATTACGTTTTGATTGGGCTAGATTCGATTGCTAAAAGAATGGAAGCGAAGAATTAGGATGAAATGACGAATACAAAAAAAGATAGATTATGGGATGAAAGAAAATAAGAATTACCTTTGACATTTTCCCGCACTTTTTATCCGCTTTTTCTATTGTATCCCCCACCCCCGCGTATAGAATGTCATAGTTAAATTTATGAAACGCCCATTTTAGCGCCTCATAAAAGGCGAGAGAGAATAGGCCAAATCAACTTATTCACTCATTAATTAGTTTTGGGCCCAATCAAAAGTTGGCCTGTCCTCTCTCCCTTTTATTTATTAGATATATTTGTTGAATAAAAAAGTAAAAAGAAGGCCTTCGTTTTTAATAGGTGGATCGGCGCGCCCCAAGGGTGGGTTACCACTCTTGGGGCCCAACGCCGACTAACCCCCTGAAGAAAGGGGTTAGGGATATATAAGAGTTCCCCTCTTAATATTGCCCCTCAATGTAATGGCCAACTTGAAGGATGTAATAATTCCCAATGGCTTGGTGGTTTTAATGTTTATGAACTTGATAATAAAACAAATGCAATTCTGTTCGGAAATATTTTTAAATAAAATAAAATTAATATTTTTTTAGTCTGGACCCAATTTGTTGTGAATCTCCCGATTTATTACAAATTGATCAAAAAAGTTGTGTTTCGGAAAGATTAAATTTCCCAAAATTATCTTTTGAACATTCAATTTCGAATTCTGATTTTGTTTACAAGTTTTTTTTTGAAAAGTTTATTTAAAAATATTTTTTTCAAAAAAAAAGAGGTATAAATTGTTGGCATCAATTTAATCCAGACGGGACAACGGCAGATTTAATTTTTAAAATAGAAATTTGTCAAATAAAAAGAAAAGAAACAAAAAATGAGGAAAATAAAAACAAAATTAATTTTGTTTTTTTGGATTCTTCAAATTTAGGTTTGAGAAAAAAATTTTTTTTAAATTTCTTTTTCAAAGGTAAATGTCCATCATGTGATTGCCATAATTGTGGAATTAATTTATGTGGAAATGGGGATGAACCTATTCGTGTTGTTCACAAACATTTTAGTAAAAAAAGGTGTGCCTGTGATTGTATTTGTCGTTATGAATGTATTGGAAATTAAATTTAAAAGAATTTTGAAAGAGAAAAGGAAGACTAAAATACACTAAAATTTTCCCTTAAAAAATTTTTCTAATTTATTTTTTGTAAATTAATTTTTGAGAAAAATTAAATATTTAAAAATCTTCTCTATTTTTCTTTAATTTTTAAGAAAAAAATATTTTAAAACAATTTACCTAAAATTTAAAAAAAATTTAAAACAACCATAAATTAATGTGTAATCTGTCCAGGATAAGCATCCGCTCTATTTTTTCTTGTCAAAAATTTAAATTTCCTTTCACGGTCTTCATCAATAATTGCTTCAGATGCTTCTTTAGCATATTGATTTCGTTGCATATATGGCTTTAGAAAGTAGCGAGTATTTCTAATTATTTTGAGTAAACCTTCACGTTCCATTAATCTTTTTTAAAAATAAATTGAAAAAAATAAAAAATTAAATAAACCTATTTAAAACATGAAATGCTGCATCAACGTCGTTATCTTTTACCTTAAAAATTAAAATTTGTTAGAATGTTGAAAGAAATGTTTTAAAAAAATTTTTAATTTTATCTATATATTTTTATTTTAATACAAAGAAAATCTAAAAAGTTTGGTACTTATGAAGATGGAGGTGCCCTTTCTGCGGACTTTTTTTTTGCGGACTTTTCTTTCTTTCTAAATGTTTTGGTTGTTTTGCTTTCAGCAAGTTTTGCTCGTAGCAATTAACTGTCAAAGGATTATTTTTTATGCCAATTTGAAAAATATGTGTTCACGATTAATTTGAATTAGGGTTGGTCCCCGAGCCTTCGGGGTTGGAAAAGTCGGGGGTCGGGGTTTTCGGGGTTGACAAAGTCGGGGTCGGGGTCGGGGTTGCTCAAATTGTTCGGGGTCGGGGTCGGGGCTGAAAATAATGTCGGGGTTCGGGGTCGGGGTCGGGGGTCGGGGTTGAAGTGAAAATTTACAAAATCCAGCATTTTTATCCAAAATTACTGTTCAAAATCAACATTTTTATTAAAAAATCAACTTAATCTTCATTATCTTCACTTTCTGTATCTAATTCGTGATTAGTTGAAGGCGCAAGAAGTACTTTATCCAAGTTATCCTTCATAATCTCCAAAATCCCCAAACCCACAAGGAAACTCTTACTCCACCTCTTATGTAAAGGGATTGAGGGGAGAGGATTAAATGGATATAATGGGATTTAGAGGGATTTGACGGGATATCGGGGAGTTGCAAGGATAACGGGAGAAATCCATCTATCCATCAATTTCTCCTAAAGCCTCTGTATCCCTTCATTGAGTCTAGCGCCGCAGGCAAAAATTTTGAGAATTTTGGAAGGTCAAGAGCCAGATTTCTTCCATTTTCGGCGCCGCAGGCAAAAATTTTGAGAATTTTGGAAGGTCAAGAGCCAGATTTCTTCCATTTTCGGCGCCGCAGGCAAAAATTTTTAGAATTTTGGAAGGCCAAGAGACAGATTTCTTCAATTTTCTGCGCCGCAGGCGAAAATTTTAGAAAATTCATGACTAGTTTAAAATTTCTAATATTGTTTCAAGTTTAAAATATTTAAAAAAATAAATTTGCAAATTTAAAATCAAGATCATAGTTTAAAAATATTTATTTTCGAAAAGAAAAATTTTCTCAGCCTTATTTCCATCCCTGGATTCGAACAACATTCCTATCAAAATAGCTAGATGGCTGAAGTCAGTTAACCTAACCACTCAACCATCGACCAACAAAAGGAAACAGGAGAAAATATAAATATTCCTTTCCCTTTTCCTTCATATATTTAGCATCAAAGTCCCGATCCCGTTCCGATCTCTAGTTAATTAATGCAGTTTGAGTCGGGGGCATAAAAATTTTTCGGGGTTCGGGGTCGTCGGGGTCGAACTTTCGGGGGTCGGGGTTTTCGGGGTTGGGAATGTCGGGGTCGGGGTCGGGGTTTTAGGTCAAAAAATGTCGGGGTTCGGGGTCGGGGTCGGGGTTAGTCGGGGTCGGGGACCAACCCTAATTTGAATATATAAACGTAAAAATGTTACAATCAATTAAAAATTTTACTTTAACTAAAATTTCAATTACACGATGATGAATTTCGACAATGGATCACTGATCTCGGAATACTTCATAGAAAAAGAATATGTTATTGTGGAACAGAAATGCGGGTAATTTCAAACCTTGTCCCCCCCCCCATTATTTTTATTACCTAAGATTGTACAAAATGGTCAGATTTCCTTCTTTCCTCTGTTTGAGCTTGGCATATTCAAATAAGAGATATTGTTGATAAAGAGGGATTAAAATTAATTGAGTTGTTCAATACTGAGTTCAATTTATTTTCTCAGTTGTTCAATATTTTAAAATAGAAGTAAGAATGTAATGTTTTTAAACACAAATTCATAATGTTATACACCAAATCAATTTTATTTAATTCTTTTTTTAAATTGTTTTCGAAGGCAAAAAATAAGTGTATGACTATAAAATTAATCTTCTCTTCATCAATGTCTCTTGTTTGAATTTGGCACAGGGCAAATAGAGGAAGGAGAGGAAGAAGAAAATCTGACCTTTATGTACAATCTTAGGTAAGAAGAATAATGGGGGAGTGGCGTTGACAGTTAGTTGCTACAAGTAAAACATTTAAAAGAAGGGAAGAAAAGTCCGCAAAAAAAGTCCGCAGAAAGGGCACCTCCATCTTCATAAGTACCAAAAGTTTTTCCAAAAACAAAGTTTAAAAAATATTAAAAAAAAATAACCATAATTGTTTTTTGAAGAAATCTGCCAGGCTGCATCGCCCAAATTCCATGAAATAATGGCACTCCGAAAGGTTGACGCATTTTGCCACGCCATGTGAAACGTATAGAAGGCATAATCGCAGAAATAAAAGCCAAAAAATAACAAAAATATTTTGAAAAAACAATCAAAAAATTAGAGAAACAATGGTTGACGAATATTTAGTTTTTAGGAGTATTGGCTATTGGTCTTCTGGGCGTATTGTCTATTGATATTATGTTATTTGTATTTTTTTAATATTTATGACAATTCGCCACTGAGACAATTGGACAGTTGGCAATTTCACAGTAAAGTGTGGATACAGTAGATTTATGGCGGGGTTAAGAGCGGATTGTAATTCTAACTTGTCAAAGGGTTGAATTCTATCGGCACTAAATAATTTTTTGTAGGCTTTTTTCTTTTTTAATATGTTCAACTACCGTGATAAAATTACGTAAAATTTGTAGATGGAGACTTAGGAAGAAATGTACCTTTGGATCCCTCTTCCCGGAGAATTCTCTGTGAAGTTATTCTGTTACCCGAAACTGAGCCAAAGAATAGAACCAAAAAATCTTCGGTAATCCTCTGTCTCTATTTGGATTCCAAACGATAACCCCCTTGTAAATTATGGAGGTTATTGTTTGATTTTTAATTAAGGACTCGTAAAATACATAATTCGTACATATTTTTCTTTATTTAAAAAAGCTTTATATTACAACATAATTGGGGGGGGGGGGGTATTATTAAAATAGCGAGGAATTAAAGTAAAAAAAACAAAATGGAAATTTTCAAATATTTTTAATTTTTTTATTGTCTAATTATAAATTTTCATCAGTACTGGGATCTTCTGGCCTCAGCCATTGAAAAGCACTTCGTCTTTGTTTTTTCACCTTTCTTTCAGTTTTTTGTTTCGCAGCTGCTGCAGTACATGCACAGGGTTGTGGAGGCATCATTCCTGGTCCCCCTCCCATCATTCCAGGTGGTGGAGGACCTCCCATTCCAGGCCCTCCTCCATGGCCAGCTGGTATGCAAACACATGCGTTCGGTCCACCGCCTCCACCCATCATCATTCCTCCTCCGGGAGGACCGGGTGGTGGAGGAGGGAATGGAGGATTGCCACTAAAACATAAAACAATTGAAATGTATTAAGTCTAAATTATGAAATCAAAATAAAAAAATTTCTCACGCTCCAAATGGAGGTGGAGTAAATGGCGGTCTTCCTCCCATCGGACCTCCACCCATTGGAGGCTGGAATTGTGGTGTCATTGAAGAAGGTGGCATACCCATCGGTGGCTGTTGCTGTTGGAATGGTGGTGGTGGGAGCATTGGGGCTGCCTGTAATTGTTGAGGTGGTGGGCAGCAGGGATCTTGTTGAACTGAAAAAGTGCACATACTGAGTATTTTAAAAATAATTTTATACTGGGTGTGCAAATGCAAACAGGTTGTCCTCCGCCTTGGGGCGGCCGCGGCATTGGCGGTGGTGGTGGAGCAAATTGTGGTGGAGGTGTTTGTGGGGGACAACATGCGTCTTGTCGCATTGGTGTACAAACGCAACTAATTGTTAATGCTGTTCCTTGGGGAGGCATTTGCTGTCCTAGCCCTGGGCCATGTGCCATTGGTGGTGGGGGTGGCGGCGGCGGGGGAGGAGGGCAGCAATCTTGTTGCACTAAAGAGATATAATAACACAAGAATGTTTTTTGTATTTTAGCAAATATCTGCCAAAAACCTACTTGGTGTGCAGATACAAACTGGTTGACCTCTGCCAGCACCTGGAGGAGGAAGTCCTCCTCCCATTGGAGGTGACATCATTGGACCATCAAATGGAGAGGGCGAGCTCATCATATGAGGTGGTGGTGGGCCACCCATTCCTCCACCCATTGGCGGCATTCCTCCTGGTCTCATTGACGGTGGAGGACCCCCACCCATACCACCTCCCATCGGCATCTGTGGTCCAAACATGCCACCAAATTGATGATCACGCATAACTTAAATTTTCTTGATTTTTATGAAAAATTTCTCTTATTAGAATTACATGGAGGCGGAGGCATATGACCACCACCACCCATCATTGGTGGAGGCATTCCGCCACCCATCCCCATAGGCGGAAAAGCTCCTTGGCCACCAGCTGAAAGCGGAGCAGCGCATGAACAAATATCCTGTGGCTTTTGTTGAACTGTAACTAAAAAATTTAGAAAAAATTAGTTATCAATTCTCAAATCAGTCAATTTTATTACTTGTTATGCATGTACAGGCTGTTTGCATTGGTGGAGGTGGTCCAAATTGTGAGAGAGATTGGGGTGGCATTGGTGGAGGAGGGGGTTGACAACAAATATCCACTTTAAAATTAAAATATGCTGCATAAAAATTCAAAAATTACTTGGAGTACAACAAAGGCAACATGGTTCAGGTGGAGGACCAAAATGCTGTGATGGGGGAGGTGGAGGAGGAGGGGGTGAGGGCATCATTGGGGTACAACAATAAGGTTGACATTGCATTGGTTGACAATTCATTGGCTGGCATTGTTGTGGATTCATCAAGGGATTTGGAGGTTGACCACCAAATTGGCCTGGATGAGGAGGGCCTCCAAATGGAGGAGGGCCACCAGGACCTCCAAATGGAGGAGGGCCACCTGGACCTCCAAATGGAGGTGGGCCACCAGGACCTCCAAATGGTGGGGGACCGCAAATTTGGCGTTTGGAGCGAAACAAATTTTCAGAGGCAAAGAGACTTGCATTCTATTAGGAAAATAATTATATTTTAAAATTTGTACATTTAAAGTCACCAATGGTTTTGGGATAACACAAATGGCAAAAATTGCAAGAAATAACAATTTTGATGTTGTCATTCTCCCCAGTTTTAAAGTTTTGGATTGATTAATAAAATAAATTATTATAATTATATTAAGATTAGAAAGGAATCTTAAAGTTTTTTTGATTTAAAGAAATCTTATGAAATTATAATTAATATTAAAATTTTTACAAAAATATACAAGAATATAATAGTTTAGTTGTGGTTTATATGAAAGTATATTGTCCAAAAATATTTAGATAATAAGTACAAAAGAGAAAAAAGAAGAACAATCGCTGCTCATTACAAAAGTATTTTGAGTGTTTTTAAAAAAAGAAAAAGTCTGTTAAATAGTCCCAAGTGCCGAAAGGAAACAAAAATTATTTTCTAACAATCAATGTTACTTTCTTGGTCGGTCAAGAGAAATTTGGAGGCTTTTTAAAATGATCAGGAAAGATACGCTACTGAGGGGATGGACGATGCTTTTGAATGGTTCTGTTCAAGCAAAAAGCGGCCTAAAGAGTGACAACTGCCTACTAATTCTATTTCCCACATTTTTTGCTTTTTAGATCTCCGCGCAAGACTATAAAGATGAGTGGACAATAAACACATAAAAATAAAACAAATATACAAACAAAATAGAGACAAAACGTCTATTGCCGTTTTTCTGTTTTTGCCTAAAAGTTTTTTTACCAAGATTGGTGATTGGGCAATTCTTGCGTGTTTTCGAGTGTTTCAAATTTTTATTTGCTTGTTAAAAACAAAAGTTTTTGTTTTATTTTTTGTTGATTTCTTTTTAGTTAAAGCGGAAGCTCTTGAGAAATATTAAAAGAATTTCCATCTAATAAACAAGATAGGAGAGACGTGTGGGGACAAGCAAAAAATGTAAAAGGATGTTGCAAATAAAAATGAGTTTTGTTTTGATTTTAAATATTTTTTTTAATTTAAAAGTAACTCCCATACATTTTTAAATTTAAGCTTAAAATGGTTGTTTGTGTTTTAATAATTGAAATTTTTTTTTAGTTTCTTAAATAATCCTTTATAAGTATCAAACTCAATACATATTTGAGTAAAATCTATCAAATCTTTTATCAATATATTTTTAATATTATCTATCAAATCAAAATATTCTTTCTTTTCCATACTTTTCTAAACAAACATTTAAACATAAAAAACATTAAAAAAACTTCTTGATCAAGTACATATACCAATTAATTAGCTTAAAAATTGTAACAATTAAAAATTAATCTTTGATTAGTCTGTGTTCATTTAATAAGTTAATTAGTCTATTAATTGTTTGTTTGTTTTTGTTTGGTTTGTTTTTTCTTCTTTTATATATTATATAAAAAAAAGGGGGGGGGGGGTTCACCACAAATTCAATTATTAATAAATATAATCAAAGATGTAAGCTTATTTTTTGATCAATTATTTTGTTTAATTATTTTTTATATATTATGTATTTATATTAGTGTTTCACCGGAACCGAAATTTTGACCGGAACCGGAACCGGAACCGGATCCAATTTGAGTTCCGGTTTCCGGAACCGGAACCGGAACTTTTCAAAGTTCCGGCCCGGAACCGGAACCGGAACCGGAACTTTTAAAAAAATTTTTGCTAGCAAATTTTAAAAAATTTGTAGTTTAAGTAGAGTTGACTGTTCACCAACTTCTTCGGTTAACCGAAACCGAACCGAACCGAGACTTTTGATTAACCAAAACGAACCGAAAATCGTCGACGATAAGTGATATATTTGGGTTAGAGAGTGGTGTATGAACGGATTTGGTGGTATAAGTGTTTGATATCGGACGATATAAGGATTCAGAATTGTAAGAGGGTTTAAGTGATATCAGTGGAAGAAGGAGCGATATACGTTTTATGGGGATAAGGAAGTAAAGAAGAATATTAGGCCCATTGATGTCACACTATATAATTCAAAATCCACATTGATCCATCCAAATCATCCGTTATACCATTCAACTATCTTTTTCAGCGCCGCAGGCGAAAATTTTAGAATATTTGAGGACAAGAAGCTAATTTTTTCCTTTTTCAGCGCCGCAGGCGAAAATTGTGAAAATTTCTTAAGGCTGTAAGCAGCAAAATTCATCATTTATTAGTCATTCGAAAAATTTTAATAATTTTAGAGGGCCAAAAAACCGTAATTACTCCATGTAAAAATATAATGATTTTTAAAACAAAATTAAACTCAATAAATGAGTTATTTGTTGAAAGAAAAATTTTAAGAGTTATTGTCCTACGACCGGGAAGCGAACCCAACTTAAAATCACTAACGCCTTGAGTGAAGCCTAAACCCTTAATCACTCGAACACCCGCTCATCAGAATGGTATTGAAAGAAAATAAACATATTTCTTTCGATTTTTTTTATTACAAGTATGAGAGTACGAGTAGTTTATTAATATTTTTTAAAAAAAATCAATCTTTAGGGGTGTAAAAAAGTTCCGGTTTGCCCGGAACCGATTTGAAAACCGGAGCCGGAACCGGAACCGGATCCAATACGGGTTCCGGTTCCCGGAACCGGAACCAAAAAAACACCTGAACTTTCCGGAACCGGAACCGGAACTTCCGGTGAAACTCTAATTTATATGTATATTTTGTTACTTTTTTGTTAATTAATATTTTTAAAGTTTCTTCAAATCTTGATATTTTTTTTGAATTTGAACGGTTTATTTTTCTTGTATCGTTTTACAAATCTTTTACTAGAATTTATATTAACTCTCTTATTTTTATTCAATTCCAAAACATTAAAAGAATCAGAATATAATTAAAATAAACAAATATTTAATTTAAATTTTTTATCAAAAAATACAAATAAGGCAGTATATAAAAATAAAATGTAAAGAGAACAATTATTTTATTTAAACAATTTAATAAGTGAAAATTTAAAAAATAAAAATATTGAATATATTTTGGGTAATAATATAAGTGAAAGTTTAAAAAATATTATGATTAGACATAAAAATATTGGGATAAAACAAAGATTTTTTAAGAAAAAAGATTTAAAAAATATTAATTATAATTAAATGCTAAAAAATTAATTTCTTGAGAAAATAAAATTAAATGTAAAGTTTTATTATGCAGTCGAATCGCGAAAATACGCGTACTTAGATTTTAAAAATAATAATATTCAATATATGATTTAACATTGATAAATACAAAAAAATATTTTTAGACAAAAATTATTAAATTGTTTTAAATTTTGAGAAAATATTTCTTTTGTCTTAAAATTGAGCAATTAAAATTAATTTTCTTAAAATTTTAATAACAAAATTTTGTTGTTGTTAATGCTTTATATTAATTGTTTCTATATTATCATCTTCTTTTTCTTCTTCTTCCTCATTAAAATTATTTTCTAAAAGCATTTGTAAACGTAAAACAGAAGTTAAAGATTCAGAATCAAAATTAACATTTAATTCTTCGTCTTCTTCTTCTATTTCATTTATTTTTATTTCTTTTAAATTTTCTTTTTTTGTTGTTGTTTTTGTTGTTTCCAAATTATTAGAATTATTAATTTCCTAAATTTTAATTTGTTATTTTATTAATAATACATATACAAAAATATTATTTTTATTTAATATTAAAAATTTGCTTTATATTATTTTGTTTGTTAATTAACTTCTCCATGAAACTTTTAAAAAATATTATAACTTATTTTAAAAATTTAGTTATGAAGATATTAATGCAAAATTAGAAATATACATATTTAATAAAATAATTTAAAAATTTACCTTTTCAATCTTATTAATATAGAAAACAGAAGTATTATTATTTTGTTCAGAATTATTTGCTGCTTCTTTTTTATTTATTTCTTCCATTGGAAAAACTTTTCCAAAATTATTTTTTCTTTTAGTATTTTTTCTTCTAATTGTACTTCCAGTACTTGCCCAATGTTGCCGTTCTGCACTTCCCCATAAAGTAAAGAAAAATACAGGTAATAAAGCAATTACTGCCGCAATCCAAAAAACAATTGTCCATTCAGATAAAGAGCCAGACTTTTTTTAAAAATATTTCTCTTTTATTTTTAAACATTAAATTCTACCTGTACAATATAATTAGAAAGTATTTTATTGACAATACTAAAAATAGCAACACAACCAAAAGCAATACCCGTAATTATACCCGTATAGGCTGGTGCTATTTGTAAAAGGGCTATCTGGACACCAGGTGTGTGGAGGCCTTAAGAAATTAATTTTTTTTGTTTAAAAAAAATAATTTAATTACCGGCAAAAGCATTAGCTAAACACAAAACAAAAATAGCATTAACTCTTTGTTGGTCTGTATGAAGTAAAGGGACAATTCCAACACAAATACCCAAACCTAGAGAAGCAATTCCATTAAACCATTTAGCTAAAGCTGTTCTTCCAATTTTGAAACGACCTTTTTTAGAAAAAATTTTTTTGTAATATTTTCTTTCACAAAAAAATACCTTTTTTATTTGCCTGAATAAAAGAAGAAATTGAGGAAGAAAATGTTTTTGCAAGAAAAAGAACAGCTATAGGTAAAGCTGAAACAAAACCATTTGCTGTATTAGATAAAAGCAAAACATCATTTATATATTTTGGAAGAAGCTAAATTTAATTATAAATTTTATTTTTTTAATAATAATCACTCTATTATAGCTCACAATATAAAAAAATTTGGCTGTAGTTTAGTCGAGGGCCCGCTCCAAACCGGGTCGAAACATATGTCATTCGATTCGTCTCGGCGAGCTGAGTCGAATGGTACCACTCCCTAAGTGCGGAAATGCCTGTGGACCGAGATATAGGTCCCTGAAATTTGAAAAACCATAGGGGGGAGTAAGCTGAATTTTGGGGTGAAAAATTCGATTTTTTGTATGATAGCTCATTCGAAAGAGCTCCTCGAGCTGAGTCGAATGACACCAAAATCGGCTCTAGGTCTCAATTTTGAGCCGAGATAGAAAGGCTCAAAATGGTCAAAACACATAGGGCGATTTTAGGGGTCAAAAATTTGAATATACAAATGATAGCTCATTCGAAAGAGCTCGACGAGCTGAGTTAAATGACACCAAAATCAGCTCGATCCGATGATTCTGAACAAAATTATGAACAACTTAACTTTCGCGCGAATAACTTTTTGTGCTGCTACGGAGGGTAGGTCGGCATTCAAGGCTGAGAATCGGTAAAAAGGAATAGGATTAAGTTACGAGCCCAGACCCAGCGCCCGTAGACTCCCCGCGAGGCGCGTGCCGCAAAACCCCGCGCGAAGCGCGGGGTTTTGCACAAGCGCCTCGCCGACGCTCCATAGGTTTAAGTTGACCATTTCGAGCCCTATATCTCCGCCCAAACTTGTCCAATCACAGTGATTTTGGTGTCATTCGACTCAGCTCGAGGAGCTCTTTCGAATGAGCTATCATACAAAAAATCGAATTTTTCACCCCAAAATTCAGCTTACTCCCCCCTATGGTTTTTCAAATTTCAGGGACCTATATCTCGGTCCACAGGCATTTCCGCACTTAGGGAGTGGTACCATTCGACTCAGCTCGCCGAGACGAATCGAATGACATATGTTTCGACCCGGTTTGGAGCGGGCCCTCGACTAAACTATATCCAAAAATTTTAATTAAATATTATTAGGGGGAAGTTAAAATTCTAGTGAATATTATCAGTATTATTGGAGCCTTTTAGATTAAGATATTTATGTTATTAAAATTTTTGTTTACCTGTAACATAATAACTAAAGGATATTCATGGCATATTAAAGCAGCTACCCCAATATATAAAGGCCTACAAGTAGCTAATCTCTTCCAGGGTATTTTTCTTCTTTCTGTCCTTTTCCCTAAACGTTCTTCTGCAATTTTTTCTTCGACAAAAGATCTTTCTCTATTTGAAGTACAAAAATGTTTTGAAGGTTTGTCTGCACTCATTAACAACCAAGCAAATAATATTCCTATTCCAATTAGTGCTGACAAATAAAAGATTACTGGCCATCCACCCAATATATCTTGACGGGAACAGAGAAATCCAGCAAGTGGAAGAATTAAAAGAGTACCTAAAAATTAAAATTATTTAAATGTACTCTCTAATATAAAGGCTGGGGAAATTTTAAATTGTTCGTACTCGTATATTCGAATCGAGTACGAGCACGGATTTTGGTACCAGCGTTCAGGCACTGATAAAGGCTCTTAATGGGATTCTTAAAAATAAATATCAAAACCCTCTATTTAATGTAAAGGTTTATTAGAGGTTTGCAGAGGTCTCACATCCGTCAATAAAATTACATAAACTTTTGCAAAAATAAATCAAAGTTTATTTTTCTTTTAATTTTCTTGTCAAGTTTAATTAATTTATTAAATTAAAGTTCGTCATTAATTTCTATCAAAAATTTATTTTTACAAGGTTAATATAAAATATTTTATTAAAAAGAAAATCTCGAAAATAGTCTCTCTTTTCTTTCTTTTTTAAATAAAAATTCGGAAGTAATGACGAAAACAAAAAATAATTTATTTTTATTTATTACAATAAATTATTTTGTAAATTTTTAATTGTTAACCTTGTACCCCCTTTACTTTTTTTTTCTTTTTTAATGTTAAAAAAATTAAGTAATTTTCTATGTCTATCAGAAAGTTTAAAAATTATAAAAATAAGAGGATAGTGATTAATTGTTTGTAAATTTAATTGAAAAAATTTTTAAAAATGAGGATATACCAATTAATTAAAGTAAAAGATATAATTAATTGTTTAATAATTAATTTAATTTAAGGAAAACCTCAAAAAACAGGTACTTTATTAATATCCCGCCCCCCACCCCTAGTTGAGTCTCAGTTTAAAATATAATTAATTGTTTAATAATTAATTCTATTTTTTAGTTAATTTTAAAGGTCTAACACAAAATACTCTCTATTTAATTAACCCCCCCCCCCCTTTAATTTACCAACCAACCAATTTGACGTCCACCAGTTATAAGCCCAATAGCGAATGGACGTTCTTTTGGAGGAAACCAACGAGTAATTAGACTTGATGTTGATGGTTGCAAAAGAGCGTCTGAAAGGCCAGTGAGTAAACGTGCAACAACTACTAACCAAACGGAAATGGATGCAACTAGTGGGAGTAATGCATTGCTGAGAACTTTAAAATAAAGGGATGTTTGTATTAAAGTTTTTAAAATATATTTTAAATTAAAAAAATAAAATAATAAAATTTTAAGAAAAATATTTTAACAAAAAGGCGAAAATAAAAATTCTAAAAATAACGCGTATATTTTGTGTAAAGAATATAAAAACAATACAATGGAAATAAATTTAAAGAAAAAGTAAAATTTAATTAATTAGTGACGTAATCAAATTGATTATATTTTAAATTTGGAAAAAAATAAAATTACCGAGAAGTATTAGTGCACCACTAATTGTCCATTTACTGTTAAGTCGATCAGCATGAGCTCCTGTAAATAACATGAAAAGAGAACCAGCATTTTGTGCTGCAAAAACAATGCCTAGAAAAAAAAGAGAGAATTAACTAGAATTTAAAGAATTAACTTTTAAAGTTCAAGAGACTTTGTAAGGGGGAAATGTTCGATAATTTGATATGGAAAAGCATTGGAATTATTTATCAAAATGATAAGGAAACAAACATTAACACGGATAGCTTATGTGTAAGTTAAAAAAAAGAGGTCTCCAAGTTATTCCTCAAAATATTCATCACTACCTTGATCAGTAGAACTCCAAGAAAGTTTTTCTGCTTCATGGCAACTTTCAAAATAAACAGTTGAACGTATTTCTCTATTATTATTATTTAAATGTTTTCTTCTTCTACGACTATTGGCACATTCACTTTGTTTTTCTGTTAATAATTGTTTTGAAGTTGATGTTGAATTTATTTGTTGTTGTTGTTGTTGAATATTATCTTTTTCCCTTTTTCTCCTCCTTAATAAAATAAAAACATCAGATTTTTCTTTTTCTTGTTCATTTATTTGATTAATTCCATATTGCATATTATTTTGATTATTATTGTTGTTAGGCTAAAAAATATTTTTAATAATTATACCTATGTATTTTACACAAAATAATTGTGTAATATTTACTTGTAATGATTGCATTTGTTGTTGTTGTTGCACTTGTTGGAATTGCGCTGATGTTCTTTTTATCATACAAACCATGGAAACAGAAATATTTGAAGTCGAGATACTTAAAGAAATATAACAAAGACAAAGCAGTAGAGCAATGAAGAACCGGGTTGAGGGAAAAATTCGAGAAGATTTACTACTTGTGTTGCTATTTGTTAATATAGATCCTAATGAACCAGAAGACGATGATGGTGGAGGGCAGGATGGTGGGGATGATGAGGATGATGTTTTGGAAGATGGAGATATCGATGAAGATGAAGAGGTTGTTGTTGTTGAGGATGAGGGAACTGATTGGGAAATTGTTGTTGTTGAAGTTGACTGAGAGGAGGAATTGGAAAATCTTTGTTGTTTTGCTGTTTGATTTGAGAGAGCTTTAAATTAAATAATTAAAAACTTTAGAGAGAAAGGACTACATCATTACATTCTCCTATTAAATGGAATTCACATGGAAGGGTTTTCTAAAAAAAACCGGAAGATAATGATGGAGAATGACTATGAAAGTTTTCTGAACAAAATTCGTTACCTTTTGACAGTTAAAAGAAAATAAATAAATATACATTATTAGAGAACAGAATGGAAATTCTTAGCTAAAGTTCTCTTTCCCAAAAATCATTACATATCCCTATTAAAACTTAATAACAATTTACTTAATCTCCGTGGAATTGGAGGTGTTGGACTTCCATAAATTGGAATTATAGTTAAAGGTTGAGTATTAACAGTTGAGAGTACTGCTACAGTTGGTGCTGGCACATAATTTTCTCCTCCTTGAGTATTATTATTTCCATTACTTGGCCCGGCAATATTCGAACAATTTAATTGTTGTTTATTTTTAAATAAAGAAGAAAATGATTTTTGTTTTGTTTGTGTTGAAAATTTGAGCATTTTTTTATTTATTTTTATTTTTTTAACAAGGGAGTGTTTATTTTAGTAAGAATAATTATAACTTTTATTTACATTAATTAATTAATTTATTTATTTTAATAGACTTGAGATCGACGTTAATTTTATTGCCATATGAAGTTTAGATATTTTTCAATAAATAAATGATGGCATATTATCTTTATTATTTATTTGTTGTTTAGTTAATATTTAAATTGTAAAACTGAAATTTATTAAAAATTAACATATTGAAATTAATTAAAAATAAAATATTGAAAAGCTTGAAATAAAAAATATTTTTTATAAAAATATTTTTTAAATAATTAAAAATTTTGAAGAAAATTTTTTTATAAATTAAATGTATATCCAATTATGGATTTAAAAATTCTAAAATTAAAACTGTCTTGTTTTTGTCTTGTTTTACTCTTTCAACTAAAATAAAAACAATTTCAAACTATTTACACAAATACTTCAACTAAATAGCTAACCAATATTTAAATTAACCTCTAAAATAAATATAAACAATAGGTAAAAGTTTTGGAATGTAATTGAGAGAAAAGAAAAGAGAATTTGGGTGGTAAAGAATAAATATACATTATTTGCGCGTTTTCTGCAAAAAGACGTTTATTTAGTAATTATTTATTGAATGATTTTTGTTTGTTATCAACACCAAAAATAAATAAATAAATATTTAATTGTCCTAACAAAATATATTTTCTTTAATAAATCGATTAATAAAGAAAAATAAATAAATTCCTTAATCAAACCTTTAATCAAATAAATTATTAAAATAATAATTTGTTAAATTTTTATTTTTCTTTAATTTTTAAAATGAAATCTTTTTTAGAAATTAAAAAGAATATTTTTAGTAACAATTTACAGAAATTATTTTTAAGGAGAGAATAATTTCTACAATTTTATTAAGACATATACCTACATATTTTTAGTGGGTACACCCCAACTTAACGTAGAGCTATAACTTCGTTCAAAATGGTCGAATTTAGGACGCCCTGATATGTTTCGATTCAGTTCGTCGAGCTGCATCGAACAATATCAGGGCATCCGGATTCGACTATTTTGAACAAAGTTATAGCTCTTCGGTACGTTGGGCTCGCGGTACATTGGACTGCTCCCATTTTTAGTATTATGTACTCAAACTATGATAAATTATTTTTTTCTAATTAAATTATTAATTTTATTTTAGGACATCTAATCTTGAACAAAAAATATATTTTAACTAATCGGAAGACTGTTTATAAGTAAAATATATTTTTATTTTATATTAATTTTATATAGCTATTTATATAGGGTAAGTATAAAATAAACGGAAGAAGAACGGTCGAACAGCTACGAGCAAAAGAAAATTAAAAAAAGGAGGGGAAATTTTAAACTTGTTAAATTTAGAAGAGAAGAGATTGAGAATGAGAGAATAAAATACCGGCTGTTTGTTGAAAAAAAAGGGGAAGAAGAATTATTGCGGTAAAAATAAATTGAAACTCTGCCGTTGGTCGACAATCTTATTTTAAAAATTTTTTTCTAAAATTTTTTTTCTTCACATTAATTTGCCTTTTCTGCACTCATCGCAAATCATTTTCATTCAAAAAATACTTTTTCTCAAATGTCTTCTAAATTTAAAAATTTTTTGATTGGCAATACCTTCTCTCCTTTGGAGGGGGGGGGGGGTGATTGCAAATTAATTAAATGAATAAATAATCGAGAATCGAGATTTTTTTAAGAAATTAATTTAAATAAATAATTCAAATATCTACAAGAAGCTCCCCCTAAATCTTTCAAATTAAATTTAGTATTGGTTAATTTAAAAACTAAAAATACTCACATTACCCTCCCCTTCCCCTCTCTCCATCCTTAAAAATAATTAAAATCCTTAAAAATCTATTTAATTTAAAAATTTAAAATCGAGAAAAGAATATATCGAGATTTTCTCGAATATTTTTTTATTCTTTGTCCACAGGAAATGACCCTTTCCATTTAGAGCGGAGGTCAATTATCTACGTGAAGGTGGAAAAGAGGGGGTAATTAACATTCGCGTCTAATAAATCTTTGGTTTTTAGTTGATCAAAAAGAGTGAAACGCGTGGGCAATTTTTGTGTGAATATTAAAATATATAAATTATTCAAAAATTAAGCCAAAAATTGGAAAAGAAATAAAAAAAATAATTTAGTAAGGGCGTCATCATCTGTTTATTTAATTAATTAGAAGAATTGCATAAATATATATTATATGTATTGTGTTTTGTTTAATAAATCTTTTTTTGAAAAGAGTAAAGGTTAAAAATATATTTTAATTATTTAAATAATTAATTTATAAATTAAAAAATTAAAAAAAAATGAAATAAAAATAATAAAATAGAACGAACAAAAATATTTTTAAAATAACAACAGAAAATATTCTCAAATATAAAAAATTAAATCCAATTAATGCTTAAATAAATAAATATATTATTATTAGGTCATTTTAGATTTATGACGAAATTCTGTTTATTTTTTACAATTTAACACTAAAATAAATCAAATTACATAAATAGATAATGATTAAAGAGATTATTTAAAGATTTTATATTAGGAGATAATTGAAAGATATTTAAAGAATACATGTATAAAATCTGTTAAATTTAAAAGGTAATTTAAAATAAAAAAAAAAATAAATAATTATTTTAAATGATTAAAATAAAATATTTTCTTTAAAATTATTTTTAAATTTGTCATTTATTTTTTATTTATTTTTAACTTAAATATATATTAATTTAGGTATGTATATATTTTCATTAATTTTAAAGAAAACACGTAGCAAAGTATATTTATTTTTGTTGTCATCAATTAAAAAAAAATAAAATTATAAAAAAATATTTAATTTAAAAATATTTTTTATTCTTTAAATTTCAAAGAATTATTTTTTAAAAATATAAAAAAATTATCAATCAAAAATTGCAAAATTTACACTGTTCTTTAAAAGATTTATTTGGGGGGATTTTACGGAAATAAATTTAAAAAAATATTTTTAACAAATTAAATGACAGACTAATTTGTTTAATTATTTTTTTAAAAATATTTAAAAAAAAAAGAAGGGAAGGTCACGTAATTGTGAAGAGTAAATAATGTAAACTGATCGGGAATAGAAAAAAGATATATTACGAAAGAATGGCGCCGTACTGGTTAATAAATAAATTTAAAAAAATATTTTAAATTATTTAATTTAAATTTTAGATATATTAAAGGAGTTTAAATTAATCTAAAAATTAATTATGGTAATTACAGAAAAATTCTGAAATATTTATAAAAATAGGAACTATAAATATTTTTGTGACTACCTAAAAAGTAAAATTACTTTTTCTAACACAATTAAAAAATTTTTAAAAGCTTTCCAAAGAAAACTCGTAAAAATCAAAATAATTTATTGATGGGAACATAAAATCATTTTTAGCTGATTATCCTTTTTTACGATGTTCCTTTTCTACCTGGAAAGAGGCTAAGGACAAGCTGGATTAAAAGAACAAAATTTGGAGAAGAATAATAATAAAAAAAGTTTTTTTATAGTAGGAATACTGCTGCCCCTTGAAGAGTTTTTGTATAAAAATAAAAATAAATAATTATTATTTAGATACAATTTCTGAAAGAAAAAAGGAACAAAAAAACTAAAAATATTCTTTCGTCTCAAAAAAGAATAAAATATTTTTATTTAAAAATTTATGGATTTGTTTTTGAGGAAGGCGCGCGAGGTTCAAGTACCAAAAGAACATGAACAATTTTAGTTTAAAAATAAATTTAAAATATTTTTTATTTTAATATTAATTGAAAGTATTCCTTAATTTATTTACAAGAAAGGATATTTATTTATTTAAATTAAAATTATGTAGGGTGTAGGTTTGGAACCGAACCTAAGAAAGAATTCGGTTAAATTCCGGATATCCGAATATTCTTTAAGAACCAACAATCCCTAAATTTTCTGTCATTTAAAAAATTCTTTTTCGATTAATAATTGAATTATTTAATTTATTTTATACTAACTCTATATTTATTCTTAAAAGCTATTTTAAGCTTTTTAAAAAATAAAATAAAATATGAATAAACAAATTAGTCATATAACAAATATTTAACCACAAATCAAAACAGACATAAAAATATTTTTGATTAAAATATACGTAAATACTTTTCATTCCTAAAAAATGTTTTTTTAATTTTTATTTTATGTTTTGTTATTCTTATTCATTTAATTGTTCTTTATTTTTAAATAAAAAATATTTTGTTTAAAATTTTTGGCAATTTTTCATATTTTTCTTTTTCTAGTTTTAATTTAAAAAAGCTTTTTAAAAATCTATTTTTGAGAATTTTCATTCTTTTTTGATTAAAATATATTTCTTTTAAATTTCTTTTAACTAACAAAAATATTTAAATATTAGAAATTAAAAGAAATTAAAACAAATTTTAACAGTCTGTCACTAAATATTTTAAAATAATTATTTATTATAATAATAAAATTTAAATAAATAAAATGCGTCATTGTAATAAATAAACCAAAAAATATTTTTATTTATTTTATTTAAAAATCAAGAAAAGACTATTTTTATCTAAAAAATTATTTTTTTAATTTTTATTTTTTAAAAATCAGTTAATTCAATGTTTGCTAAATTTTTTAAAAGAAAATTTGTTTGTCTGTTAATTAGTAAATAAATATTTTGAAAAAAAAATTTTAAAGTGCAAATATATTTAGTAGTAAGTAGCAAAGAATTTATTTTAATTAAGTTAGTAAAAATAATTTTTGAGAAAAATAAATAAAAGAATTTTTGGATCTGCTTAAAATTTTAGTCAAAAATAATTTTTTAATAAGAATTTTGGAAAATCCCATTTTTTGAAGAAAAATTAAAATTATTTTTAAATGAAAATAAATTTATTTATTTATTTTTCTGAACAGAAATGGCCCAATTTCTTCCATTTTTGTAGTAGAAAAATAAAAATATAAATAAATTTGTTTTTTAATGTCCTAATTTTATAAAAAATAAAAGAGAACAAGTTTTGGAATTTTCTCTTTTACAAAAACAAAAATAAAAACGAAAAAGCATTTTTATTTAAAAAAAGAAAAGAAGATATTTTTGTTGCAAATAAAAGGAATATATTTATTTATTTAGATTTGTTACACCTTTTAATTTATCAAATAATTGGGGCTAAATTATATATGTTAATATTAAAGAAGTATGTCTGTAACCATTTTTTAATTAATTAATTTTTGAAATAAAAATTATAATTAATTAAAATAATTATTGTTTAGATTAACAATAATTAATAGTGGAAAATAAACTTTTAATTAGGAATACTCCCCCTCCCCTCTTTCTTTAATTTTTGAAAAAGTTTTAAAAGAAAAATCTAAAACAAATTTACATACTAGATCAGCAAAATTAAACTTAACCGCGTTTATCTTGCAGAATTCAAGTGAAAATTTCCGCTATTTTTTGTGACTAGCCAAAGAATTTATTACATTCATTAAACATTAAGGAAGTTTAACAAAATATTAATTTTCTTAAATTAATTTTAAAATTTAAGAATTTTTTAAAAAATAATAGATACTTTTATCCACACATTTTTTGAAATTAAATCTAATTTTAAAGAAAAGTTAATTTTAGACAAAAGAAAAAATAAATTCTTTTTTAAAAGTTAACAATTTAGAAAAATTATTTTTTAAAATCCTCTTTTGTTTAATTTAAAAATAAACTTTTTATTTATAAAATAAAGTAGATCAAAGCGCGTAAAAATAAAATTGTAAATAAGAAGGAAGATATATTAACTAAAGATCCTCTTTCTTTTTTTAAAAGAAACATCTGGACATTTTTAAATGAAAAGCTTGTTTTAGTTTTCACTCATTTTAAATATTCTCCTCTCTCTTTTTCCTTTCTCTTTCGACCTAAATTAAAAAGAAAAAAAGAAGGACAAGGCCAAATCTTCCACAAAAATTGTAAAGGAAAAAGTGTAGCAGATTCACATAAAATCCACACACATTCACAATCAACTAATAAAAGTGATCAAGCGAAAAAAAAAAGAGAAAACAATTGTAACTAAAAAGAGGAAGAAGACATGTTTATTTGTGTGACCGATACGTGGGAATAAGCAAAAGAATTAGGACAGAAAATTAGGAAAAATTAAAGGAAGTTTACATCTGTAGAGAGAAAAAAAGTGAAAGTTTAATCTGTTAATGAAAGAAAATTCTATAAATTTTTCTATGCCCTCACAAAAAATTAAAAAAAAGACAAGGAATATAGACAGTTCATTTACATAAAAGTCAACAGATATAACAGTTAATTTATTCGTTTATATCTATTAATCTTTAATTTGAGTTTAATTTGAGTCATACATATACCTATATCCCCCAAAAATACAAAAAAGTGGGGCTGTTGTTACCACAAAAAGATGGCCGTTTAACATATGAATTACCCCCATTTTCCTAATTTAATAAAAGAAGATAATGTCCTAATCTACAAAATTAAAAATATTATTTTAAATATTGAGGAGGGATATTTTAATAAAATAAAAAGCCTTCAATATTTACGCTCAGATAAACAAAAGTAGTATAAAAAGTATGTATAACAAAAAATATTTTTTTCTAGTAAATTAACTAAATCCAATTTGCGCAAAAAATAGAAAAATATTTATAATTAAAAAAACTAAATCTTATCCTTGAAAGAAAATTAATTTGCCTTAAAAATGATTTAAAATCATATTGAAAATAAAGAAATGTATGTTATTTGAAGGGCATCATATTAAAGTCAAAATAATTTAAATCGGTGGTATTTAATTAAAAAAGATTTGACTCTTTTTTATACGTTCAATCAACCTTTATATTTTCACACACAAACTTTAATTATCCAATTAGTTCTTACCCTAAAAGTTAAGAACTATTGCGTTTTGTGTTTACGTTATTCCAAGGCTATTTTATTCAGCTTGTGATTGCCCCTGAATATTACTTAAATGATCACAGCTTAATTATGGTAACGAGGCATCAATACTTATGGTCTCTCAATTAATCAGTAAATATTAAGTAATCACGCCATTAATTCCTTTGAATGTCCTAACTTGTAAAATATATATTTTCGGACGCTTAAAGTTTGATTGGAGGTATAAACCTGACAAGAGACAAAGATTCTTCATTAAAAACTTGATTTTTCTAAATACACATAACTTGATTTAATTTTCAAAAAAGTTTATGAAAAGTTATACGTTTATAAATTGTTCATTATTTTATGCAATACCAAGATCTTAAAAATTTCGTGATTAAACTTTCTAATTAATAAATTAACCTCATCTCTTATTTTTAAAGAAAACCACAAATTATTTTAATATTTTTAATGGAAATTAATTAAATAAAACGATGGATATTTTTAAAAAATAAAAGAATCGTTATAAATTAAATAGAAAATTTAGTAAAAAGATTTTTTACTAAATTAGAAAATATATTGCAATAAATATTAAATTTATTATTTAGTAATGTTCTAAATACCCAAAACTTGTATCTAATTCAAATAAAAGAAAGTAACAAATAAAAAAAACTAATAAAAATCAACGTAAAAAATCTCTCAGAAAATAATATAATCAATTAATTATTATTGCGTAGTTATTTTAATATTTAATTACTTAAATTTCCCACATGTCATTTACATATTTTAAATTAAAAGAAATATAAATTAATTTAAATATTTTTTAAGTTAAAATTTAAAAAAATTGTTCTTTAAAAATTTTAAAAATAAAAAAAGTTAAAATGAACAAAATAAATATTTACTTGCACAATTAAATAGTGCAAGTAAAACACAAAAAAATTATAAAAAAACTTCTGTACACAAATGCAAATAATTGATCTTTCAAGTGATTTAAACTATTTGTTTAGTATTTTTAAAGGATAAACCAATTTAGTTAAATATAAGCCTACACAAACACACTTATTTAAAATGAAATCATTTTTAAAATAAATATTTAGGTGATATGCAGACATAAAAAAGATATTTAATTTTTATTTTATACTTAAATTCTCGTATTTTGTTTGTTCTTTTTAAATAAACACATTAGCAGACAAAATTTCAGAAATGTTTATTTTAAAAATTTACTTCCTTAACTTCTTTAGACTACCAAAACTTTTTTAGATAAGAGAAAACTTAAGTGGTCAAAAAATCGGATCAAAATTTGAGTTCTGCTCAAAATTTAATTTTTCCCAAATTTAGCAAAATTATATAAATTTATTTTCAAATATTTATAGGTTAAAATATTTTTATTTTTTACTGATACTTACATAAATAAACGGTCAAGAAAAAAGTCATATAATAAACTACAAGTCCGTAAAACATAAAACTATTTACTCTTGCATCTTATCATCATCCTTTTCCTCAGAATCCAACTTTTCAATCATTTCTTTATTTTCTTTTAATAAAATTTCCCCCAATTCATTTAAACGAATTTTCTGTTTCTAAAAAATATTTTTTTAACAAAAATAAACACAAAAAAACAAACATGTTGTTGCTCAAAACGAGTACAAAGTTTAGTCATATTGTTCATAGTCACTGTCTGGAATTCCTCATAGATCTCATCAAGAGATTTTTTATATTGAATATACTACAAAATTTAAATAAAAAATTAAAAGAAAATTAAATTTAAATAAAAACTTTTTTGTGTTTGTCTGCCAATTCTTCTCCAATTGAATTTAATATTCCATTATATTTATTCATATCGGCCGAAGTACCTTGATGTTTTTGTTTTGCAATATCCAGGTTATGTTTTGCTGTACGAATTGGACGAGATTCATCATTAAGTTCTCGTTTAAAACGTTCATTTTCCAATTCTTGACCTTCCAAACACTAAATAATTTTTATTATTTTTAAAAATAAATTCTTAATTTTACCCTATCAAGAGAAGACTTCAAACTATCCAATTCTTTAAGTAAATCATTCTTCCTTTTATTTGATTCCTCAATAGACCGAAGATAGGCATTCTTTCTCATTTCAGCTTTTTCTTTCAAATTTTCAATTAATTGGGTAAATTTATTTTCCACAGATGCTTTTTTAAAGTCATTAACAGATTCTAAAAACGAATATTCTTTCATTTGTTGCTGAAGTTCTTCTGAAATATTGAACGATTTGCACAAATCAAAAAGGCGACCAACAAAAGATTTAAAATTTGCACAAACCTAAAAATAAATAAAAAAATAAATAAAAATAATTTTTGTTAAACCTTGGAATTATGTTTATATAATTGTGGTTGAAGTTCACACAATTTTTTATCATCCACAGACAAACAATTGTTCAATGTAGAAATCCCTTCTTGTAACTAAAAATTTTTTTCAATTAAAATAAATTCACCTAAAATTTTATAAACAATCTCTGAATAGATTCACAATAAAGCCTCGTCTACCCGAAAAAAAACTAAAATTATTTTTAGCTAATCAAACCATTTGTCGTTTTGCAATCATTTCTCGAGCTTCCTCTCCACTAATCGCTTGATTTGCAATTTGTTCTTCTTTCGCCAAACGTTTTTCTTCCAATTTCTGATTCTTCTCGACAAGTATTTCACAATTTTGTTCGCACGTGGCTATCATATTTGTGTTCAAAGCAATTACTTCACATAATTCTTCCAAATATTTTTCCATAGTTTTAATGTCATCAACATTGACCGCAATATTCCTTTTAAATTCCAAGATTCCTTCTTCTTCCTTAAAAATAATTTTTTAAAAACCGGAATTAAAAAGTAAAGTAATTAATAGGTAGCCCAAAAACCTTAGCGAACCTTTACCAATTAAAAAATAATACTTTGGCAATAAGCATCCGAATTCTTTCCAATTCTTCACCAAAAGCAATACGCCTACTTCGGAGCTCGTCAAAAGACTCATCACCATCAATTCCAAGTTTCGAATTCCGATAAGTTTCAAATTCCGCCGCAAAAATATCATGGTCAAATTTAACAGAAGGTGCAGAGGCTGCCCTCATCTCCAATTTTTTCTTATAACACGACACGTACAATTGCCATTTTTCTTGATCGCCAACACGCATATCATCATGAAGTGTTTGTTCGAGCTAAAATTAAATATAAAAAATGATAAATAAACTGAATAATAAAGAATAACTGACAAAATACTTAAAAGCGCACGCTCGAAATATCGCGACCAAAATGACACAAGCCGCTTAAATAAATTTACCTCAACAAAATTGACTAGCCACTCCAAAACAGCCAGCATTGTAGGCCACATTGAAGGAGTCGTCATTGTTTGCATTGTACTGTTTTTTAGATTGTAAGGATAACCGAGTCCGTTCAATAATTTGACAACCTACAAATTTAAATTGTTGAAGAAATTAAAAATTAGAAAAAACCTCTTCATTAAATTTTGGGTTTGGAATGCTTGCGAAATTTGGCTGGAAACAACGGAAAAGAAACTCGAAGACCTCTTTAAAATTATTCCTGTTCGGGACGCGTAAAAAGTCACGGTCATCAAATTTAAACGATGGAGAAGGTTGGATACAATCTTCAAGAAAAGAAACTATTTTTCTGATCATATCATATTGAACTTCCTAAAATTAAATTTATAATAAACTTTATCGAAAGATAAAAATCTAAACCTTATCACGCAAATTTCGAGAATCCGGTATTTTGGTAGCTCTCGGAATATTAATGAGCCGTCTTGCTCCGGTACCAGGGAAAGCACTTGGTCTAAAATTAGATGGCGCTCCTGAAGCTATGCTGTATCGAGCATCGGGAGCCAAACTGATCCGCCCACCTCCTATAGTGCTAAGCCGATTTCCATCAATACTAAATGAAAATTAATCATCATAAAAATAGTTAAATTGCTATAAAGCTAAATAAAATAAATTTACCGAGAATGGTTGAAAGCAGGCCTTGAGCCTGTTTGCGGTGTTCTTTGCAAGTGCATGAAATACAATAAATTGCTTTAATAAAAATAATCTAAAATAATAATAAATAATTAGTTTTACAACGGATTTAATTTTAAGTTCAATTTAATATAAAAAACTGGAATAGGCAATGAGTATTTATAGGGGTAAAAACAGGCGGGAATTAAGTATACGAGTTGATAAAGGAATGGCAAATGTTATGAGGGAATTATTTGAATGTAGGTTATTTAGAAACAAAGAGAGGCAAATGTGAGTTGGAAATATTTGAATATGATAAAGGAAAGGTTTAAGGAAAAGAGATTATTTTACAATCATAAGGTGGAAAATATTTGATTTATATGTTGGGGGAATAAGTTTAAAGTAAAAAGGTCAAAAACATTTAAAATAATATCGATAACAAATATATTTAAATAAATGCTTCAAGCATATATGAACATCAGAAATCTAATCCGGCATGAGTGTTAAATACAAAATCCGGTTTCCGGGCCCAGAAAAATGATTTTTCCAGTCACTACTAATGAGACAAAATCATAAAATAAAAAAATAAAGCGGCATTTTATTTAAAAATAAATTTAAACTTTAATTTTTATTCTTCAGAATTTCGTTTCAAAACTTTATATTCGGACATTTCAGGGTACAGCCCAAAACAACGCGGGCCAAAACTACGCGACCGAAACTACGCGACCGAAACTACGCAAGCCAAAACTACGCAAGCCCAAAACTACGCACGCCCATAACTACGCAAAACTATTTAGTACATTCAATTTGAATTCTGCTGTTGATCAATTAATCACTTTCTGATGATCAACCTTTATCAGTTGATCACTCTCTGATGATTCTTTCTTTGGAATCCGGAAAATTGTTTCCTGAAAATCCGGAAAATTAAGGAAAATCTGTACTATTCCGTAACCATTTTCCTGAAAATAATTTCCGTAATTCGGAAAATATGTATTTTTCCGGAAAATACATATTTTTCGGAAAATAATATTTTCCAGAACTCGGAAAAATTCAAACGGAGCCGGTCCGGCACGAGCATGGAATTCAAAATCCGGTTTTCGGATCAAGAAACTGATTTTGCCGGACATTACTAAATAGTTAGTTTTGCGTAGTTATGGGCGTGCGTAGTTTTGGCTTGCGTAGTTTCGGTCGCGTAGTTTTGGTCGCGTAGTTTTGGCCCGCGTTGTTTTGGGCGTGTCCCGACATTTCAGTATAAATGACTCAGAATTTAATAGAAAACTGAAATTTCTAGTTGTTGTGCTTATTTAATAAGTTTTGAATTTTTGCTGATTTCAATAAAATATTTAAAAATGATTAAAGCTATTCTAATTTTTAATAATCATGGAAAGCCAAGATTGCTTAAATTCTACACGAGATATGTTTGTTTATTTATTTTTTTAAATTTAAATAATAAATTTTAGACAGAAGATGAACAACAACAAATTGTTAGAGAAACATTCCAACAAGTTTCAAAAAGAGATGACAATGTTTGCAATTTTTTGGAGGGAGGAACTTTAATTGGTGGATCTGATTTTAAATTAATTTACAGGTTTTTTTTATTTTTTTATTTTTAAATAAATATTTTTCTAAGTTCGTTTTAATTATTCTGCGTACTAAATCAAATTAAATTTAACTAAATTTTATTTAACCGAACTCGAGTTTATTCTATATAAAATTTTCTTTTCTATTAAGATTAAAGACCAATATAGTTATCAAAAAATCGTATGGGTACGTCCAAGTAGGCGCGCAGCCAAGTAGGCGCAAAGCCATAACTTGCTTCAAAATTTCTGAATCTTTTAAAATTTAGTATTAAACGTTTCACTCATCGAGCTAAAGAGAAAAAAACTAAAATCGTTAAAAATAACTAAAATTAAAACCGAAATTGTTAAAGTCTAGAAATTTTCCAGCTAGTTATGGCTCTGCGCCTACTTGGGCGTCCCAATCATATCTAGGAGAACCCCTTTAACGAAAGTGATTTACAAACAATTTTTATTATAATATTACAAAAATCATATTTGTTAACAAGTTAAAATTTTCAAAATTCAAATTATATTTTTTTTAATTTTATTTGATTAATTTTTTAATTTAAAAATTTTAAGGCATTATGCAACTCTTTACTTTGTTTTTTGTGTTGACAGCTCTGAAAGTGAATTAGGAATTCTTGATTTGATTCAAGTTTTTGTAGAAACATTAGATAGATGTTTTGAAAATGTTTGTGAATTGGATATGATATTTCATGTTAATAAAGTAAAGAAAATTTTTTTTTAATTAAAAAATAAATATACTTTTTTAAAGGTTCACAATATTTTAAATGAAATTGTAATGGGTGGAATGGTTTTGGAGACAAATATGAATGAAATATTACTTAGAGTACAGGAACAGGATAAAATTGAGAAACAAGAGGTTTGTGATAAATTAAATTTTGAATTGGGTAATTTTTTAAATGAATTATTTCTGATATTTTTGATTAAAAATTGCCTTTTATTTTAGAAATTTTTAAAAAATATTTATTCTTGTAAACTAATATAAAGTAATAAAAAAATATCGGAATAATTTCCGAACTATATTTGACTAATTCGGATTGGTTTAATTATTGAGATGTGGGCTGAGGCTTTGAAATCAAATTAAAAAAACCTTAAATATTTTAAAAACCTTAAAAATATTTTTTCTAAAAATTCTTTATTTTCTAAAAAAATTTCCAGGCCGGAATTACTGCAGCACCAGCAAGAGCTGTCTCCGCTGTCAAAAATATGAACATTCCACAACAAATTAAAGATTTAAAATTGCCTGATTTACCATCAAAGATTGCCGCTTTTAAAAACCCTTTTTAAATTTTTTTAATTTTTTATTATATAAAATGAATTTTGCTTTATTTTTATAAATATTTTGGCATTACACGCAATATTTCGGGATAACATTAACCCTTTTGAAGAAAAATTGACCTCCTTGCGTACAGAGTCAATATTTTTGTATTTTAATAATTCTAATTAACAAAATAAATATTTTATTTTTTTTATTTTAACTGATTAAATTTAGGAAAATAATTTGGTTCCTTTTTACCGATTTTCAGCCTCGGAATGGCGACCTCTACCCGTAGTAGCCGCCCGAAAACAGTTAATCCTGCAAAAATTCATTTGCTCGTAATTTTGTTCAAAAGGCGTCAAATAAAGCTGATCTTGGTACCATTCGACTCAGCTCGTAGTGCTCTTTCGGTTCACATAAATTGTCTAAATCTAAAATCCCTCAGTATAAGTAAATAAGTTCCAATAATTTTTGTTTTGAGATTAAAAATTAATTAAACTTTAAATAATAAAAGTTTAAAGTCTAATGTTCTTATTTTATTCGCTTTCCTCAGTCGAACAGCTGAAGCTTGACCTTGTCTAATTTGCCTTTACACATTTTTTTCCTTTTATCATTTTCCAAAGATTCATGATTCCCAGTTTTGTTTTTTTCATCTTTCCGCTCTCATTATTCCCTATAAATACCTACACTATTTCTACATTTTCAGCTTTCTTCAGTCTCATTTTTTATTCTGATTGAATTGCCGCCATTCTATTTGCAATACCTTAAAAATTGACATTCAATTGAAGAGGACATTCAAATAGAGGAGATCATTTTCTTTTTAATAGGTTAGAAATTGAGATTGGGATTATTAACATTAAGATGGTCCCCCTAATTATTCTAATCCACGACATCACCAAATCCTTTTAGTCTCTCGATATCCCTCTCAAATCCCCTGATATCCCTCTTAATTGCCCTTTTCTGACTAACTTGCTGGAAAATATCAGAATTATCAGTTTTAAAAGAATTATTAAACTTGGCAATAAATCTAATGAAGAAAGTTTTCTATGTATTTAAAAAGGGCCGGCTATTCAATTAGAGAGGGCCATTTAATTAGAATAAATACATTATATTAAAATATCCTCAATATACATTTTTGAAAGGTTATAGACAGTCATTTTATAAGAATCGAGTACACCTTCAAACATAGTATAGTAAATAATAATCTCAACTCAACACATCAATCTCCCTTGAAGATTATTATCATTTTATATTTATGCAAATATTTTCCCAACATTCCCCATTATTTATTTTATCTTTATCTACATTTGTAGTATAACAAATAAATAAATATTTTTGACCTTCCCGCCTATATCTAAATAATATTTTTCACAGTCCACCTAAGAATATATATATCAGTATTTATTATAAATAAAATTATAAATCTGTACATATTAATCTAAAATTTTATTGTGAGGATTATGAGGAAATTTTTTAAATAAATTTTTTAAATTTTTTTTCAATATGAGTTATTATTAGACTAGAAATTATGTACGTCTATCCAGTAATTATTTGCATATAAAATTTACGAATTTGCAAAAATAAAATAAAAAAAATATTAAACAAATAAATTAAAAAAAATTAAAATAAATTTCCTTTTTTTTTTATTTTTATTCCAGACTTGGGTTTTAAAAAAATATTTAATATTATTTAAATTAATTAAATTTAAACTTGGATTAATTATAAAATAAAAATGTTAAGTAATTTATTTTTAATTTCTTTTACAATTTTTGTTTTAAATAATAATTTTGTTTTATCTGTTGATGAAAAGATAGAAAAAACAGAATTTAAACGTTTAGAATTACCTGAAGAAAAATTAACTACAGTAAGTAAATATTTAATTAAAAAAATATTTTTAATTAATTTAAAAATAGCCAGAAATAATTAAATATTATGGATATAAATGTGAAATACATAAAGTTACAACAAAAGATGGATATATTTTGGAAATGCACAGAATTCCTTTTGGGCGTAATTTGAATGAAAATGAAGAGAATTCAAAGCAGAAAAAGCCTGTAGTTTATCTTCAACATGGATTGTTAGCATCTAGTTTTGATTGGGTAAATTTGAAGATTTTTATTTAGATATTATGTTAATATAATAGTAAAGGGTTTAAATAATATTTTGAACGAAAAAATATTTTTTGGTTCCCATATTCGTTCATAAATAATTTTCCACAATTTTTCAAAATTTTTAACAATTTCTCAAATTTAAAGGTAGCAAATTTGCCCAATCAATCATTGGGATTTATTTTAGCAGATGCTGGATATGATGTTTGGATGGGAAATGTTAGAGGGAATGTCTACTCATCAAAACACGAAAAAAGCTTTTTAGGAAAGGACGAATACTGGAAATTTACGTAAATTTGTTTAAATAATTTATTTTTAATTACAAAAAATAGTTGGGATGAAATGGCATCAATTGATTTGCCTGCAATGGTAGACAAGGCTTTAGAAATTAGTGGACAGCCTAAATTATTTTATGTTGGCCACAGTCAGGGGACTTTAATTATGTTTGCACAACTGGCTAATGACAATAAAGAATTTAAAAATAAAGTACTTATAATTTTTAAAATAATTTTCCAAAAATAAAATTATTTTCCAACAGATTATCAAATATTTTGCTTTAGCCCCCGTCGCTACTATTAAACACATGAAAGGCCTAATTTCTGTATCAGGCAATTTATTTGGAAAAAGTTTTGATCTTCTTAACAAGCATTTTGGTTCTCATGAATTTATGCCAAGTAATTGGGCATCCCAATTATTTGCCCAAATACTTTGCAGTCCAATTATGAGTAAATCAATTTGTGATAATATTATGTTTTTAATTGGTGGGACTGACAATTCTCAATTAAATGAAGTAAAAAATAAATATTTTTAAGGGATATAACACAGAAACCTTTCAAAATTTAAAATCAAAGCCTGATAATCCTAAAAAAATTATTAAATGAATTTAAAGTAATTTTATTAGCTTCTTGTGTAAATTGAAAATTTTGCAAACTAAAAATTTTGAAAATTTTGTCATTCGAACCTTTGTCGCTCTCGGCTAATAATCAACACTCTTTATGAAAAAACTTTTATAAAATAATTTTTCACGATGTAAAAGTAAAAGAAAAAAAACTTGAAAAAAGGGCAATTGAATATTTAAATTTATCAAATAAATTTATCCATTTAACATAGTATTTAAATATTCCTTTTTTCAAATTTAAAGACTCGTATTGTTGTTTATACAAAACACGAACCTGCAGGAACTTCAACAAGAAATATTGCTCACTGGGTAAAATAAAAATTCAAAATTAAAATATATTTATTTTTAAATAGACACAAATGCAACAAACGGGGCTTGTACAGAAATTTGATTATGGAACAGAAAAGGAAAATAAATTAATTTATGGACAAGTATTTGTAAATTTAATTTAAAAAATATTTTTCATTTTTAGAACAAACCTCCAATCTATAATTTAACAAATATAAATTCAGTACCTATTTATTTATATTATAGTGATTCTGATTGGTTAGCAACAAATCAAGATGTTGAAGTAAAGATAAAAATTTAGACAATAATTTTATTTTTATTTTTAAAAGGAAACAATAATTAAACAAATTCCAAAAGAAAATATTAAAGTAAAGAAATTACCCAATTTTAATCATTTTGATTTTATTTGGGGTATGAATGCACCAGAGAAAATTTATAAAGAAATGATTGAAGAAATTAAAGGAAATTAAAAAGAAAAATTAATAATTGAATTTTAATTGTTTTTAATTAATTAATTAATAATTATTTTTTAAATTTGTAATTTTTAAAATTTATTAATAAAAATAATCTTTCTCTTTTTTTTTAAATTTAATTTTTAATTTTTGCCTCCATTTCCTTTTAATATTAAAAAAATAATTTCCGATCGTTCTCTTAAACGGTAAATCCCCCCCTCTCTTCCCAACTTCTCGCGCAACCATAAAAATGTCTCATCACAATTTCTTCGTTCAACGTCTTCAATTAACTAATTAAATAAATAAATAAATATATTTGTTCAATATATTTATATTACCAAAATATATTTATTAATCGTGTTCCTTTTGGCTTTTAAAAATCTTTTAATTAAAGAGAAAATTTTTCTTTTGATTTTTAAAAGACAATATTTTTCAAAAAATTTTGCTTAGTAAAAATTAAATTAGAATTAGCCAGTGTTTGTAGTAGTAAAAATAATTACAAATTAAAAGGAATTTTTGGGTGTACCCCAATTTTTATAGCAAAAAATGTCTCATCATCTTTTGTTTATACTTAAAGTTTAATTAAAAAAGACGTGTTTAAATTTCATAAGAAAATAAATTTGGCGAATTAAACAACGTATTTATTCTTATTTTATTATTTATTTTGATCAAAACTATTTATTTAATCAATTTTATTATATATTTTTAAGATTAATTTTAAAACTAAAATTCTAGTTAAATAATTTAAAAAAGAAATTCAACAAATCCTTTAATGGAAGCAACAATTTATTATTTATTTAATTTTATTTTTTCCTATAAAAATTTTTTATTTCTTTTGAAAATTTTAATTGTAAGAATATCTTTTTTAAAAATTATGTAGATTAAAAAAAACTAAAAAATATAATAATATATTTTTAATCAAAAATTATTTCAAATATTCTCATTTCCCTTCCAGATTTCAGTTTTTCTCCCCTCCCCCATATTTTCATGTCCAACATGTCCACCCTTCGATTGGACCCTTCCATTAGAAGGACGTTCACGTGGAGAAGGAATTATTGGGACAGATGGAAATAACAGAATTGGAAGAAATATGGGGATGAAAATGAGTGGAAGTAGTATGCAAATGAATGCAAATACTTGGTCTACAGAATGGACAATGCAACCATGGAGTTGGAGTGTTGTACCTGAAGTGTGTGGATAAAATAATTATTTTAATTTGGAATTTAAAATTAAAATTTTTTTTCTTAAAGGTAAGAAAAAAATTAAGATTAAAAAATTAAAGGTAACTTCCCCTATATTTACATCAACATTACCTCCAATAATCAACTCTGGACAACAACATGCAGAGGGAGGTAGAAGACCAAATATAGGTAAAAAATATTTTCTATTTTTTAAATTAATTAATTAATTTAGACAGAATAAAAGAAATATTCTGTGCTCGTCATCCAAATAATCCTAAATGTCAAGGAGTAAGTTAAATAATTTTCAATAAATATTTGTTAAACTTAAAATAATTCAAAATTATTTTTTAAGCGGCCAGAACCCCCTATTCAAAATTTAATCCCCCAAACAACACCTTCTCAGCCTTCTCAACCTCAAATTCCAATTGAAGAACCAAAAATAAAACCAATGCCTTTTGGATATTTGGATGCTGAAGCTCGTGATGCAATTATTGTATTAAATTTAATTTATTCAAAAAATTCTTCATTTTAAAAGAAAAATTGTAAAAGTGGAATTGTTGACTGTAAATCCCAACCATTTGGAATGGAACAAAAAAGAAATATGGTTATTCAACATGAAATGGATTTTGCTAGAAAACAATATTCTTCTTCCTCCTCTTATTTATCCCCTGGATTAATATCAAAAAGAATTGATTTAATACATGAATTAAAATTAAAAATGATTAAAGTTGCTGGACTTGGAGAATATGTATATTTAATTTTAAATAAATTAATTTAAAAATTTTCCAATTTTTTCCGGAGTGTATTTACAAATTCCTCCAAAATTAAAAAAAAGATTAACTTATACATGTAACCTTAATAGAAAAACAATATTAGGTTAGAGAGCACAGAGTAGGTTACTCTTCTCATGCCAATACATTCGACTTTTAGGTATAAGTCGGTTGAGTCCATTTGAGTCTTGATTATGTTAATCTACTAATTATCTAATTAAAACACCTCTCAAATTTCCATTTTAATTAAAGATTGGTTAATAAAAATTTTTATTTCATTAATATTTTAATTTATATTTAAATTAAATTTGCAAATACATATTTAAATGAATTATTCCCCTTTTGAAAAGGTAACTCCAGTAAATGATGGAACATTTGAACATGACGTTTTATTAACAGAAAGTCAGGCACAAAATTTAATAAATGCTTTAGATCAAACTCCATATCCTTCAAATAAAAAATATGGGTATGGACATGGAAGGAGTCAACGTTCTTCTTTATTTCTTGATCAATTACAAACACAAAGATGGCCTATTGGGGAATCTATTAAATATTATATTGATGCAAATATCGGTAGTTAATTTACCGTAAATTTTTAAATAATGCTCCCTTAAGTACAGCTTTAGGCCCTCCTATTGAAGGAGGTTCTTTTTTATATCGGGAGCTTCATTTCAAAATTTATTTTTTAAACTAATATTACGAAAGATCTAATTTTTTATAAATTTACAGCACAGAACGAACGAGATATGTGTAAGTAAAAGAATTTTTTAAATTTAATTCAATAATTTTTACCTTAAAAAATATTTGTTTTAAATTAATAATTTAATTTGTTAATATTTAAGTGCATCAAGCACATCAACTTATTCAGGTTTTAAAAAAATTTAAAGAAATAATTAAAAATAAAAATATTTTTTTTCCAAATAAATAAAATATTCTAAACAGGTTTTTAGGCTTCGACTTGTATTCGTTTTGAACAAGTTAATGAAAAACCCCAAACCGATTATTTACATTATGTAAAAGTAGCAACACCTACATTGTAATAATTAAAAAAATAAGGAAAAAAATAAAAAAAATTTTTAAGTTGTGGACTTTCTTATATTGGACGTGTAACACCTGCAAATCCAATATATTTGTCTTTTCAATGTCAAGATGTTTGGATTTTAATATTTTAAATAAATTAATTAATTTATTACCACCACTAATTACCTCATAATTTAAAAATTATTTTGAGAATTCTCCGATTCTTAAAAATTCCCCCTAAGGGGTCTTCTAAAAGTTTTTTATCTTAGTAAAACATTTCATAGTTTTATTTAAATATTTTTAAATGAAATATTTTATTTAATTTAGCCAATTGGTGTGGCTGCTCACGAGACAATGCATGCATTAGGTGCTAATCACGAACATTTAAGAAGGTTTTCAAATAAAAATTTTTTTTAAGAAATATTTAAAATCTTTAAAGTGATCGTGATGAATATATAAATATTCAATGGGAAAATATAAATCCCCAATTTTATGATTTTTTTGCAATTGCAGATCCAAGCAAATTTACTCCGTTAGTTTTTAAAAAAATATTTTTAAATAAAAATTATTTAAAAAAAGTTTTGGTGTAATTTATTCCTTTGATTCAATAATGCATTACGGGGCATCTACAGCTTCTTTAAATCAAAAACCAACAATGGTACCTAAAGTTGATCCACAAATAAATACTCCAAAAATGGGGCAAAGACAACGACTTTCTGTTCAAGATATTGAATTGTTGAATAAAATGTATTGCAAACAATCGGGTAATTTATAGAATTAAAAATTAATTTTAAAGGAGGGAAAAAGAGGAGTAAATAATATTAAAAAAATATTCTTTTAAGAAAAAAATAATTATATGTACATACATATAAGAACGAGAATAATGTAATATGAACGGAATACTGATAGATTAATGTTTTTGGTCCAGCCGGACAAATTCACCGCTCACTCCTTAAGAGCGATTAAACGAGCGACGACTAGCTCCTCCGATTGGGCAATAAATATAATAATAATATTGTTCACTTGACTGATTAACTGACTGACTAATAAACTGATCCTCACTTATTCTTTGGTTATGGATAGGTGGGGTTTTAACTGAGTAAAGTTTTAACTTAGTATTTCACAATTCTATTTCCGCCTTACATACATATTATATTTTATATTAATAAAAACTTTTATTTTTTCTAAAGATTGTTTTGACACATCAGTTTATTGTGGAGTTTGGGCTCTTCGGGGATTTTGTTCTGTTTATCCACAATATGGTTGGATGCAACAAAATTGTTTAAAATCTTGCAATAATTGTTAAAAATTATTATTTTTTTAATTTTTGAAATAAATTTTTTTAAATTTGAATTAATTTCTCTCAATTATATACAAAAAAATAATTAATTTAAAATTATTTATTTTATTTTTATTTAATTTCTCTTCCATTTTTAATAATAACAGGTAAAGGTGGTGGAGGTGTTAAATCTGAGCGTCTAGGTTTCCAACCACTTAAATGTTGACATTTATCATATATTGTAATATCCTCTTCATCTTCTTCTTCTTCATCTATTTTTGAATTTCCAAAACGATTTATTCTCTTTGGAAATTTCCTTGTAATAATTTTGCCAGAACAAGAAAATTCTTTAAAATTGAATAAAAATTATAAAAAAATTTTTTTTAATAATTAAGGCATGATGCTGATAATTTCTTAAATTTTTAAGCCAAATAATGGTTAAACCTTTATTTATATGTACTTCTCTTTCAATTAAATTTTGTTTAATTTTTCTTTTTAAATAAATAAAAAATATTAATTCAGAGAATTTTTCTAAGAAAATTAAAAAGAAAATTAATAAATTATTTATTTGAAAGTTTGAATTTGCTGTGTTAATTTGACATAATGATTGAAGGGGGAAATTTTGGTGAGTATTTTGACATTCTAAATAAATAAATAAATAATTTTTAAATATTTTAAAAAATAACCTTTTATAAATAATTTTAAATAATTATTTTGTGTTATAATATTTGAATATCTTTTACACAATAATTGTTTAAAATATAAAAT